CTGAGGTGTTTGCTAATGAGACTCACTTCCTTGGTCTTTGACTTAGTGACATCAGTCATTCTCTAAACCTTTTCCTAGGTGGCTCTCAGGATTCCCTCAAGCTGCAAAAATTCCTGAGGCTGAGACTGCGTTTGCTTCCACTGGGCTTTGCCAGGAGAGTGTTGCTCCCAGGTCCCACGGGGCGGTGAGGACAGAGCGGAGCGAGGTATGGTGGTTCACGGGGGAGACAAGCAGCAGGGGAAAGCTGTGAAGAAAAGGGCAGCTGCACGTTTGTCCTCGAGTAAATCAAATCGTGATGTTTATTGGGTTATTTCCAGCACAACACCAGCAGGAAAACCCTGGAATGTGGTGTTAGTTTTCCAAGAAAGATCTTTCCAAGGCGCCTGTAATAAGCAGACACGTCAGTCAGCATGGGTGACAGAAAGGCCATAGGCTTGGAGGCGCATGGACCTGCCTTTCCTGCTTCTTACTAGTGACTTCTTACTGTTGAGCCCCTCTGAGCCTTATCTTCTATTTTTAAAAAGGTAAATAATATAAACTGTGCAGGGGGCTATGGAGAAAGGGTTAGTAGGGAAAGGCTGTGGTATTAGGACGTGAGAAAAATACTCCGCATCTAGTTTTTACTTAATAAATGGGAGCTTCAGGCTATGAGGGCATCGCACCAGGCACAGGGCCTGAGCAGCCTCGGCTGAATAAGCCCCCGTTTCAGACTGTGTCTGGGACAAGGTGGAGAACCCAGAAGGGGAGCAGGGGCCAGGGTGGGTGGGTGAAGGGAGGAAAAGAGATCAAAAGGCCTGTAAATGTCTGTCAAACTTTAAAATGCAAATCCCTTGCCTGCAAGTCACTTGGGGTCAAATCTTTCACTATCACCTCTCTTGGGAAGACAGAGAGAGAGAGAGAGAGAGAGAGAGGGAGAGAGAGAGAGAGAGAGAGAGGAGAGAGAGTGAGTCTGCTGTGGTCTTGAGGCTAACCCTGAGCAGGCGACATGCTTCCCTCAGCCCAGAGCCTAAGGCACGGGTGGATGGAAACTGGAGGCCTGTGGTTTGCTTCCGGACTCGAGTCCCTCTAGGACGAGAGGCCAATGCACCAGTGCCCACTGTTTCATGGACAGAGGTGCGGAGCACCTACTTGCTGACCGAGGGCCAGAGGATGTTGACTGAGCCCAGCGAGTCGCCTTCCCCAGCTGGCCTGCTCTCGGGACTCTTCCCAGGCCACCTGGCGCTGGGTGCTGTGCTGAGGGCAGCCCCATGGTGGCGGAGTGGGGCCTGTGTGGCCGCACGTGGGTGTCACAGGGCTGTAGAGCGGTCTGCCCTGCTGGCTGCCTCCACGGAGGGAGGTGGCTCATCTCGCACCCCTCCCCTCCTTGCCTGCTTCTGTGGAAAGCACAGGACTGTAGGTAAATCCTGCAGAGAGGCTGCAGAGAGTGGGGCCGCGTCCTCTCCACGCTGTCCGCTCTGGGCGTATCTGGTCCGTGCCCATCGCTGTTCTTTAGGAACAAAGAAGCTCGTACTTTCGCTTTCCACTCCTTTTCTGATGTCTTGAGGACTTTATTTCCTCATGAAAATATGTCTGAGTGTAATGGTTACTTTTTCTAGACCAAAAAAAAAAAAAAAAAAAAAAAAAATCTAACGGCTGTCTTCAGCTGGAATCCCCTAAACACATTCCATTTATTAAATCTTTTTCTGGATGAATTCACCTGACTGTGTTTTATCTGAGTCCTCTGCCATCCCTAAATGGCTCCCACCGTGTGAGGTGCCCCGGGATTTCCTCACTTCTGGGAAGCCAGTGATGGCCCTCCAAAGTCCTCACTGACCACTGGGCACTGCCCTCTGGCCACTCTCCACACCAGCACTTTCCATGAGGCATATATACCTTTGGTTGTTTTGAGACATGGTCAGCTGGGCCTTGATCTCACTATGTAGCCCAAGCCACAACTCAGGGTAACCCTCCTGCCTCAGCTTCCTGGTGATGGGGCATCTGCCTCAGCTTACTATCATGCACCTCCTCGCCCAGCTCTCATCCAGCACTTATTATATTGGTCAACCCAAGAAGTCATTCGAGTCTGACATCACAACTAAGTTACAAATATTTTGAAATGAGAGATCATGCTATTATTCCCAGACACTCCATACCAGACCTACTCCAGGAGCAAATCCATTTTTTTTTCTTTTTTGATACCAGGAATTCAACTCAGGGCCTCATACTTGTTAGGCAGGTACTGGGCCACTGAGCTGCATTCCTGGCCCCCTGAGCCCATTTTAAGACTGCAGCTTGTTGGTGGCGGAAGCATGGGCTTTAGCTCCAGGGAGATACGGGTTCAAACAAATTCACCCAGGTCACCCACCCACTCACTCACCTATGGGTGGGTGAGATGCCTGGTGCCTGCCAGTGCTGTTCAAAGCTCAAGTGTGTAACAAAGAGCAAGACAAAGTTCACCTCCTGTGTAGTTACTGTAGGGCAGGAGAAGTGAGAAAACCCAGTAATTTATGAAAAAGCTCAGATGGGGGCAGCCGGGAGGGAGCAGGGACTATGGTGGGCGACAGCGACGTTGCGTGCATGGTCACAACAGCACTAGCTGGGGGTCTGAGACTGGAGAGGTGACAAAAGCCTCAGGGAGGGGCAGGCAGTGCCAGAGCCGCAGTGTGGCCGGGAGAGGAGGGGACGAGGCTGGCGGGAGGCTGTGCGGAGGCTGGGAGCTCCACACAGGGGGCACTAGCATGGGATTCGATTTGATGGGTTTATTTGGCTGCTGTGTGCACCTGACAAAGCTACTGTGGAGCCTGACTCATTGCACACACTGCGCAAAGCTCACTCAAACAACAAAGGAAGCTGCGAAAGAAGGGAATCTATCAACTGTTGCTCCACTGAGAACCTGCTGGTGCCCAAGCGCTCAGGGCTGTGTCTCCCACGAATACAGGTTTGAAAGAGGATGGAACTTCGGGAGATTTAGAACCCCACCTACTCCTCCCTCACATGCAAAACCATGTAGCATACTCAAGGGCTGATTAATTCTGAAAATCAAAATAATCTGATAATTTCTTGATGTTCACAAAACCAGTTTTCTGGGACTCTGAACTACTACTCATTTGGTAGTCATCAGGTCTCTATAAATCAGATGAGTAGGGGTCACAGCATCTCTTTGGGTCATTGCTTTAAAGTCCTGTGGACTCTGATGTGAAGTATGTAAGAACCTAAATTCTCACCACAGTAGGCAGGAGTGAGGGGAGAACAAAGCCTTCAGCTTTGAAGGCAAAATGGCTCTGGGCCCAGACCCCTGTTCTGATGTTAACTAAATACAGAGATTGCTTAAGTCTCCTCGGGGAAATACAGGATAAAAATGTGTAGTTCTCAGACTTCTTTTGTGGGGGCATAGATGAGGAATTTGAAGAACTAGTGAAGTGTATTGCACATAATAAACACTCAGCAAACTGTATGTTTGTCCCTTTCCAATATTCACTGCCTCACATGATGGACTTTCTAAACTTGTCTTTCTTTGTACCCAAACAGTTTTGTCTCTTTTTGTTTTCATAAATACAATCACTGTCTCTGCACATTATAAACACATTACTTTTGCTTCATGAATGTATATGGCACATAAAAGTCAATGCTTGTAAACTTACACATGGACGTGCATCTCTCGAAAGGCTGTTTAACCCCAGTGCGGTTGAGGAAAGAGGTGGTGCCATTACCTTAGAAGCCAGTAGGAGCCCAGGGAGCTTTGCTTAGTGTACCTCCTCACTAGAAGAACTAGGAAAACTACCCAGGCCGCTACTCCCAGGTTAGGAAAATGTCCTTGGTCTGTGTCATACGGTGCAGACCTGGCTCTGTGAGTCCTTTGTCACTTCCCCCAAAACTGTCCCAGTGGTACAGCTTTGGGGCCCTCGCAGGCCTGGACTGGAGACATCTGTTTGCAGACCCCTCTGAAAGAAGCCTGTGAGGCAGCACATTCGGTTTAACACAAAATCCAAATGATATGCAGCAACGCCCACAGCCAGCATTGCTTGAAACAAAAAGGGAAAGGCCTTGTACTGTACTTTCCCAAGGGTGCTTCATCAATCACTGGCCCATACGCAGACACAGGGCTGTTCTAGGGGTGCCCTTCCAGACTGCCCTGGTTGAGCAGTGGATGGAGTCATTTTCTGATGCTGGAAATGCTTAGGTTTTTGATCAGACAATTCTAAGTCAGTTTTGCAAGTCATCGTCTTTTGTGTCTTGCAGAGAATAATGCTGAGGCTCAAGAATTTAATCCTTAAATTCGGCTTTGGGGCTTATTAAAATTCTTTGGGGCTGGAGATATAAGTCAATGGTAGATTTTTTGCCTTCCATGTGCAAAACTCTGAGTTGCCCAGTAAACACACACACACACATGCACGCACACATTCACCAAATTTTAAAAAAGAACTCTTTCACGCACTAAAACATTCAGTTACTGTGTCCACAGAAGGGTCAGCTCACTTTGCTGATGTCTCTCCCTGCATTGCCAAACAGGTAATTTATTGATGTTCCTGGCCTGAGGTAAAACAAGCTATCTGCTCTTAAAATCATCAGAAAAGGGCCACATTTTTGCACCATTACTGGGGCACATTGCAGACTACCTCTGCAACAGGGCCCTTTAAAGGAAATGTGGGAATCCTTGAAAGAGGTGAACGAAAGCTGGTAAAAGCTTTTCCACACTAGGAAGTGCTAAGTGGTGCCGTTAGCCTGCAGATGAAAGGTTGCCTCCATGACGTTCTACTGTGAGCTGTTTTACCCTCAGCGACTCAGCCCCTGGCTTTTAGAAAGCAAGCATCTCAAACATCAGGCTGGGTGCCATCTCACTGGGTTTGTCTTTCCTCTTGGGAGGCTGGAGAGACTGAATGCAGCACCAGTCAGCATCCACTCACACACTGCAAGCTTTCTTTGCCAGCCCTTCTGTTGAAGTATTCAGAAACAAAAGAGGGTTCCTCTACTCTCCATGATGTTCTCTTGGGGTGGAAGACAAAAATGTAAACCAACACAAATCCACCTACAGAATTTACTTTAGAAGTCTTTAAGGGATAGTAGGGATCCACAAGGGCCAGGTTTACAATGAGTAATAAACACGCTGGCGCAGAAGCCCTGAGGGATAGAGTTGATCCCTGTTCAACAGACAGGGAGACACACGCTTGAAGCAGGAGTACTGTCTCTTCCATGGTAAGCACTCCATCCGATACTGTGCGTGAATACACACAGTCCTGCCATCTGAGGAGGTGCTGGACAGTGAGGATTCCTCCAGCTAAAGACAGAAGGGCAGGCAGCACGGGCAGAGCCAGCTCACATGCAAAGGCACTGGTTTCTGTTGGGGAAATGAGTGTTCTCAGGTGGCTGGAGTGGAGGCTCATGGCTGGGAACATCTGATGCTCAAGCTGGAGACAGGCAGGTGCTGGGAGCTGTATTGAGCTCCCAGACCATACTGTGAAAGCCAAGGACAGCCCTTGGAGAGGGGAAGAAGTGATTCAAGCACCCAGGGGTCATGGCACCAAGTACCCCTCCAGAATTCTGTGACCACAAAGAGCAAAGTCCTGGCTTTAAGATTACATTCTAGTTTGGGAAACAGAAAAACAAAACAAACACTCCAACATAATGTCAGGTACTGATGAGCTTAAAGAAAAATATGGCAGGGTAGGGAAATAGTAACAGGAGTCAGGGGATCCCATCTGTAAGCTTTCGGTGATATGTGTGGCAAGAAATGAGTTACGTGAAGACATGGGAAACTGCCTGCATCAATGAAGTAATGAGTTCTAGTTCCAGCTCTAGCCTCTTCTAGTTGGATGGCCTGGAAAAGTTTTAAATTCAGCAGAACTTCAGCTGGTTGTTACACACAAAGAGAGCCAGAGGCACTGAATATAGTAGGTACTCAGTAAACGTGAACTCAATTAGTAATATATTAGTTACCAAATTCTTTCTTTATTATTATTATTATTTTTTTTTTTTGTGGTACCAGAGATCAAACTCACGACCTTGTGCTTGCCAGGCAGGCATTTTTGCCATTGAGCTAAGATTCCTGGCTTTATTTTTATTTTAAAGAGAATAAAGCAAAACAATAAAACTAATCAAAACAAAAAATTGTAAATAATACAAGACTTCAAAACATGATAGGAAATCAAGTTATCAAATTCTATTTGAGTATGCTCATTGCCAGTATGATCACATCGTGAATGTTACAACCTTTAAGATCACTTTTACAGTGCTAACTAAAGAGCCTTTTTCCAGCGATTCTTTCTCATCTTCCCATCACCCCACAGTAGAGGATTCCAATGACTATATTTTTACCCAAAGGGCTGTGTTCAGCTTAAAATCAATTCTGAAAGTTCTCCTTCCAAGTGACGGTAACTGACACAGCTTTCATTTACTGAGAGCCTGTTGTGCACCATGGTGGCAACTATAGATATTCACAGTCTATAGGATACCATTCACCAATACACTTCTATAGGTCACATGAATATTTGAATGAGCAAGTCTCAGAAAACCTAAGCCACAGGAAAAATGTGTAGCAGAAAAGAATTTGAAGTTAGACATGTCTTGTTACTCAAAATAAAAGTTATCCTTACTGTGAATGTAGAAGAAAAATCCCCAAGGACTTCAGCCTGCTCCACGGAGCCTTGGGTAGGTGGGCTGCAGAGACTCACGCGGGATTCAAGCAGCTAGAGACAGAAGTTTAGCAGCCAGCCAGTCCAAGAAAGGCTGAACAAATGAACAGCAACCTCTACGATAAGCTGTCATGGCACAGCAGGCTCAGACGAGCTAGGAACTAGGACGGGTTTTAAAAGGATTGGTGGACTTGGACAAGGAAAGAAGCCCTTGAGGTACTGAAAACTGGTATCAAAGCTCATAAGTTTGGCTCTGCATTAGTTTCAAAAGCAAAATGAATCCAGGTTAGTCACCCCCAGCACATTATTGAGATCTTCATTTGGTAAAATCTCAAGAGTCAGGAGTGGTGGCACACCGGGAGCTTTTGAAGCTAGAATGTTCACAGACGCAGGGATAAAACAAGGCTGATTGAGAACAAAGAGCACCTGGGACAACAGGTGGGCACACGTTGCTCCAGTCCAGGGAACAGCTAGTGCCCCAAGCCCTGAGACGTTCCAGGCAACGGGGTGTAAATAAACACTCTACAGTGGTTGAGCAGTTCCCTTCCTTCCTTCGGGAAAGAGGGCTCCACTGGATCCCAGCTTTGTATGTCCTGTCTTTATTTCTTCATCTGCTCGCCGCCAGTCATAGTCCTCACCCTGGAAAGTTCAGGAGCCTTGCAGGTCACAGCAGTGACAAATGCATGTAATACTAGCACTCGGGAGGCTGAGGCAGGAGGACCACCATGAGTTTGGTGTCTGGGCTACAAGAGTTTAAGGCCCGCCTGCACTACATAGTGAGACTGTCTCAAAAAACAAAAATAAAAGAACACTTCTACATTGATATTTTCCTGAAATGGTCCCAAACTGTCATAGTCCAGAGCAAATACATCATGATCATCAGATCCCTGGAAAATGATTTAATGGGACTTTCCCTGCAGTACTCAGACTACAGCAGTATAGTCCTCACAGAATTGAGGTCAGTTTCATGAACAGCTAGCTGAGCACTTAGCATACAGTTGGTGTTGATATTCAATGTTAATATTTTCCCTTTTGCACAATGTGTGGTTTCTACTTTTTGGCTATGATGAAGTGTCATGGGTGTCAGTGCACTGTTTTTTGCACTTTATAACATTTGGATTTGTGTGAGCATATGGCTTTTTCTCTTGAAAAAAATTACAGGTCATGCTGTGACAGTGTAACCGTAACTCTGTGTAACCAACCGTCTGAGGAGCACAAGCCTTTTTGAAAATGGCTCAGCTTTTGTATTCCTACCCAATGTGAGGGGTTCAGTTCATCCACAGCCTCAATTCACGCAATTCTTTTTCTTAACTGCAGTCATTCTGCTAGTCGTGAAGTGGTGAGCAGTATCCCTGAGTTGTCATTTGAGTGACGGCTAAATGTTAAGAATGTCTTTATGTGCTTGTTGACCGATCTTCAGTCTCAAATACTTAGCTCACATCTTATCCTTGTATTACTAAATTATGAGCTCTTTCGACAAATCCTTCTACAAACAAATCCTATATTACACTTAGGACTTGCAAATGTTTTCTCCCACTCTATGACTCTTGACTTCCTTAATGCTGCCCTTTGAAACACAAGTTTTCACTCATCAAAGCCAATGTTTAAATTTTCTGCCTATACTTCTGGTGTCACACATAATGGCTGTGTAACCCAAAGTTAAAAAACATTTATGCCCACATTTTCTTCCAAGAGTTTTACAGTGATAGCTCTTATGCTTAGGTCTCTGCCCACTTTGCTTTCCTGTTTTATGCAGTAAAAGTTAAAGATCAAAAAAAAAGTTAAAGATTAAACTCAGTGAACATTCAATAATTCACGAGCACTGACTGGAAGCCTGCTGTTTCCCCCTGAGCTATCCTGCTGTGGGCTGAAACTCAGTTGGGGACTACCCTGAAGGCACACTCCCAAGCCTTGACTCTACCTCACCGACCTATGTGTCTTTTTATCCCATACAACAGTCTGACTATAACTTTAGAGTTTTGAAATCAAGGTGAGTCCTCCAATTTCTGTTTTTGTGACACTTGTACAGCTATTCTGTAGTCATGCCAGAATCCGCTTTCCTGCTGGAACTGCACTGAACCTGATCATTTTGAGTAATGCTGGCACCTAAAGTCTTACGACTTGTGACAGTGGGATGTGTTTGCTTTCTTTCAATATTTCATACTTTACTTTTCAGAGTGTAAGTTTTGAAATTGTTGTTGAACTTTTCGAAGTAACTTTCCTCTTTGCGGTGCTGTTGTTTTCCCAATTTTCACTTGTTATCATATATGGAATACACAGTGGATCCTCAAGTCACAATCAGCCTGACACACGAACAACTTGGGTTACGATCAGGATTTAACTTGTGACCAAAGTTTTGAGTTATGACCCAAATGCCGCTGTTTGTGCTTCCAGATGGTCTGACCCAGATTTAACTCTTAAAAGAGTTCTGGGAGGATCTTGCAGCCTCCTTTCCTGTGTGGGCTTGATGGAGAAGTCCTGGATAGTGTCCCTGTGAGGACATCGAGCTCTGCCTGTGCACAGGAGAGACTTGGAAGGCTGTGTAGGATTGGAGCCTTCAACTGACAGCCTGAGTCACAAGAGCCAGCAGGAGCTGCGTTCCCAAGGGTCCACTGTATAGAAATAAAATTGAATTTTGTATGCTGATCTTGTGTCCTGCAACCTCGAAGATTTTCACTGAAATAAAGATGACTTTATTTATTTAGTACATGCTTGCATTAAAGGCAGTTTAAAAAAAAAAAAGGCAGTTTAAAATCATCCTGGAAAGTGAGTACACGGATATAATACAATTTGTTTTATTCCTCTCATTTCCCTTTCTCCATTTTCATTCTTGTTGATATTATTAATCTTATCTCATATTTATGGCATGTTTATATTCACAGAGGTTATGATTAACCAGCTTTAAAATAATTTCTAATGGATTCCTTAGGATTTTCCATATATAAGATTTGGCAGTTGTGAATAGAAACAGTTTTACTGTTTCTACTCAAATTTGGATGCCCTGTAGAGTATCTGAGTACTAAGTAAATTTTGGGGGAAATGGGAGGCTTGAACCCAGAGCCTTTGCTCTCCACATCCCTGACACCCACAGCCTTTTGCTTTTTTGAGATAGGGTATTACTAACTTTCCCAAGCTTGGCTTAAACTCGCAATTATTCTGCCATTGTGCTGGGATTACAGGTGCGTGCCACTAAGCCTGCCTAAATCTATGTGAAATTTAGTATCTGGAGTTACTAAGGTCAATACTGTATAGATTAATTTTTAAAGCAAAAGGGAAAGAAAACAGTACTTAGGAAAACCAACCAACCAACAGAAAAAGCAAGGAAATAGAAGGCAAAATACTGACTCCTACAGCATTACCACCCTGTATCATTAGATGTCTCCAATCCTTCTGCTCATACATCTAGTTTTCCAAATCTGTGCCCCATTTGCTCTACTAGTGGACCTCTAGCACGCCTGCCTTAGTTTCCTAGTCATTATGACTGTGAGATCCACTGTGCGCACTGACCGTCCTCTCCTTGTGCTTCTTCCCCTACAAAGGTGTAGGAGTAACAGAAGTGGGAGCATGCTGATCTTCACAAGGAGAGACTCGACCTTCAGGAGGCAGGATAAGACAACCCTCTGGGCAAGGAGCTAGAACGCATTTAAAATGAGCGCTTTTAGCACTTTATGGGAAAAATGAAAGAGTTACTCTGTCAAATAACACATCAGTTCAAAAACTGTAACAATATGAGTATTTAAAAAATGATAAAAATGTTTAAAAAAATACATATTATCGTGATGAGGGGTCATCTTTTAAAACCAGTTTTAGGTAACATTTTAAAATTACAGCTTTGATAAAATGGCAAAGATATTGCATGGCACATTCGACCATCTCAATTTTTCTACCAAGCATTAACTAGATCCCTTCCCTCTGCTAACGCTGACAGAATGAGGACAGTACGTAAATATTTTAAATTTCATTTCCTATGTTTTGGAACCTTAGTTTTAATCTCTGGCATAAAGGCAGAGGACTATTCAAACAAGCACCAGGGTCATCGTCCTTCTCATCACACTGTAGAAAACTCAGAGAACTTTTTGCTGAATCTAAGAAATGCTTTTCTTCATTTCCAGTTGTTCTGTGAGACCTGACACCCAATTTAGCTTCTGCACAGACAGCAGTGTTCTTCTGTGTCTGGTGATCGCTTTTCTTGAACTGGGCTGCGTCACGCTTCCATGAACTGTGTTTACTGTTGTGCACTATGGACTTTGCTTCGGCAGACACCGGCCCAAGCTGCTGGTCGGGGGAATGTCTGCTACAGCAAATACTACTCTCGGCAAGTTTCTGAGTGGTGTGCACACCTGCTTTGCTACTGCGGTCTAAAGAAGTATTCTGTGGCCCAGTTCTCATACCGGAAGTCTCCACTACTGGGTTTTTGACACAAAAAAGTATAGTATTCACTTTACAATTTCCTTGAGACAGCTGATCTTCTTTTATAACTTTAGGGTTTCTGGGTTCATTTTGCACATGAATTCCAGGAAGACTCTTTGACAGATGTGGTGGACAGTCAGACCTACCATTAGTAATACCAGATTCTTTTACCTTGCTTAGGGACACATTTTTCAGGTCAACATTTGATTGTACATTATCCTCTCGATACGAAGATTTCATATATACGCGTTCCTTTAAAGGCAAATCCTGAAGACATAAATCACCAATGCCAGAAAGTAAATGCTCTTCAGGACTAATCTTCTTAAGATTCCCTCCCAATGCTTTATTAATGTTTGTGGTGTACTGTCCTGATTCACATGACAACTGTTTTGGGTTATCTTCAAAATCACCAGGGGTGACTAATAGCTCTGATTCAAGTTCTGACTGTAAATCACAAGAGCCAGCATTCCCTTCACTAGCCAGATAATTACTGAAAGAAGTCCCTTCCCAGTCAATGGAGCTCAGGTACAAATCAGTAATCACAGCTAAATCATGAGACAAAGGATTGGGTTCACCAGATTCTGATTCGAGAGAGTGACTCAGAGCAGCTTTCATTTGCTGATTAGGCAAAGGTCTTGAAGATGACATTAACTTTTCGTGCTTATTCAGACAGGGAGCATCTTCAGGTAGAAGCAAGCTAGTTAAAGAGGCAGAAGCATTTTCCCGTGGTAAAGCAGGATCAGACATTTCAAAGCTTAACCCAGTGTTCTGCGCAGGGAAGATTTCAGGTGTGAGTTTTACAGTCACAAGGGACTGAAGAGTTACTGCATCATGAGATTTTGGGAAACTGCCTTTGTTAGGCTTAATTTTCATATCTAGAAAGGAAAAACACAATATATAAACATACATACATATGAATAAAATGGACATCTATTTTATTCTTGGGCTTAAAAAAGTTCAGATCAAAAATCTTCTTCTACTTGGGGCTGGGGATTTAGCTCAGCGGCATAAGCACCTGCCTTGTAAGCGGTCATGAGTTCGATCCCTGGGACTGATAAAAATGAAAAAGACAAAAAAAAAAAAAAAAAAAAAAAACAAAAACCAAACAAACAAACTTCTACTTGAGCTGTTTTTGGTCATTTTTCATTCTCAGTGCACTCCTAGAAATATTTTCCTCTAGAAACAATCATATGATTGCACTGTTTTCTTAATGATTTCTAAGACATAAAGAACACACATTTGTAACACAAAATATTTTATACACAATAGTTGCTCTACAATTGCTTAGTACATTTATTAATACTTGGTTAAGTTAGTAGATACAGAGCAGAATGGTATGTGTCTGGCTTTTTAGCATTAAAAGAAAATATATGAAGGCAACCCAAATTTCTTTTTTTCTTGATTGTACAGAATTTACAGTAAAATTTAGACAAGGCAGGTTCCTACAGAACAGCGGCTCCTTTGTAACACTGGTGTGTGGCATGTGGTCATCTGACCCAATACTTACTTTTTGGCTTCTTCCCTTTAGTTTCTAGTTTTTCTTTTCGATAAATAGCAACAATCTCAGGATAAGCTGCTTCAAACAGTGACTCCACTTCAACTGTTACAATCAGTTCTCCATGTTCTACAGCAAAATGCTCTACAAGGTTAAAATAGAGTAAAGCAGTCTTGATTACAGATTTAAAAAATTGGTTCTTCCAGTAACTAAGTATGCAGCTAAACTGAGTCATCCTCAACTAGCAAGTTCACTGAAAATCTTTGTTTTCAACATCTGTATTCTCAGTTTGCTGATAATAGTGCAGAATTTATTTTCCCTTGCCTCGCAAAGGTGGAAGAAAATTCTTTTTAAATTAGAAGTTTAATTTCTTGAATTCTCTTGCTTCAAAGCTTAGCAGAGCCAGGCATGGTGGTACATGCCTGTAATCTCAGCACTTAGGAGGCTGAGGCAATGAGCATTACCATTTCAACACCAGCCCGAACAACATAGCAACACTATCTCAAAAAAACAGCAAAAACCCCAAACAAACATAACGCTTCTTAGCGACTGCTTCTGAAAAGAACAAAACTGAGTTTAGATTGTAGTTGTAGAGGTGTCCTCCCCTTCCCCGTTTCTCTCCTGCTCCTCCCTCTCCCCCTGGTGCTGGGAAGTGAACTCTGGGCCTCACACTCTAGGCAAGTGCTACCCATCTCTTAAGCATGCAATTAGTCTTACTAGACTTGCAATGAAAATATCTGTATGTGTTTACAAAACTATATATAAATAGTAAACCACTCTTGCGTTCCACGTACTCAGAGATGAGGCTTTTGGAAGGTGACTGGATCAGGAACTCTACAATGATATATAAATAGTAAACCACTCTTGCATTTATTCTATATATTTATTTGCTTTGTACAAAAAGCAAATTATAAGGAAAACAGTGGTAAGTTTAAAACAGAAGCAAAGGAAATAAGCAATCTTAGCATTTGTTAGTTAAGGCAGTTTGGGGTGTTTCCTCCCTTAAGGTACAGTGCAGTGGACCTCCGACCCTCAGTTTCAGAGACAAAACATGCACAGCTAAACTAAGTTAATAATACTTCATTCTGAAAATACATTAGCTTATAGCACTATTTCTACATAATTTTCAAAGTTCTTCAGCCTTTTATCTTCCTACTATTGCTTAGAATGATTTATCTAATTTTTATTAATTTTATCTTCTGAAGTTGTCTACAGCTTAAGCTTTCATTGAACAAATCTATCTAATTCATCTAAATATACAATCTAATGTCCAAGCCAAATATAAGTGAATTTGAGATAATTTCTGTTTTAAATTATCTGTTTTACTTGCTTACAGTTTGAGTATTCAGAATTCAGTTTTTCTCTGTGTAGTAAAAATGAGATTAACTTGACAATTATAAATTCCTATGAAACTAAACAGTAAAGAAAAGAGGAAGAATATTCCAGGTGCCATTCAACTTCAATTGCTTTAAAACCAGGCATATGTGAAATCTAAAGAGATCACTTATAAGAAGCATTTTCTGAAAAATATAAATAAAAATTATTTTGGTATTTTAAAGCATTACAAAAGAAATGTCAAATTAGGACATTAAAATGAGGTCACTTAAACTTTACCAAATTTACTGTTAGTCTGTCTATTTAAAATAATACCAGTGGGGGCTGGGGATTTAGCTCAGTGGCATGAGTGCCTGCATTGCAAGCAGGCAGTCGTGGGTTCGATCCCTGGTACCGATAAAAAGGAAGAAGACAAATAAATAAATAAATAAATAAATAAATAAATAAATAAATAAATAAAATAAGATAAAATAGTACCAGTGAACTGAAAGGCTAATCCCTGGTGCATATGGTAGGGTTCTTTTCCTTTATTTTTCACATGCATGTATCTTATACACACACACACACACACACGTGTGCGTGTGCGTGTGTGTAGACGTGTTCAAAGGTTAAGGAAATGTTTTAATTATATTGAGTACGTACCAGGCATTTCCCATTCTATTTCAAAGCAATGAACTCCATTTCTAATTCGGGGCTTAACGATTCTGCAAAACAAATTTATCTAATGAAGTCTGGTTGCATGAATTATTTTGAAATTTCAATGTTTAGGTTAATTCAATTCTACTGATCTTTATTCCAAGTAAAAATATAACAACTTTAACTGCATTATTTCTTTGACTAAGATTAATTTTATTCTTAGATGCACACTTTATAGTTGTCAATTTTTCTCAATAAATCATTTCATTATGCAGTGTTTATTATTTCTAAAGTCCATTTTTTAAAAAAATCCACTTTGTTACAAAGTTTTGGTAAATATTTGCCTAGTAAATCTTAAATCTGTTTTCCAGCTTTATGTGTTATTTTACACGTTCCTTGTAAACATAATGCTATTTTATTTATGCAATATAATCTGTACTTTTTTGTATAATCTGTATTTTAATAGATGATCTTAATTCACATGTATTTGTTAGATTTGCCATGCATTGTTTCCTGTCACTAGCTTTTTTTTTTGTTACTCTCCTTTTTCTACCTGTACCCTCTTGATAGTTTAACTGTGTTAAATGTGCTAGTGTGGGTAAAAGAGACTGCATATTTTAGTGATTAAACTGTACTAAAAAATAGTGATAATAAGCCAAAACCCTCAAAGAATGCATTTAAACACATATTAGCTTAAATATACTTGAAATACGATCTCTAAACACATAGGAGTTTCACTTTATCATCTATTAATTATTAAATATATGTATAGTATTTCTCTATTAAGTTAGCCAAACATTGTTTTATCAGTATATATGCCATCACTGTCTAGAATGTCCTGGAGTTCCACGTATTGAGACGGGGCTTTTGGAAGGTGACTGGATCAGGAACTCTACACTCATCTGTGGCAAATTTATAGCTAAATGTGCTTAAGGAAGTGGGGCAAAACTGGAGGAGGTACTTACTGGGGCATGTCTTTGGAGGATCTTTCCCCCCCCCCCCCCCTTTTTTCTCTGCTTCCTAGCTGCCATGGGTTGAACAAGTTTCTGCCAACTTGAGTTCTGGCCTTAGACTTAACCATGGACTGAACCCTCTGAAACCATGAACCAGAGTAAATCTCTCCTAAAATGTAATTTTTCCTGGTGATGGAGTTGTGACTAACACACGTACTAATTACTATTTTTTCTAATCTTCTTAAATTTTACAATTTTTCCCCTTAACATATATTCTTTAATAGCATGATTGTGTGCACGTGCATGTTCCTGGGCACTAACTCAGGGGCTCTGCACTGAGTCACATATCTATTTTTTATTTTGAGACAGTGTTGCTAAGCTGCTTAGACAGGACTTGAATTTGCTATCCTCCTGACTCAGTTTCTCAAAGTGCTAGGATTATAGGTTTGTGTCGCCATACTCAGTCTAAAAGTTCCTTTAATAAGGGTCTATGGGAGGTGAAATTTCTGTCTGAAAAATGCCCTTTCTGTGAAAAATATTTTTATGGTATCTAGGTTGCTAATTATTCCCACTCAGTACTTTGAAACATCACTCCCCATCATTTTCTGGTATCATTACTGCTACCAGGTTCATGTCTTTGTATTTTATCTTTTTTCTTTGATAATTACCTTCCAGATTTTTTAGTTTGAAAAATTTTGCTATATCCCACTTCTCAATTTAAAAGTTAGTTGCAAACATGCCTCATGACATGTTCTCAAATAGTGTGGTTCAAGTAGGTACAGCAATCTCTTCCAAAGCAACAATACGGCCCTTTCAGAGTCAGGAAATCAACATCAATACCACACTATTACCTGATATGCAGTGTTTTAAAACTTCCATAATTCTACTTAAAAATGGTTCTATTAATCCAAAAAATGTTTCTAACCTTTTGTTTGATGAAATTTCTATTTCTAAGGAATTTAGAATGGCAGATCTAAAAAATGTTCCTCCCTTTGGAACTATTAGAATAGTTCCTGATTAGATTCAGATTAAATATTGTCCACAGAAATATTAAGATGATATGGTGCCTCTCTTTATTTTCCTGCAGTAGGAGGGATATGATGTCAGTTTTTGGTCTATTATTATCATTATGTATTTAAGTAAGCTGATGTTCACTTAGTAAATTAATCTGATGTGATACTTAAGACTGTATCCATTCTTTACCTCTAGCAATCTTTCATTCACGGCTTTAACACTGATCAATGATTTGTACTGATGTGGCTAGGCACTTTTAAAGATTTTCGCTTCCAGCTTAATGTCTACAGTATGGTTGATCTATTCATTGTGCTTACACTTGGGGGTGTAATTTGATCTGAAAACTGCTGTTTGCCTTAAATTTTAGAAAACTCTCAAATGTCATCATTTCAAACTTTCCTTTTCCACCTTTCTTTCTGTTAGTTCCTAGAAATATACTGGCAACTCTCATGTTCTTCTCTACTACTCTGAAGTAATTCTTATCTGTCAGTCTTCACATTACCTTCTGTACGATTTGTGATCAGTACTTTCTTCCAATTTCCTAATTCTTTTGAAAAAATTCAGCCTGGAATCCTATTTATTGTTTTTTTTTTTACTAAAATCTTTTAAAAGTATTTTATGTTTTCTAAGATTAATAATAATTCATTTTTATATTCTTTGATTTAAAAATTCCTGTCCACTTTAGTTTTCTAATTTCACCTTTTTCTTATGGATATATCTTCATTTCTAATATTCTGAAAAGCCAGGAAAAACCCAACAGAAACAGCAAAAACAACCTTCAGACTATCGAGTATTTTATAAACTAGTTTAATATGGTGTGAATTCATGATGCAATTGTCTGTCTGTCTGTCGGTTTCTCTCTTTCTCTCTCTCTCTCTCTATATATATATATATGTGTGTGTGTGTGTGTATGTATTTTATTTTTTAGGTGCTGGAGATCGAATCCAGGACCTTGCGCATGCAAGGCAAGAGCACTACCACTGAGCCACATCCCCAGCACCCCTTTTATACATGTATGGCATAATGCAATTTGTAGTTTTTTAAAACTACATACCTTTTTCTTCTACTTTTATGTTTTATCTCTGTCTCAATCTACTTTTCCAGTTCTTGTATTTTCCATCTGCCCTATTTTAGGTACCCATTCCAGCCTTTAATATGACAGGAACAGAGGGCTCCAGCCTGGCCGCTAGTTCTAATAAGCAAGTCTGATGCCACCAACAGCTTGCTCTTCTGGCACCCACCCTTCTTCTCGCTCCCTAGGAACTCAGCCCCCACACGCTGAACGACGTTGCTGCTCTCAACCTAGGAGTTCCCAGGTCCAGCTCCCTACTCACCTCACACACACCTAACCACAGAGGTAGTTCTTTTCTGGCCTACTGAAATGGTTCTCCTGTTAAGCCTGGATATCTCCTTTGATATGTTTTTCCTTTTTGTAATATATTATTATTGTGTGATTAAAGTAGCAAAGTATGTCAAAAGCTGAACTTATGTTGCCTTAAATATACACCCTGGATACACTTCTAATATTCTAGGAGGCTTTTCTTTATAACACTAAGACACATATCCCACTATCAGAGGTCCTGAGAAGTACTAAATAGAAACACAAGTTTTCATCACACAGTTCCTGAAGCTCTTACCGAACTGGCTGTAGCTGCTTAGAGTTCCTTCTACCAAGTTTCCTTTCTATCATGTCATAGTGGCTCAAAAGCACCAACAATTTCTCACATGCATAGGGATTGGGCCACTCCATTTTTTCAAGAGCAAATCTCTGTGAAGACAAATAAAACATGATTTTCTTTTTATTTCTTGGAGACAACCATTACCATTCTCACAGTGACTTCATGAGGTAAACAATAGTTTTTTTCTGAGGTAACATCCAGGGACTGTAAATTACTGTCCAAATTTACATCTGTATCACTGATTTTAAATTTCAATCATCCTGTAAACTAGCGTTTCACAGGAATACACCTGATCCTGACATTCTCTGGTCACGAACCTCTCTTCCCCAAACATGGATACCATAAGTCTATATATGGTAACCAAGACATCTCCTAAAAGTAGTGTAGCAGGAGTTTAAGGTCTCTAAAGTCTGGCCATCATACAAAAAAGTTAAAAATAAATGTTAAACACTGTGTTGTGGTGGCTCACACTTGTAATTCCACAACTCAAGAAGCTGAGGGAGAATGATGATAAGTTCAAAGCCAGCCTGGACCATTTAGCAAGATAAAAAAAACCCAAAAACCAAAAATATCCAATCAACCCAACAAAAAACCCAAAACAAGCAAAACATAACAAAACAAAATAAAATGTGGGGGATGATGTAGTGATATGGCTCAGTGGTAGAGCACTCCTCGAGCATAAACAAGGCCCTGAGTTTAACCCCCAGTACGAGGGGAAAAAAGAAAGGAAAAGCTGAAAACTGTATTGACAGTCAATAGCTGTCTGTTTTAAAATTTTAAACCTGCACAGCAATCAAAGTGAATATTCTACCCTATATTTCCAGCATCTATCTTCACATTAAATAGGAAGAATTTATTTTCCAATTTATTTTCCAATACCTGAAACAATAATAAATCAGGTCTTTGGTACCTGATTACCCCCACTAATTTATCCTTGTTCAAAAGGAATTCTTGAATAACCTAGCAAAAAGAGAAAACATAATATAAATTGAGACTTTAACACTTTTATGAAATATACACATCACTGAAATAGTGTTCATTACCTCATGGAATGGGAATCCCTCACAACTGCAAGCCTTTCTGAAAATAATTCATATACATGTTATTATTACAATCCGGCAATTTTAGACAGACTGAAATAATCCCACCCAATTGCTCACCTATAAAAACTGTCATGTCCTATATATTAAATACCAAGCTTGCCTTTGGATACGCTATTACATTATCCTCCTTTGAGATAGGTGAAGTTTTTTTCCTTTTTTTCAAAATCAAGAAAAAGAATACTTGAATATTTCTGGAAGGTGTGGCAGGATTTCAAATTTGAGTTCCGTCTGGGGAATTTAGTGAAACCCTGTCTCAAAATTAAAGGGCTGCGGATGTAGTTCAATGGGAAGGCCCTGACTCAATCCCCAATACTGGAACACACACAGGCAAAAAAGGGACACATGCAAGATGATTAATCTATACTTGAGATTATGTGAAAACAATTTAACCACAGATGTGTATACGGGTCATGTCCAGAAAAGAAGTTTCCTAAGAAGAACTTACCTCATGACACTGCTCTCCACTCCGTTTGGCGGCTCCTTCTGATGCCATTCACAAGGACAGCGGTACTCATAGTCGTGTGGTTCACAGTATCTATCACTTCTGCACAGCCAGCATCCATGACGTTCATGATCCTTTGGTGAACCTTCATGGAGACATAAAGAAATACAACTTTCACTGCTTTTCAATATTTATTTTGCATAGTTTTTGCTATTATGTAAATTTTCAAAAGTTAGTATTGCCTCAGCACAATGCATATTATAAAGGCTCCAATACATTTAAGTTGCACAAATGATACCATAGGATAAAATAGACTGAGCTATTAGTATCACAGGACATTTTAAAAAGTACTATTTTATTTGAAAGTATTAATTTTTCAATTGGAATTATACATTTATCATATTCAGAAAATGTTCTATTAAGTGGCCACATACTAGAAAAGCACAATGCAATTAGCAAAAAAGATGACTTGAGGAGTTCATAGACAGACTTCTTTAACGGACGGATTAAAGCTGATTACCTTGCCCATGGTCTACTCCCCGGTACAGGCATGGTTATCTTTAAACTACGCTCAGAACATAAACTGATTATGACTGCAGCACCTGTGTGGAGATCTAGCTTCCTTTACAATGATAAGTGTGATTACTTCTATCATCGTTTTTAAAATACGGAGACTATAAACCTAAAATTGTCATTTATAAGTTACCAAAACACTGTGGAAAGGTACCCGTTCATAAAACATTTTCTTCCCTGACTTCATCTGTAATCTGACAATGTTTATGAAGAACACTTGTGAAGACACACAGATAAAGCTGAATGTCTTGTAAGAGATAAGCTAACCTTGTTTCCTCACTGCTTTGGAAGTGACAGATCTTGGTGACCTAGTGCATGGTCAGTAGTTTCTCTTTTTTAACCAAAACTGAGGAAAATCCAAGCTATTTTCATTAAGATTGAATATGCAATAGAGTGCATTATCTTTATACACAACAGAAACATAAGACAATGAAGAATTATGTTAGTATCTAAAAATAAATCACGGATCAAAGACAAATGGTTTCAGTTTCTTTCCCCCCAGATCTTACATTTTCCCTTAAATGGATTTGTATATTTCACTTGACATTTACTGGATACTTACTGGTACATAACACAACTTCTGACTCCAAGGTGTTCCTTACTTAGCAGGGAAAGCAATTTAAAAGCCTCCAAGTGCTATTAATACAGTTATGAGAAACTATTAGGATAGAAGTGAAAATGTGAACATTAGACTGTAATAGTCTGGAGACAGTCCCTGTATCTTCTTACCTGGATGAGCACACACAGAGCAATGGGCTGGTTTTTTAGCTACTTGTTGCTGTAGACTAGAGTGACGTGAGATTTCATTCCACTGATCAAATCTTTAATAGAAAATGGTTTAAAATGAGAAGAGACGGTCACAAAAACGCCCTGTTCTAAGTGTCAGTCTCATTTGCCTCCTTTCACCTGTTCATCATTTCTCCACTGATGATGAATTTAATGGCCTACCCTGGGAAAACACTTGGTCACAAACCTTATTGACCTATTTTTTTTTTTTTTTTTTTGAGACCAAGTCTTGCTCTGCAATTCAGGATGGCTTTGCACTCATTTTGCAGCCCAGGCTGGCCTTGAACTTGTAGCAATCTTTCTGCCTCAGCCTCCCAAGTGCTGGGATGACAGGTACATGCCACCACATGCAGCCCTGGGACAGCAGAATTGCAAAAGCAGGGAGGAGAGGATAATTACGTACATAGCTATGTATCTGTACACAGTAAATGAATACTTAGACACATTCAGTGTTTCTTTTTATTTTTGGCACAGGGAATTGAACTCAGATTGGGCCTCACATTACAAACACTCCTAGATGCCAACAAATTCGCAGAAGTAGCCCATGTGTCTGCCACTGAGCTACATCCCGGGGCCTCAGCGTTTCTTTAAAAGAAGCTTGCAAAAAAACAACACTTAGGGAGAATGTTTTGCATGTCTTTTTTTCTCTTCTCTGTATGTCAGAGTATACAAAAGTCTTGTACGTGATTGTTCTTCTGTATTAAAAGATAATGCAGCGGGGTACGGTAATGCACACCTGTAATCCCAGCTCTTGGGAGGCTGAGGCAGCATGACTACCTGGAGTTTAAGGCAAGCCTGAACTGCACAGTGAGATACTGTCTCAAAAACAAAACAAAGAAGAAAACTCAAACAAAACAGAAAACAAAAAGATAATGCATAAATCCAAACACAACATGAAGCTTTTGGGTAAAATGTGTTTCAAAAGTCTACATCATTTCTTAATTTCTTATGCAAATATAAAATGTCATTAGTTTAATGTAAGATTTTAGGAAACAAGTATATTACTAAGATTCTAAGAAAAGTTAATTTGATTTTTGGCTACAGTTTCAGGTTAACTTAAAACCACCAAGAAAGTTATGTATTAATTATAAAATATCAACTATAAATTTTGTTCCCATAATTATAGAAATTGCAGATATAATTAAAAGCTAAATTGTATCTTCAGTTCATTGGATTATGTCTGGTAACTTAAAGAGTTATAATTCAGCTATTGGAATTTGTTCATTTACTATAAAGACCAAGCAAGATTTTGCAAAAAAATTGGCATTAATTTCAATACTAAAGCTTCAAAAATTAAAATTAATGGGAAAAACGAGTCTGAAGTAGTAAAATTAGAATGTCAATTAGAAAAAGAAATGCAATTTTGTCTCTGTTGAAACAAACTGATTTGTCTGTGTGGTGACGCATTGCCTGTAATTCTAGCACTTGGGAGGCTGAGGCAGGAGGATCACTGTTATCTCGAGACCAGTCTGAACTGCAGTGAGACCCTGTCTCAAAGACCGAAAAGGAAAAAAAAACCCAAACAAGACAAACTGCTTAAATTTTGTCCAAGTACCTTTTACTGAAACTGTTTCTATAACTGCTGTATCTGTTTGCTTTTCCTTTCTTATTTCATTCTTAGTTCCCAAGGATTCTCTCACTCATAATAATGCTGAAGCACACCTCATCTTTACTATCAGTGATGTCAACAGCGGTTTAGTGCTGTCTCAGTGCTAATAAAGCTTTACAGCTTAAAGGACGCTGTTACAGGGGAGTGCAGTGACTGGAAAACTGTCCTGCCCATTAGGTCTTCGTTTTCATCACAGCATCCCTTTTCAGGTCGTCGGCACCTCAAACCTCCTGCAGGGCATGACTGTGCTAAGTCTCCTGGTTCCTGCCTTAATTGTTTATTCTATGCTCTATTATTAATTTTACAAGTCACCACTTTTCTCGAATGTAATTCCCATGTTCTTGAGAGAAAACAGGACAGTCTGAAAGCTTCATCACAATCTGCACATCAAGACCTGGTCGCCAGCGTTCTAGCTGGGAGCTTGCATAGATTGGAATGGACTCACATGACGGACACTCCTTGATGCCAAAAATCCTCGAAGTAGCCCATGCGCCTGCGACACTGTCCCAGCCGTGCTGCTGTGTGCTCAGCGTAGGTACAGAGAGGCAGTGCACAGCTCGTCAGGGACTTTCTGTGTGTTAGTGTGTCTGTGGTTTCTTACACTTCACGTTGTGCAAAGGTGTGTAAGACCCACTTCATTGGGTTTGTGAACAAATCTAACTTACAAGCATTCTCCAGCAAGGAACTCCCCAGTAAGTCAGGGACTCACTGTATACGAGTCATCTTGTACCCACCCTCAAGTTGTAGAATCAGGAGTAAACTCATAGCTGCTCACAATGAGTGGCCACGTGAAAGAATTTCAGTCAGGGTTTCTCATTTGGAACTCACTCCTGACACTGCACTGGTACAAAGGAAACACACTACCAAGCTTTCACCATAGCTCGGTGTGGTGACGCACACCTGTAACTCCAGCACTTGGGAGGCTGGGGCAGGAGCCCATCTCGAGGTTAAGCCTAGCATAGGCTACCTAGTGAGTTCAAAGCCAGCCTCAGCTACATAGCCAGACCCTGTCTCAGAAAAGCAAAAAGCAAAGCTTTAGATGCACAGTCTGAAGTTACTCAAACGCCACATTTATCTCAAGCAGCCTGTACAACAGCCTGTGTCACTGGGCATGGTGGCAAGCCATGGTGTCACCCTCCACACTCAGGAAGTTGAGTGGACACGGTGAGGCTGGGCTCTGACTGCGCCATACAGTGGAAAGAAACATCCATGTTTGCTGGGGCCAGCGCCATGGTTATCAATAAATGCATCTGTCACTATACATTTGTGTTTAATGATTAGTAATTATTTCCAGCTCGGCATAGTGGTATATGTCTGTAATCCTAGCACTCAGGAGGCTGAGGCAGGAGGGTCACTACAAGGTGGAGGCCAGCCTGGGCTACACAGTGAGACTGTCTCAAAACAAACAAAACCACCACCAATAACAAAAGACAATATGTTCCTAAATATACAATGTAGCCTAAAACATATTCTCATCCTTCCACTGGAAAACTTCAGAACAAATGTTATTTTAAAAGAAAATTTAAAAACAGTTAAACAATACGAAAATCCTCTTTTGGAAAGTATAATCATTTAAATAAAAGCCCAATGTAGAAGAAAAAGCCGTTTGTAGTTACCTCTGAAGCAAACTTTCCCCTTTCAAACTCTGTATAAGTTTCAGTGCTTGCTCTCTTCCAACTCCAGGAACTCCCTTTCAGAAAATGGGAAAGAAACGCACATGTTAATCAACAGGGAGTGGCTAACCAAAGTGCAGTGCATCAGTGCAGGGGCAGACACCGCAGCAGAGAACATAAGCCAGCTGTGGGGGCGCACATCTATAACCCAGCACTCGGGAGGCTGAGGCAGGAGGGTCACTGTAAGTTTGAGGCCAGCCTGGGCTACACAGTCAGTTCAAGGCCAGCCTGAACTGCAGAGCAAAACCCTGTCTCACAAAGACAAAACAGAACAAAATAGAAATGGGCAACTCTATGCATATCTCAGTTACTTTTCTCATCGCTGAGACAAACTACCCGGCATCTTCTGGTCCAGGAGGAAAGGCTCACACTGAAGCCCTCCCTCCGTCTGCAGAGGCCTCAGTCCACGGTTGGCTGGCTCCAGGCCAGGGTGGCATGGCAGGGGCATCACAGAGGAGAAAGAAGACGGGAAAAGGCATCGAAAGCAGGGTGCGAGCGCCCGCGCAGCAGCAGCCCTCTTGCTGGCCCTTCTGCTCTAACCAAGCCATGCGCGCTTAGGCAGGTGGTGCTCATGCCTGGGGTGGGGGGGGCCACCTTCCCATCACCCACACCCAGAACTGTGCCAAGCACGCAGCCGGACTCCGGCCTCCCACAGGCTAGGCCTGGCCACCTCTGAGAAGCCCCACCTGTGCCCGCAGGATGGATGCTATGACAGAAGCCATCAGAGTGCACAGTGGTAGGAAACACTGCAAGACATAGCTTAACGTATAAAATAAAATCGTAATGCATGGCTTGATGTAGATCTGTAACTCAAACAGCAATCAGATTGTTAAGTTCACGTCCACAAAAAAATTCAGAGGGTGACATCCCAGACCACTGGCACTGTTTATTTCAGGAGAAAAAGGGACAGTTTTAGAGGGCTTTCACTTCTGTGTTGTTTTGATGTTTTGTTACATTTGTGATTAGTACAAGTAAATTTAATTATGTGAATATTTAATATTTAAAATTTGAAGACCGGGACATGAAAAAGAGGAGGTCCAAGTTAACTATTATTAAAATGTAAGAAAATTAAAATGTGAATTTAAAAAATTAAATTTGGACATGAAAATTATATATATAAGCATATTCACATCACCATTTCTAGTCTGGGCCTCCTGGCTCCTAATTTATGATTATGCCCTTACAAACAGGGCTGCTGCTCAGCCAGTGAGCACCGAAACAGACAGACAGACATGTCAGTGTTAAAACACCTCCAGACTGGCCAGTAATAGCAGGAGGACCCTGACACTTCCAGCCACCTACACCAGACTCCAGCTACTCAACAGCAGCTCCTCGGCATAGCAGAGGCCACTCCCAAGTCTGTTCCATCTCTATACCCATAGCGGCACCTTTCACACTCTAGTTACATACACTGTATATAACATTTATATAACACAAATATATAATGTATGTAAGAATTTGTATATAAATTTTTTTATGGTACTGGGGTTTGAACCTAGGATCTCAGCAGTGAGTCTCGCACCCCTCTCCCCCTTTTCTGAGACAAGGTTTTCCTAAGTTGCCCAGGCTAGGTTTGAACTTGTGAGTCTCTTGCCTCGGCCTCCCAGAATGCTGGGATTAGAGACACATACATTATGCCCACATGTTAAGATATTTTGGGTATTATCCATCTTGTATTAGCTTTTAGCAACAATACAGATATTCCAAAGGCAAATCATGCTACCAGACAGTCTTAAAAAATCTTTAAAAATATAAAGACATAGCAACTTTGGTACAAAGAACAAAGAATGTCAAAAGGACAAAGACTAATATAAATACCACTGCACTGAAGTTGGTTTCTGTGAGTTCAAGTTAGCAAAGAACCTAGATTCAACACTGGGTTGTTTCTAGATTTTAAACGCTAAAACTACATATGGAAAATAAGGGTTTTTATTTCAGCACGAAAATGTCCATAATGGTTTTGGTATTTAAAGTTTTTTTTCCTCCCACTTTTTTCTTAACAGCTAAACAATACTTGATTTCTGTGTTTGGCTACACAGACATATGTTACATACATTACAAAACAGGGCTACTGATTTTACTATTTTCTTTATTTTAGTCCTTCTCCTAGGCTTAAGGGTTTGGTTACTTTTCTCATTGCTGAGACAAAATACCCAACACCAAAACTAACGAAAGAAAGGTACACGGCTTGTAGAGGTTTCAGCTGGCCTGCTCCAAGGGGGAGTGAAATGGCAGAGGGGTGCTGCAGGGAAGGGACAGTCCATGGCAGGTGGAACGGAGCAAAGCAGCAAGCAGGGCCAGCAGCGGAAGCTCTGTCCCACTACGTTCTACCCAGGCAGCAGACTTAATGACTGAGCCATGCACACCAGGTGGGCTCTGTCAATCCCAGTATCACACAACCCAGATCCAGAAGCCCTCCCAGACGGCACCAGCCTGGGGGGACCTCAAACCCAAGTCACAGCACTTAAGGGAAAAAACACTGCACTGCACTGTATTTTTTTGTACTTCTCTTGGGAACAGAGGTACTGAGATTTGTAAGGATACAGAGATGATCCATAGGACATAATGAAGGAAACATATAGTAAGACATAAATTCCAGTCATTATTATTTTTAAATATGATATTTAACAAAACCAGATTATCCTCACAATTCTTAATTCACCGCATCTCCTATACTGCATAATCATTAATGTATGTTTCCACAAACAAAGCACTGTGCTAGCTAAGAGGCCCAAAGCTATGAATGGCTTGTTTCCCTAACCATGCTGCGGAGCACCAGTAATAACACGGAACATGTACAACTGGTAAAACACAATGCTACTGAAAGCTAAAGACAGACAAAACAAAGACAGCAATGAGCTCTAGCTTTAAACAAGAAAACTATTTCTGCATGTGGTGGCTGACTGTGTCAATCTGAGACATTTAGCAGTTTAACTAAACTAGCTTAGCAATTGTACACCCTGTGGTAGCTCATCCCCGGGCTGGCATAAGGGAAGAACAAGAAGATGGGTTCCGTTCTTTGGAGAAGCTCTAGTCTTTGTCTTTGGCTTGGATTAGTCTCCTGGCTCTCAGGGCAGACTCTTCGACTTCTGCCTTGGATCCTTCGGCCTTCTGTCACAGACCCATCAGCCTGCTGGTGCAGACTTGCACGGGGCATCGGAGTGGACTCCAGATCTTGGATTGAACCCTTCGAGCTCCAGTGTGCAGACACCTTCTGCATGCTTCCTCATCCGACTCTGCTGACCACCAGAAGCCACTCTCGTAATTTCTTGGACACTTGTCTATCTCGTGTTGTATCTGTTTTCCCTAGTGTGCCCTGACTAACACAGATTTGGGTACCGGGATTGGCCCTAGAGAAATAATGGCCTTCTTTAATGGCTTCAGGGGTTCCTGGACTGGGCTCTGCAATGTGGTGAGACCTGAAGACATCAAGACCTCCCTTTACTTCTGTGGGGGTACACTGATAACCCCTGGCATGAACTGTTTACACTAATACGCTGCATGAATACATTTGATTATCCTAACTCACCACGTATGAGATGCAATGAATTTGATAACTCTGTACGTGAAAATTCTGTATACCTCTGGCAGAGTAGGAAATATAATGAAGCTGGATGGTTGGTCTTAACCTCTTTGGACAAACTAGTAAAGGAAAAATCCCATCTCCATACACACATAAAAAATTGTAAGTTTCTAAGTGTGTCCTGATTGAAAATCTGTCTTTTAGCAGCCCTGGCTGAGACTGCAGAAACTCAAACACAGTCTCTCATAACTGGACTGGCTGAACTACCATGTAAATGTAATACTCAGCCCTGAAGGGAATCTGAGGCAAAGGTGAGGGCGCTGACCAGACAAGAATGGGATCCTGTAAATTGGGACGGAAGTGCATGGGAGGGTCCTGAGAAAGTTGAGGATACTGATTTTCTGGGTGCTACTGAAGTTATTCTGCCAGCAGGAAATTTTCCCTCTTGCAGTGTTGGCTCTCCTAGCTCACCTGAGGAAGCTAACCCTGTGTTAATGAAGCAGGACAACACTGACCCTCCTCAGGACTCACCCTCAACACCTACTTCTGCTTCCAGGCCTACAACCAGCCTCAAATCACTGAAGGGTCCTAAGGGTGAGGTATACAGTGTGACCCATAAGTTTTCTCTTATAAGCAGAGACCCAATGAGCAAGCACAGAAATGGGTTTTATGAGTGTGGAATGATGGTGGCAAAAACATACACCTGGATTAGGCTGCATCTGTGGGCCCATGAAGTAGGGATTCTGAAGCTTGTGGAGTAAAGAAGGTGCCAACAGTTTACCTGGCTGGTTGGCAGGAGGGTGGCTCAAAGGACAGCCCACTGTGAATGAGTCAGAGATGCCCGGTGTCCCATGGCTGACTACTGATGAGGGGATTTCTAGGCTCAGGGAAATGGGAATGCCAGGGTGGATCTGTCTTGTTAAACCTGATCCTCCATGTCGGGATGACCCAGATGATGAACCCTTCACCAACACCTTGAGAAACTGATTTGTGAGGGGGCACCGGCACCCCTGAAGAGCTCTGTCACTGCTCTTCTTTATATACCAGACCTTACAGTGCAGACCACAGTTACTCATTGAGGGTGATGGGTTTACTGGACCCGGAGGGGCAGAGGTCAAGTGGCAGCACTCAATCGCTTAAGATAGTGTCTCTGTACTTACTGTAGTGGACAGCAGAAGCAGAACAAGAACCAGAATGATCCAACATGTGCAGACCTATGGCACTGGCTGATTAGCCATGGCGTTCCCAAAGTGAAATAGACAGGAAGCCTACAAAATTTTACTAGATTTAAACAATAAAAAAATGTAAGGGCAAATGAGCAGAACCTTACTTCAAATCCTAACAGGGAATCATGGCCCCTCAACAAGTTTCCAGATTTGAATCAGTTTACAGACTCAGAGCCCCTTGAATGATGGAGGCCAGGTCCCCGTGGGGCAAGATCTTGATGTGCTAAAAATTTATTAGTCTTCCTCCCATCCTTCCCCCTTGCTTGAGTGACTGCACACTGGGGAAAGGAGAATGATCAGACATATCGGGGACTACTGGACACTGGTTTTGAACACTGATTCCAGGGGATCCAAAATGTCAATGTGCCCTCCAGTAAGAGAAGGGGCCTATTGAGGTCAGGTGATCAATGGAGTTTTAGCAAAAGTCCAACTCACAGTGGGTCCAATAGGTCCTCGGATTCATCCTGTAGTCATTTCCTATTCTGGAATGTACAATTGGGATTGATGTACTTACTACTTGGCAGAATCCTCACACTGGTTCCCTAACCTGTAATGTGAGGGCTATGATGGGAAGGCCAAATGGAAGCCACTAGAGTTGCCTCTGCCTGGTAAAATAGTAAACCAGAGGGAGTATTGCATTCCTGGAGGGATCCCAGAGATTACTGCCACCATCAAGGACTTGAAGGATGCAGGGGTGGTGGTGCCCACCACATCCCCATTTAATTGCCCATGTGGCCTCTGCAGAAGACAGATGGGTCTTAGAGAATGACCATGAATTACCATAAACTGACTCAGGTGGCGACTCCAATTGCAGCTGCAGTACCAGATGTGGTTCCCTTGCTTGAGCTGATTAACACATCTCCTGGTCCTTGGTATGAGCTACTGATCTGGCAAATGCCTTCTACTCTATACCTACCCATAAGGACCAACAGAAATCATCTGCCTTCAGTTGGGAGGGTCAGCAAGGTACCTTCACTGTCTTGCCTCAGGGGCCAGCCCTGTGTCACTGTTTAGTCTGCAGGGATCTTGATCATCTTTCTCTCCCATGTGGTATCACACTGGTCCATCACACTGATGATGATAAGTTGCCTGGGCCTAGTGGGCAGGAGGTAGCAACCACTCTGGATTTATTAGTAAGATATATGAGAGCCAGAGGATGGGAAATAAATCCAACAAAAATTCAAGGTCCTTTTACCTCAGTGAAATTTCTAGGAGACCAGTGGTGTGGAGCATGTAGAGATCTTTCTAAGGTAAAATTTTTGACAAACTGTCACATCTAGCTTTTCCTATGACTAAAAAGGAGGCCCAACGCCTAGTGGGCTTATTTGGATTTCGGAGGAAACACATTCCTCACCTAGGTGTCTTACTCTGTGCCATGTACCGAGTGACTCAGAAAGATGCTCATTTTGAGTGGGGCTCAGAGCAGGAAAAGGCTCTGTAACAGGTCAAAGCTGCTCTTCCACTGGGGCCGTATGATCCAGCAGATCCAGTGACTGACACTTAAAAGTGTCAGTGACAAAGATCTGTTTGGAGTCTCTGGCAGGGCCCCGTTGGGGAATTATAGTGGAGGCCTTTAGGATTTTGGTGTAAGGCTCTGCCATTGTCGGCAGACAACTGCTTTCCCTTGGAGAAACAGCTGTTGGCCTGCTACTGGGCCCTAATGGAAACTGAATGGTTGACTATGGGACACCAGGTCACATGCGACCTGAGCTGCCTACCATAGCCTGGGTATTATCTGACCCACCAAGTCACAAGGTTGGACATGCACAGTAACACTTTATCATTAAATGGAAGTGGTATATTAGTGATCGAGCCAGGGCAGGTCCAGAGGGTACAAGTACATTACATGACGAAACTGCCCAGATACCTGTGGATCTTACGCCTGCTACATTGCCTTGTTTTCCACTATGCACCTATGGCTTTGTGGGGTGTATCACATGATCGGCTATCCAAGTAAGAGAAGGGCCTTCTTTACGGATGGCTGCACACATGCAGACACCAACCACAAGTGGTCAACTATAGCATTACAGCCCCTTTCTGGCCAGATGTGAGACTATACTGATTCACAGGCCACAGCCAATGATATGGCCAGGAACTTGGAAGGAACATAGTTGGAAAATTGGTGACAAACGTATTGGGGAAGAGGTACATGGACAGACCTCTCCATGTGGGCCAAGGATGTGACGCTTCCCATGTAAATGCTCAACAACAGGTAACACCAGCAGGAGAGGACTTTAATAACCAAGAGGATAAGATGATTCGTTCTGTGGACAATGGCCAACCTCCTTCCTTAGCCTCCTGTCACTGACCGATGGGCCCCTGAACACAGTGATCACAGTAGAGGGATGGAGGTTATGCAGAGGCTCAGCAAATGAACTTCCACTCACCAAGACTGATTATACTTCTTGTTTTGTTTTTCCTTTTTGAGAAAGGGTCTTGAGCTCACTTTGTAGCCCAGGCTGGTCTCCAACTTGCAGTGATCCTTCTGCCTCAACCTCTCAAGTGCTGGGATTACAGACACTACACTTTTTTATTTTTAAAAATTCTTTGGGTTTTTTGAGACAGGGTATACAATTCAGGTTAACCTTGAATTATGTAGCAGACTGGCTTTGAATTTGTGGTGATCCTCCTGCTGCAGGATTCCAAGTGCTAGGAGTGTAGGCATGCACTACAAATGTCTGCTTATATTGCTTTAAAAAGGTAATCAAAGTTGGAAGTGAGTTAATGGTTTAACTAAGGTTCAAGCTGTGGCACTACCCACTACGCTATTCTCACATTCAGTATCACAGGTCAGCGTTTAAACTTCTGAATTGTCGTTTTAGTTACAGTATGGCTTAGTATGCCATTTGTATTTTAAATTAGATCCTCAATCATGTAACTGTATCACACTCATATTTACACAGGATACAAGGTACCAAAAAGACACACTGAACAGTGAGTATCACTTTAGCTTGCCTTGGGCAGGTAGTCACATCCAAGAAGTACGGCGAGAGCAACCAGAGCATCTCTGTCCAGGCCGAGCTTGTTTTTGATGGATGACGCTGTGTAGCAGTCAACGTGTGGGTCCTAGAGACAACAGAGCTTCAGCTTCATCTTCCAAAGCTCACACAGTGCTCACACAGCAAGTAATACTACAAAAATAACTTGTGAGATAGCTTTAAAAGTAGGAAAGTTATACTCATCTCTGAAATCTTGGTAGAATCTAACACACAGTTTGCAACATTTCCTCCCACGAGAATGCCTAGACACCTTTCACATCAGTAATATGTACCTTTTCAATGGTTGGTTATTACCGGCTCACAGGGCTGAGTCAGTGCTTTCCAATGGAAGCACTATCAGCACCCTGGCAGGGAGGAAGAATGCTGAGCAGGAGGCTGGCATGCCTGGGACAAAGCTTGCTGTGTAGGTTCCCTGCCCAGCTCTGAATTGTCAGAATGGAGACACCCACAGCAGCAACCAACTTCCCTTCTCCCATCAGTGAGCACTGGCTATTGGCTACATTTTTGTAATTACTAACAACACTACAATGAATATCCTGTCTGTGTATCGCTTCTTGCACACTCAGGTGTTTCTGGGTCAAAGTTCACATACAACTTTGTGATATAGTACTGAAAATGACCTAGAATTAAACCATGTGAAACGTGTTTCTTTAGTATAGAAATTCACATCTTGAAGACTTAACTATATGGTGATGACTTAAAATTTTAAAAATTTATTTTAGCTGATATACAAAATGCAAAAGCACATTTATAATATACATGTAACACTCTGACACACATATACCTATAATGTTTGAACCAAGTAAATCATATCAAACTCCTCAAACACACGTATTTATGGAGAAAACTTTCAAATCCTTTCTAGTTTCTTGAAACACAAAGGCTGATAAAAAATACGGTATATGGGTAAATATTTATTACAGTAAAAGACACAGTGTTATTACCCTCCCCGAAACACCCCTCTTTCTTTGAACATCCAGTTGTTCCTGTGGCTTTCTGAAGCAGTTCTGGAAGCACTCTATGTGAGTGTCTTTATGAGGTACGATAAATAATGTGCTGACGCCACTGCCAAGTGTCACCCAGCGGAAGACGGGCTCACCAAGATATTATGGTGTGTCCCCTCCACCATGCACTGGACTTAGTATGTGAGACCACTGTCTTTTCTGCAGTCAGACAGACCACTGGTTCAGAGCACTGATTAGCCAGGACAGTCTGAATGAGGACACTCACAAAAGAATTCTCCTAAGACTGCTTCAGAAGGTGGCACCAAAAGCGATGAGCGTGTCTTGAAGCAAGGGGGAGCACACTGACAGCAATTAATGGCAATGTCTTTTACTGCTTAAAAAAGAATTCATCCTATTTTTCAAACACACTATATATAAGAGTAATATGTTTAGTGACAGCAAACATTTATTTAGCAACTGCTACTTGCCAGGCATTATGGGAAGCATTTTTCATACACAGTTTCATTTAATCATCCTCTTTGAAAAGATAACTTGTAAGTGAATGCCGAAGAAAGGAGTACCTTTGGGTTCATGGTGAAATTCCGGTAAACAGTCTGGGCCCCATAGAGGAAAGCGTCCCCATCGTTAGTCAGGCAGCCGTCCACCTGACCACCAGCGTCGAGGTGAGCACACATGGCCTCGGCCTCCCCCGCTGCTTGCACCCAGGGTATTCCCAAGCTCTCCAGCATTTCAAGGCACTGAAGAAAAGCAGGTGCGGATTCCTTCACTATGTGGTTTCCATTAGAAGCAGTAATAATAGTATATTGTAATAGTAGCTATGCAGATATTTTCAAAAATATGTTGAAAAAACACAAATCTTGGTGACACAGAGGAACAACTGCTAACCTTTTACGTATGATAATAAAAATCAGATTATGGTTATGTTTCCTTTCTAAAAGGCATGCGTTATAGAGAAGCACTTAAATACTGAGAATTACACAATATTATGGCTGGATTTGCTTTGAAACAATAGGGGAATAAGGTGTGGCCAAGAGTTAATAGGTGTTTAATACTGGTGATTGGGTACTTCGGTACTGATTTAGAATTTCCTCAAGTGAAGGTTTCTAATGTCAATTACAGACCTTTATTGCTGTTTGGTTCAAGGGTATTAAGTGCAGAGTCAAGAAAGAGTTTCAAATGAGAATGAAGACTCAATGTGCAAAACTACAATCACATTTTCTCCCGTGGCGGTCAGAGCAATATAAACTCTTTTAGAGATGATGCTGGCCAACAAGGGGTTTGAAGATGTGAAGTTTTATTGGAAGCTTTTTCTCAGGCTGTTTTCCGGGGCTCTGGCCACATGACATCTGGGAGACAGTGTTGCTGCAGGTGCTTCCTCCTTAACTTAGATTAGAAATGTGCTTCATAACAGACAAAGCTATTTCAACTTCTTGAGACATCTTTCATTAAAACTCTTCGCAAAGAAGGAGCACAAAAGTTGTGATGAGGCTGGCTGCAACTTTTTCTACCCTAGGTGGCGATCTGTAGGGCGCAGGCAGTGTAGGAGAACGACCAATTTGTGCTTTTGATATTTCAAAAGTTGGTAGGGATAGGAGGGAGTAAGGCCAACTAAAAAAGTTCAAAAATATGAAAATAGTAATTAAAAAAATACTGAACTGATGCAAAGTGCCTAAGAATATCACTATTATTGAAATAAAACAAAAAGGAAAGACACAATTCTTTTTTAAGATTTTTTTTTTGGTTAATGGGGATCGAACTCATGACCTTGCACTTAACAGGCAGGCACTTTAGCCACTGAGCTAAATCCTTAGCCCCAAAAGACACAATTCTTTTATGAAGAGTTAGAGATACTAGGTCCTTAATATCCCAGGTATGAGGTCTGTGGATATTTTCAGAAACTAATTACATAAGAAATTAATTATAACCCTTCCAGATGTTTCATTCAATCGCTGAGTCATTAAGGTAAAATATTCACTAGTGTAAAGTTCTTTTCTGTGGTGCCAGGAATCAAATCCAGGGCCTAACGCCGGCTGGGCAAGTGCTCTAGCACTGAGCTACATTTTTCAGCCTTGAAAATTACTTTTGAAGAAAACATATAAGGATAGAAAACAGGCAAAATTTCAGAAGTGGAGAAGAGGTCAGGGGATGTAGTTCAGGTGATAAACCACTTGCCTAACATGTGTGACACCCTTAATTCAATCCCCAGCACCACAAAACAAGCAAAATACAAGAGTAACAGCGATTTCTTAAGAAAATTAAAACTGCAACAAAATTATTAAAAAGTAGAGAAAAATAACCATTATTTCATTCAATGTCTTTTAAAAGAAATGTGATTTTTAACACAAACTGGAAAGAAAAACAGGAAAATGAGTTAAACACATGGCACATATCCTTAATATGTAATGAAGAAAAATCAAACCTAAGATAGATGGTCATGACCATGATGTGGTTATTGTTGTGGACATGATGACCATTACCTAAAACAGGCAGACTGTTTAAACCCAACATTAAGAGACTGTTATGTATTAAACGAGGCATTTTTGTTTCTACATCCTACAAAGACAAATCCACTAATACCTAGCACTGCTCTGAGCGCACTCAACTGTTTTCCACATCTGTGCTGATAAGAGGCACAAATCCAAAAATTGCTCTGTTGATTCCACTTGGGGGTAATTTTTTCTAAAGTCTCAAATCACAATAAAAAGTCATCTACACAGAAAAATCACAAAGTAAATAATAAGTACCATCTTGGTAATGATTCCTTGTTTAACATGATTCACAACCAGCACAGATTATGATTTTTTTAATAGAATGTGGAAACAGGGCTGCTGAATAAGTGAAAAGTCTACGATAAATATATTTGTACACTGTACAACCATTCTTTGAAAAATACATATGAAAAAAGACAAAACAATAGGTGATTTATTCTTAAATTATATATTACATTAATTGGAGATAGGTTCTTAACTTCTATAAACTATGAAATATAAAGATGAAATATAGCAATAAGTAATATAAAAATAAAACCTTAACAATTACTCAAAATTATAAGCCCTAAGACAAACCAATAATTTTATACACAATGTCACAGATTTTAATAAGTGAATTAATGAGATCTCATGTATGAGATATGACTGAGAAGTACAGTGAACGCTTAAGAACATGTTTTTAATGACTTGCTACAATGAAAGACTCACTCTGCTCAGCCTCTCCAGAAGCTTCCCCTCGCTCTGAGCCCACCCGTTCATCACCCTTGCTGCTTCCTGAAGCAGTTCTGGGAGTCCCTTTCCTCACTCTCGCTGTACAGTCTCAGCAATGTGCTGACCCAGTCTTGAGGACATGGGGCACTCGCAGGGTGGTGAACGTAATCAATGTGCTGACTTTTACACCTCGAAACACACTCAAAGGAAGGACTTCCCACAACTGCTCCAGAAAATGGCAAGAATGCCACGATAAATGTGTTCAAAGCAAAGAGGAATATTTTGATGGGGAAAATGATGGTATGTCATTTGCTGAATAAAATTTTTAAAAAAAATAAGCGTTCACTACATATTTTGATCACTTCTTGTATTCAAGGAATTTTTTAAGTGCTCAAGATGCTATAAAAGGGAAGATCGAGAAAGCCTACTATAGTCTAATTACTTTGAGTCTATTTTCTCATTGTTACTTTTATCATCTACAGTGTAAGAATAGAGGGATGCCCAGTACCGATAAAAAGGAAAAAGACAAAAAAAAAAAAAAAAGAATAGAGTGATGGGCAGGTTAAAAGTCCTGCCCAGGGTGCGGATGTAGCTCAGCAGCATAGCACCTGCTTAATAAGTGCAAGGCCCTGAGTTCGAGTCCCATATCAGAAACACAAAATCCTGCCCGATTTCTAAATGCCAGTGCCAGGACTTGAACTCAAGACAGCTTTCCACTACAGCACAAACTCTTCATTCTCACAGGGGTCTTCTAGTTACAGTATGGCTAATGGCTATTGAAGTTTACAAACTTATTACATAGGGTACTCTTTAATTCAAATCAGAATTATAAACCAAATCTGAAAGCTCACCTCTCTTAATACTGACTTAAAATGTGATCTTCCTGATTTCTGAGACCATGTTTTTCCAGAAAGCCCATACCGAATCTGATTCCTCTTGTTCATGACATCAGCTTTCAGCTTTGGTGGTTCCCCTTCCATAACAAACACCAGTTTGATATCCATTTGCATTAAATATGAGATACGAAAAAATAAGTTCCTGAAATACATAAGTCAGTAACATATTAACTGTAACATTACCGATAGCAAAAACACAGTATAACACAAAGGTTATATCAGATAAAGTACCAAAAAGCTACATGGGATAAACATCTATCAAATTAAGACTTATTTTAAACACAGAGGGAATTGACCACTTTAATGCAGGGAGAGTCATGGCTGTTGTCACTGCGGTAAGGAAAATGCTTTGAAGAGGAAGCCTAATAGCAAGGAAGGAAACCGAGTGGAGCCATCTCAGCAGTACTGATGAGGCGAGATCGGCAGAGACCGAGGTGGTGTTTCTAGATGCTGAAAAGTTTGTGAAGATAAAGTCTATCTTAAAAGTAAAACCACAAATCTTCCGACTGACTCGAAGTGAAGGAGAGGCAAGACGTGAGCCAAAGGCCCTCCGCATTCTGCCCGAGTAACCAAGGCATCCGAGCGCATAGGCGAGGCAGCAGCAGCTATGTGACCGGAGCTCGAAGAGCAGGAAGAACACAGCTGCGGCCATCACAGTTAGAGCTGTTCAGTAGCCTTTCAGCTCCCCCAAGAAATCCAGCTCAGACAAAAACAGTTACGTTCCCGGGGCTTTCACTGCACCTGAGGTGAGGCTTCCTCACAGTTCCCATCATCTTTCTGACAGACTGTGCCTCACACACCCAGAGACTCAGATCAACTGCGATGGTTTTCCCACTGAGATTCTGTAAGTGGATGTGTTGCTTAGCAGGCTCCAAAATCTGCCACAAGTCATTCACTCCCATTCTGCTGATTATTTGCTTTACCTGAAACATATTTTACAAAAAACTGTAAGAAGAAGCAACTTCGGGATAGAAACTCAAACACTGTATTATGAACTAGTTCAGGACAATTCTGGACCCTTCAAATTTCTTGCTTAGTCAGCTTTCTGAAAGGAATCACATGAAAAAAGGCAGTAACTGGCTTTGTCCCCGTCAGTAACATGCGCACCAAATGCACAGACTGTAGAAAAGCAGGGGCACTGTAAACTATTATTGTCTAGTTGAGAATTTACCCCTTGATGTAACATATCTAGAGAATGGGACTAACAGCTTCAAAGCAGAGAAACAGACAACGAAGAAAAACAAAAACAAAAACCCAAGAAGCTTAATGATAGAAAATTTTGGTGGAAAAATAGGACAAGAAATACAAGACAGTGAAGAAATGCTGAAAGAATACAGTTACATATTTTTTTTTTAAAAAGGTACTGGTTTTTTAATTGCATGATGACCCTTCATTGTGGAAAAATAAAAAAAACCAATGCTAAACTTCATTCTATATACAGTACAGGTCATTTCAAGAACAAAATTATCTTCAATTCTGCTATTGTAACCTACTTTGGTATCTTTTAAGGCTTAACTTTTCTTCATTAAACATTTACATTTGTTTTTCTTTTCCCAAGTTACTCAGCAAAAAAACTATGCAGTATCTACAATGAAATTATGCAGTATCTAACTGTACAAATACAACAGATCATTATCCTACGGATAACAACCTTAATTCACACCAAAACACAATGCAGGTGACAAGAATACAGAAGTCAAAAAGCTACCACGTTCTGAATAAGAACTATTATCTTTCCTTTAACCCAGTCTACTCTAAATGTTATCAAATTGCACAGGGCTGCAAAGAAAATAAATGACAGTAATGTTGCTGTCTGTAATTTTCCCCAAATCTCAGTTTTACAATGCATTCAGTGTTACACTGTGTTCATTTTGACAACCTACTTATGTATAGAAATGTCCCTTCTGCACAAAATGCTCAGATGTAAACACAAAAGCGTTCTGTAGGTAATGGGCCAGGGCTGATACTGTCTCCTGTCCAAAAATTGTGCCAGCCCAGTACAGCACTGGAGCACAAATTGACAGCAAACCTGCAAAGTCATGGGTAATTCTGGAATATTTCCCACAGCATTATTATGAAAGAAAATGGGATTTCAAAACTATCAACCACATAAAAACACAACTCACAAAGCTTCAAAAGAAATTCTTGCTGACAGTTTTGGTCTCCTTTATAATTCACATTGGACACTGGAATAGGTTGTTATGTAAGGAAACTAAGCAATTCTTCTCTTTGGAGAACTACTACTGTAATCTTATTAAAATGTAACTTTGACTCTTAGAGTTCAAAATTTGAAAGTATCCTCTGATATAGCCATATCTCTTCTAGAAATCTAATTTAAGATATTTTAAGTGTTTACAAATTTATATACAACAATATTCATTATAACATTGCTTGTGATAGTGAAACACAGGGAAGAATATAGCCCTAATCACATCTCACTCAGTCCTTTGGCTAAGATTGAAAAATACAGCCCTACCTGTATGGAAATAGAGAAGTATCTTTTAGATGGTTTGCTTCTTGCCTAAGTGACCAAATATGTTAATATTTTAAAAATTTGTAAGTACTTGAAAAATAAATACAACGTGAAAATGGCTTTTGAGGGAAAATGAGATTCCTATTATTAGATTTTCTCCAAACTGTCCAAGAACTGCTGGTGCATGAACATTTATTCTCTGGCCCTTCTGGTTCTAATGTTCAATCCTTCCTCGAGGGCCAGGGATGCAGCTCAGCAGTACAGCACCTGCCTGGCAAGTAAGAGGCCCTAAGTTTGATTCCCGGTACCAAAAAAAGAAAACAGAAAAAAGAATTTCTTCCTCCGATGTTTTATTGTATGTTAACTTCACATATATAAACGAATAGTGGTGAAAAATACTGCCTGGGCCAGTGTTAGGTACGATCACACACACACACACACACACACACACACACATACACACACACACACACACACACACACACACACACACACACACACAGTATCTGGAGGACAATGATGTCAACCGGATTCTTTTTGAGGATAATGGTAAAAATGACATAGAGAAACACAGAAGAGGTAGACCTTGGTTTTATTCACTGTAGCTCTCCAAGTATTTCAAGAACGTTAGGGTCATTCTGGAAAGATTTTTACCGAGTGTATCACTCATTGAGAGCAGCCATGACTGGAAAAGAATCTAGAATTAATTGTATTATAGATTGAGTATCTCTTATCTCAAATTTTTGCGCTAAGAACTATTTGGAATTTGAGACCTTTTCAATTTTGTAATATTTGCATATACATAATGAATTATCTTGGGGATAAGGCCCAACCAAATCTAAAATTCATGCATTTTTCTCCTGATCTGCTTTGTTCTTTTATTTTTACTTTTACCCTCTTTAAAATAAAACAAAAAATAAATAAAATTCATGCAATTTTAAATACGCTTAGTATGCACAGTCTGAAGACAATTTTATATAATATTTTAAATTTTGTACATGAAACAAAGTTACATGGCATGGAAAATTTCTACTGTGGCATTGTGTTGGTTTTTTCCCCCATCTTTTTGAGACAAGTTTTCTGTTTGTTTTTTTCAATCTTTTTGAGACAAGGTTTTGCTATGTAGCTCAGGCTGGCCTCCCACTCCCAGTAATCCTCTTGCCTCAGCCTCCTGAGTGCTGGGATTATAGCCATGCACCACCATGCCCAGCTCAAAATTTTCTATTTAGAAACATTTTGGATTTTAGGGTTGGGGATACTCAATTTAGTAAATTTCCAAAGATTAGAATCTGTACAGAAAGAGGGCCTTTAAGCCCAAAGATACCCTTAATGTAACATTATTACACTTAAAACAACTTTTCATGCTACTTTAGTTTCTTAGGCAAGAAGCAATCTGGTTTGAAGAACATGGTTCAAAGTAACTAGCAGTGGCAGCTGAACAGCTTATCTGTAAATATCTACGTAGGACATCTATTTTGTCTGTATTTTTAAATGTGAGTGAACACTATCCTACTGTAATAATGGCTACCCAAACACAGCTGGTATAACAGTGACTGTCCTGTCTGCGAGAGCCAAGGTCCCAGGGGGTGACGCTGATGGGGGGATGAAGACAGGCAGAAAGCTGGGTCCAGTGGAGCCCTGCTCCAGATGGCAGTGCCTGTATCCACACACTTGTTACACCATGTCCCTGAGCTGAAAAAGCTGCTTCCTATGCTCCCCGCCTTCTCCCACGTCCTTGGGCCTGGAACACCTGTTCCCCTCCAGCATCTTAGGCAGTGCATTTCTCAGGTGCTCTGTGCCCTTGGGGCATTCCTGGTCAGGCCCTTGTGCTTTGGGCTCCACCCGTGAACCATCACTAGCTTGGTGGCTCCCAACAAGTGACCAAAAGGTCTGAACTCACTGGTTTCCCCACAGTAAAATACCAGCTACTATCTCTGTGCTGAAAGCGACTGGTCTCCATTTTCCCTTAGTTGTGTGACCTATTCTAGAAGGATGTGCCTTCATTGCCAGTCCTCTGGGTACTACACTCTTTTAAACCCACATACCCATGCATCCACCAAAATGCATTTTTTTTTTAAACTTTTTATCGGTATCGGGGATTAAACTCACGACCGCCTGCTTACAAGGCAGGTGCTTATGCCGCTAAGCTAAATCCCCAGCCCCTACCAAAACGCATTTGAAAAAACACTCAGAGGTCTTCTTTCATGAGCACCAAAGAATTACAATTGTGGAGGACACTATTTTTAAACTTTTTCACTGAATAACAGGAACTGGGGGGCATTTTTAGAAGAATCTTTTTATGACACACTCCACCAATTTTTCTCTTTAGCTACTGATTATTAATGAATTGCCTACTACATTTTCTTGAATTACTGCAAGACTTCATACAGCCTTCACCAATCCTATCTTAAAAATCTAGATTAAAACTATGCTAAAAGCAACAACAATAAAGGATGGGGGTGGGAATGGGAATTAGAACTTTTTTTCACTCTCGTGACTTGTAAGGGGAACCCTACATCATCTGACACGTCCAGAACTCCTGACTAGAACAAATCTGTTTGGTACATAATAGGCACCTAAAGTATGGTTTTACCACCTCTCCTCACTGTTTCAACCATAACCTAGTTGTCATTTTCTTTCTTTCTTTCTTTTCTTTTCCTTTTGTCATTTTGAGACAGTTTCATCCTGCAGTTCTGGGTGGCCTTAAACTTACTTTGTGGTCCAGGCTGAACTCCAAACTCCCAGTGATCCTCCTGCCTCAGCCTCCCTAGTGCCGGGATTATAGGAATGTGCCCCCAAACATAGCCTCGCTGTCATTCTTGTTTTATCTCTATTTTGCTCTCCAACAGCAAGTTAGTTAGCAATTCCTCTATCTCCAAAATATATTCTACACCTATTTCTACTTTGCCTATATTCAACTCTAAGCCTAACTAGCCTCCCTGTTTCCACTTTTACTAATGTTTATTTTATTAAAAAGTACACCACAACCTTTAAGAATGTAGTTAATCTAAGATTTCTATTTCCATCATCTATTGTTTTCTTTTCTTTGCTGCATATTCTTTGCACTAGTTTTCCTAAAGTAATTACATAGCATGATTAAAATTATAAAAGCACATAAAAAATTCCAAAAAGAAACAGACTGCAATAAGCTTTAAGGTACTGAATTACAATGTAATACAAAACAGATAGTTCTTGTATGGTCAGGCTTTGTGGCATGGGATTTGGCAAGGCCATACTCAAATGTGTTACAATGCAGTACCTTTATTCATGACCCTTTGATAACACTATATATCTACAATTCTTAGGTTAATTATAGCACAAGAATACTTATTGTAACCAACAAAATAAGAGCTAAAAAAATAACTATATAGTTTTCATTTAATTTACTTCATCTGTATCAACAAAATAATAACACATAGCAAACAACACTATAAACTATGAATGCCCTCAATTTATTTAGTTTAATGGAACGACCACTGGACATGGAATATGGAAAAATCTTAGGATTTTGGCCTTGGATATATCACTGATTATTAGCTCCATAACCTTAGGAAGACATATAAACTTTTGGTAAAATGACAATTAAACCAGAACAATTACAAGATTTAATATGCTTTGAATCTCATGCCCAATTTTGGTAGTTTACTATTAAAAACTTACTTTATTTTAGAAATTATTGCTTGGTAGACAGGACATAAATTTTAACTTAAACACTGGGTTTAAGCATCCACTTCAAGTTAAAACAAAAACAAAATCTTTGATGTGACCATATGGTGCCCATCAATCAATTTATGCTCTTAAAACTTCCTTCAAAGCTAATAAGATTTTATTGGTTAATTATAAAACTGGATGAGGTGAGAAAAACACAGAAACTTGCTAATTTCGCTATGTATCAAATGTAAAGAACATAAAAAGAAGTCAGTAGCTTGATTTATATAAAACAGGTATTTAAAAAACTAAGTTTTCTAATTTACTACAACTTCAAGCAAAAAATTACCAAGTTTAACAAAAAAGACAGGAAATGCTTAAATTTTCCAATTCTGATCTAGCTACTATATTTTCATATGACGATTGGTAAACGGTGTAAACTTTTAGTACAAGGTAGTATTGCATGGGATTTACTATATAATTTATTGAGATTTGTAATAAAATTATTTTTTTCAATTTAAAAATTTATTGTTTTATATTTTAGGACCGGGAATTGAACTCGGGACCTCACACTTGGCAGGCAGACGCTGTGCCACTAAGCTATATCCCCGGTCCTCAATTTTAAAATTTATGTTTTTTAAAATTAATTTCAATTTTTTATGTGAATTTAGCCTTGACTTTGAGGCCCACTCTAAGCGAGGTCGCTTTTCTGTTACCAATAAATATTCATCAAATGTTCACTATTTGCCAGGAGTGCTTCTAGGAAGGTGCTGGAGACGCAAAGAATGGAAAATCGGATTCTGCATTCAGGACATTGGTGGCATGAGCTGCAGAAGGACAAGGCAACTGAACAACGTGAGAAGCACAGAAAGCTGCTTTAAGAAGATTAAGAAGAGGGAGCCCGGGATTGCAGGCAAAGGAGGCGCCCGACATCGTCCTAGACATCAGGGCAGGCTCCCCGAAGGAAAAGACAGGAGAGGGGACCGCCCCGGCGCTTCCCCCTAGTTAACCCACAAGGACCGTTTCGTCGTCGGGCATCAATCCCCGGCAAAGGGCACAATGTGACACAGTTTTGATTGCGTTCAGAAGCAGAAAGCCACGTTGCGGGAAGACATTTCATTACTGGAGACTGCACTCGGCTTTGGGTGGCGGTAAGCGCCTTTGTTACCGGGGGGGGGGGGGGGGGGGGACTGGCGACGCGCCGAGAGTCGCGAGGACCCCGCCGGACCGCGGCCGAGGACCAGGCCGGCACCGACCGCGCGGGGAGCTCCGCCGCGCCCGGGCGGCGGCACAGCCAGCCCTTCGGGGGCCGCGCGGGCTCCGGCCCGGACTTACGCGGACGCCCTTCCTCGTCGGTCACTCACAGTGGGTCCCAAGCCCGCCTACCGCTGCTGCTAAGTTTGTGAACTTCTCCAACACAAGGGAAACGGAAGCGCCGGCTCCTCCGGCCCGGCCGAGAGCACCAGGAAGCCCTTTCAAACCGCGCGCCACCGGCGCTGGCCCCGCCCCTTCCGGGGAGAAGCCCGCCCCGCCCCTGGGCTCCGCCGAAGGAGGCCGCCGACGCATGCGCGAGCTGCGGCCTGAGGCAAGTCTCCCGCCCGCGCACCGCCCGCAGGCGAGACCCAGCCAGTTTTTCCCGCGGCGGGCATTACCGACCCTGTTGGGGCTAGAGAGGCGCGAGGCCCGAGATCACGCATGCGCGCGGCTCGCGCGAGGAGCGGCGCAGGCGCAGACGTCCGGCGGTGGGCGCCGGCTCCGGCCGAGGTCCTAGGGCGGCTGGTGGCGCCCACCGGCTGGCCTTCGCATCCAGTCGCCTGGAACATGCTCGCTAGTCTAGCTGCTCCTGGAAATCGTGACCCTTTGGAGGTGGGAGGGACGCTCGCTCCGCCCTGCCCGGCCGTCCCTCTCTGAGGCGCGAGTGCTGCGAGGAGCAGGTCCGGTCGGCAGGCCCGAAAGGGCGGCGGGCCGGCGGGGACGGGTCGGCACACACCGGGCCCACAGACGGCGTGTGCCGCTCCTGGGCCGCGCCGCCGTCCCGCTTGCGCGTGGGTCTCCGGCGCAGCGGCGGGACCGGCGGCCGCTCCCCGGGAGTCATGCGGGCGGGGCGTCCTGCGCGCGCGGCGTCCTGCGCGCGCTACCTGCCCCGGGCGGCTCGGGAGGGAGGCAAGCAGGCTGGCCCCAGGCGGCGCTCTGCAGGGAGCGCCTGTGCGCTGCGCCTCCTTTGCGGCGCCGAGGTCTGGACCGCAGCCTGCGCGCTGGGCCGGCGCTCGCCCACAGCGGTGTCCCCAGCCCGCCGTGAGACGAGGCTGCCCCGGTCTCGTTCTTCGGCCCCTTCCTGCGCCCTGCGGTCAGCCTGTGTCTGCGATCGTCCTTTGCGGACGACGGTTCGGTTGCGGGAGGGGCTGTTAGACCCGCTGTATGGGTTTACTCTCGGTCACTATAGCACTCTGTAATGTAGTTTTTAGTGTTGGGATTCAAATCTTTTTTTTCCTAAATAGGCTCGTGTACAAAAAAGCTTGAAGACCTCTTGTGCTTAAAAACGTGTCCCTTCTCGACAGAAACAGAATTCTCCTACACTGTCAGGTTAGTACCATCTCTTTAAATTTCAGTTCCTAACTCAGGATTCTTAAATATGGTAAATATAGCTGTATTTTCTTATCTGTTTGTAGTAAGTGGAAACCATGAAATATTTATTAATGAACTGGCGAAAAGTAAGTGTAGTGGTGGTAAAGTTGTTACGGTGGAAAATGTGTTTTATTTCCCTAAGTTGTATTTTACTGAGAGTGTAATCTGTTAGATTTTATGTGAAACCTGCCAAAATCTTGATTGTAGTTTTTACATCTAAATTAGGGAGTAAGTCAAAGATACCCCTGGCTGGGTGGGGGTGTAACTTAGTGGTGGAGTGTTTTCTTATAGCATGCTCAAGGCCTTGAGTTCAGTCTCCCAGTATCAAAAAGAACTGACAACTGACAGTCAGGTGTAGTCATTTATACAACACTGTCTTTTCTCGCTCAATAAGTCTTTCTGTGTTACCAAATTCAAACTATTTTCTGTAGTTTTCATTCTTCCACTCCTGGATCTACTTCTCTTGCAGAGTATATTGTACTCCTGGCCTCTCTCCTGACAAACCACTGTCTTACAAAAGCAGTTAACATTAAGTAGGAAGACGGAACGCAAATAAGATCTTGCATAGCAAAACTAAAATTTTGACTGAATTAGAATATCAGAAGGATGTACATAATTTTTTGTAGTTTTAATAAAGGACTCACAAGATAAAGAATAAATTAATAGCCTGTTTCACTGCTCATGGGTAATTAAATTGTCATTTAAACTCTCCTGTTTATGCAGTAGGAAATCGGACTTTAACAAGGTTTGACAAACCATCGTTTAGATCTGGGCTCTGCTAAGTTTGTGAACCACATAAACTTTTATAAATCAGAAGTACATTATAGTTTAAGTCTTTTGCTTGAGCCTGTTTTTCTCTTTGAAAAGACCTTACCTCAAAGAGATGTGGCAGCTCAAAGGAATAAAGTTTGTCTCAAAAATTTTAAGTGTTACTTGACAAACATTACTTGTGCTCACCAGGAATGGTACCCAGTCTTACATTTGTCTCATCTCTTTCCCCTCATCCCTGGATTGCCAATTTTTTCCCATCTTCCATGGTAAAAACTTGTCTTCTCTGCTGTTGTGCTTACTGTTTGACCTGAGTATCATTCTTTGCTGCCCAGACTTCATTCTTGCTCTCAGTGCCTTAGGGCACAGCATCTGGGACTTGCTCATGGCGCCCTCTGCAGCAGCAGCAGGCAGAGTGTGGTTCACGTTCCACAAAACTCCTCCCTGAGATCCCCAAGGCAAGACTGTTGTCACAGTAATAGTAAGACGTTACTTGGCTTTTTTTCACTATCAGTCGCTTCTGAGTGTTGTTGAGTGAAGTTTTCTAGACACATGGTATAGATGGATGTCTTTGCTTGGACCGACTGAAAATGCGCTTGTGTGTTACCAAGTTTCTCAGTTTTAATTTATGCTGAACATTGATGGAAGAAAGAATTCTTTAGTACTTTTCAATGTTCACAGCTTTTGAAAAGTGCTTTAGGCACTGGACCATCAACATGAGAGACTCAGGTCTCTTGCATAGTGTAGAATTTAGCCAGAACTGTTTCTTTAGCTGTGGTGCCTGCTGGGCTGGGTAGCAGCTTCGTTCCCCTTTGGTCTGGGAGCACTGCCGGCAGCATAGTCTCCTGCCTTCTGGGCAGTGGTGAGAGTCTGGACTTCTCATTGGGCCTTCTTCAACAGAAGCCAGCTGCGTGGGGCTGGGGGTGACACTAGCACTTCAGCACCTGGTGTGGGTGGAAGTCTGGGTGCTTGGAGTGGTCTCCCCGACACCATTGTCATGGGTCCCTCTGTGGCCTACTGTGTGTCCACTGACACTGTCCCGTTGGGGTATTGGGGTATTTCAACTTGGCCAGGCTGGAGTCTTCAGTGGTGGTCTCTTCATCTCGCAGGGCTGTCAGTCATGCTTGGTTCGTGTGTTATGTCCAAGGCTTTTAGTTTCACTTAGCAGGAACAATAGAAAACAATACATCTATCTGTAAGAATTTCTGATTTCTTTTTTTAACTTGTGTTCTGGGAGGGGGAATTAGAGCCTTAAATACTAGCTCTACTGCACACTGCTTATATTCCATTGTATACAAATATGTGAATAAACATTAAAATAGTCTCACTGAAGAGAAATTTTGAATTGGTAAAGCAAAGAACTAGTTTGGAGAAAAATGTTCAGAATACTCTCAAATTTAATAGAATTTACATGAAAAGTGCCATACTGCAGATGAATCTGGTTCAAAACATAAGGTACTTGTAGGAAGTGTGAATCTTTATTAGTGTTTTAGAAAATAAAATTATAAAAGCTAGGCATAGTGGGGGCCGGGGATTTAGCTTAGCGGCATAAGCGCCTGCCTTGCAAGTACATGGTTGTGAGTTCTATCCTTGTACCAAAAAAAAAAAAAAAAAAAAAAAAAAAAAAAAATGCTGGGCATAGTGATGTGAGCCCATAATTTGAGGACTTGGGAGGCTGAGGCAGGAGAATCGTTGTGAGTTTGACACCAGCCTGGGCTACAAAGTGAGTTCAAGGCCAGCCTGAATGCATAGTGAAAACTTGTCTCAAAAAGACCAAAAAAAGGAAAGAAAATTATAAAACATCTATAGTCTATGGTAATCCTATAAAAGCCAGTGTATAAGAAAGGAGTTGAACGATTTCATAACATTAGCCTTAAAAAGATTTTCATTGTCCAGTAAGTTTAAGTTTAGTTTCATCTTTCTTGTTTTCAAAGATATTTAAATGTCTTGCAAAAGAAGACATTTTGGATCCTGAAGAAAAGAGACAAAGTGCTCATTGCAGTTAGTAAAGAAACGTCATGGTATCAAAAGCTGACAGAGATAGTTCTCCAAAATTCATTCCAGCATACACATATATAAAAATGTAATATTTCTGCACTGTTGAGTGTCACTATGATCTTGGCACTAAGTGGGGTCCTTGCCTCTGTTCCCCTCCCAGCATACGTGCATTGTGAGGCTGGGTTCTGGGTTCTGGCCTGTGTGCTGTGTGCGTGTTAAGGGTGCAAACTGTTCAGCCCATTCCTCGAGAGAGGCAGCCTGATCCATCTGCTGTTGCTGTGGGAGGAAAACTGGGTTACTATGGCCCCGAACTTGGGGACTAAAGTGGGTTGGACCATTCCTCATGCGCTTTTCTTGTATCTTACAGTGTCTTTGTAGTCTTTGGCTTTTGGGGGTTTAGACGGGGTCTCAGTACATACGTGGTTCAGGCTGGCCTCAGACTTACAGTGGTCTTCCTGCTTCAGCCTCTCCAGAGCTGGGATTACAGGCGTGCACCACCACACTGGACACATATACTTTCCTTGCATTTTAGTTAATCAGTTTGTATATTTTTGGTGAATTGAACCTAGAACCTTCACACACCCTCAGCCCTGTCTTTTGTTTTGTGGTAGGATCTTACTGAGTTGCCCAGGAGACTGCAAATGTCAGATCTTCCTGCTTCTGCCTCCCAGAATGCTAGATTTATAGGTGTGTCATCACCCCACAACATTTTTGATTGTTTTCCCTCCATTTATTTAGCAAACAGTTGTACCTATTATTTTAGACTTTAAATGTATTTTAAAAAGAAAAATGAAAGCAGTAATTAATCATAAAGTTTGATTTCAGTCAGATTTACCAGCTTCTCATGTTCAATATATATTTAATAGCACAGAACACATTAGCAGCATCTTGTTCAATTCTAAACATAATTTCCTAGATTTACTGTATTGGCAAAAAAACATGAACTATTTGGGGAACATTTAGGGAAACCACTAGTGTTGGCAACACTGCTTCAAAATATGCTTCTTAGAAAATACTTTATTTTTTATTTATTTACTTTTCGATCTTTTTGACACAGGATTCTCACTATGTAGTTCAGGCTGGCCTTGAACTCACTGTGTAGCACAAGCTGGCTTCAAACTCACAGCCATCCTTCTGCCTCAGCCTCTCAAGTGCTGGGATTACAGGTGTGCCATCACGATGTGTGGCTGAAAATACTTTAAAGGCTTTATAAGATTTGCTGTTAACTCTTTAACTTATAAAAATTGTATAATTGCTCTGGAATAAATTTACAAAGTGCTATACCATTTCTATTATTAGAAACCATGTCTCACAAATTTTTATCTTGTGAATTTGGCATTTACACTTTTAGGTAGGCTTATGTTGGCAAAATCTTGGTCATAAATAACACTGAAGTAAAATTAACTGATGCAGAGGGTTCAAGTGATTTTCTAAAAGTGTCATAAGTTGATTCCCTGCCCACGTGGAAATGAGCCTGACCTGGTCTCGTGGGCTAGTGTCAGTGGAGCTGCTGCTTTTCTGGAGGCTGTAAGGGAAATCTTTTCATTTGCTTATTCTAGAATTCCTTGACACAGCCTGGTTTTCTGCTGTTTAGAGGACTTTAATTTTTAAAATTAAAATTTTAATTTTAAGTTCCTTTTTCTTACCTAAAATTTAATGAGCTTCGCGTGATTTCTTCTGTTAAGTTTAATACTAGAGGAACAATCGTGGACTTTATCTGTTAAGTTTAATACTAAAGGAACAATCGTGGACTTTATGCTGTACTTCATTGTTACCACAGTGTTTGTTCAGACCAGATGGCCAAAAGAAAGGAAGACGGTTTCTTCTCTCCTGAAAATGCCAAAAGACCAAGACGAGAATCAGAGGATTTTGATAAAGATAGTGATGAAGATGAATGTGCTGTTTCTTTGACTAAAGACAGCTCTACATTGGTAAGTGCAGAGTTAGAAAATTAGATTTTCAATGGGCTTTTTTCTTATGTCTCTTATAATGTCATGCTCCATGAGAATTCATAATCAGGAAAAAGCAGTATGTCTTTAAAGAACTAAGACAAAAATAACTTCTGAATGATTTTGAGGTTTACGTTAATTATCAGAAAAATGAAGCAGATGAATAAAATTGACAAACCTTTAATGAGACCAACATACAAGAAGAAAGGGAGACAAAAGACGTAAATTACCAATGTTGAGAATGGAATAGGGCTGTGACTATAAACCCTGCGGACATCAGAAAGAGGACACACAGATAGCAGCTCTGCTACACAAAACTGAGAATAACAGGTGAGGTGGATCAGCTTCTTAAGCAAAAGCACAAGGCCCCAGTATGGAGTAGGTGACATGTATAACTTTGTAACTTTAATTCATATTTTGACATCTAGAAATAAGAATCTCCATGCTCATTTGGGTTCTCTAGAGAGGTGGACACTAGAGAGATACAGCATTGGGTTAGAGAAAAATTCACATGAATTCTGCAGTCTTTTCCAGAGAGTGGAACATTTTTTAATTCATTGTGTTGGTACCAAAACTAAAAGAAGCACCAAAAAAGGAATGTGTACTCATTTACCTTAAGAATCTGAACTAAGAAATCTTTAACAGATACTAGAAAAGACTTTAGCAGTATGTAAAAAGAACATACACTGTGATCAAATGGCTGTCTTCTAGTCATGTATGGTGACTTACCTCTAGATGTCCCCTCAAAGACTCACACACTGTTCAGGAGAGTTCTTCAGAGCTGGCTGGATCTAGGGTGTGTGGTCGCTAAATGGGTTTACCACAGATCTGGGTGTGGATAGTGGAAACCTCCCCCCTTGCCCGGTGTGGGTGGCACCAATCAGTAAGTTTGTAGCCTGGATGGAATACAAAGGGAAAGGGAAAGCAGGCTACTGCTACTGCTCGCAGCTGTGCTGCCTGCTAGCTGCTACCTCCTATGGACTGTTCCTCCTCCCTGATGTCCTTTTTTCATGCCACCATGCCTTGAAGTCCGCCAATTCTGGGCTGACTGGAATCTTTATACACTGTGAGCTGCAGTAAACCTTTCCTACTTGAACTGTGAGTGTCAGGTATTTTGTCTCAGCAAGGAGAAAAATAGCTAAAACAGAATGCAAGGTTGGTTCTGAGTCTGAAAATGAATGTAATTTTCTTTCTTTTTTTTTGTGGCACCAGGAATCTAACTCACAACTACACGCTTAGAAGGCAGGTGCTCATGCCACTGAGCTAAACCCCGGATGCCTAATTTTCTATATTATAGACTGAAGAAGACAAAGCATATCATTAGATGCAGCAAAAGTATTTAACATATTCAACATTCTTTCTCATTGAAACTCAGAAAAATCAAGTTAGAACTCCCTTAACATAATAAGAATCACTGAGAGAAAAACCTACAAGGAATATTCTTAGTAGTACAGTACTCCTTTTCTCTGCAGATGAGGAATAAGACTAGAGCATCTGCTCTGATAATTCTTATTCACTGTACTGCTGAGAGATTTAGCTAGTACAGATAATGCAAGAAAAGGAAACAATATGTAGAAGTTAGCAAAGAAATAAACCTGTTTCTATGTGCAGATGATCTGATTGCCTAGAATATCTCAAGAAACTTACAAAAAAATGTTTAAAACTAAAAAGAACATTTAGCAAAGGTATAGCTTGCTAGATAAACATTTTTTAAAAGTATATTTTTCTATATTGGCATGGAACATGGGCATTAAAATTCAAATATACCACTTATTATCTCTGAAAAAAAAGTTTCAAGATGCAAATTAGAGAACAAATTACCATTGTTACACCTGTAGAATGATGAAAATCCAAACTGTTACCACAGCACGTGCTAAGAGGGGTGTGCGACAACAGGAGGTCTCCAGCTGTCCCGGGAATGCAGAGTGCTGCTATAGCTACTTGGGAAGGTAGTTTGGCTGTTTCTTACAAAGCCGTATCTTACATAATTCAGCAGTCACACACCTCGGTATTTCCCTCAAAGGAGCTGGAACCTCGTGAGTATACAAAGCTGCACACAGGTTTTTATGACAGTGCTACTAATTCTTTCCAAGGCTTGAAGGCAAACAAATGTTCTTCGGTGAGTGGATGGATCAGTGAGCTATAATTCATCCAGACAATGCTGTATTTTTTAATGCTAAAAAGAAATGAGTATCAAGGCATGAAATGACATGAAAGAGATGATTCATGTTAGTAAGTGAAAGAAGTCAGTCTGAAAAACATCGTGTACTGCATGATGTGAGCCTGCCCTTTGTGGGAAAGCAGAGCTGAGGGACAGTGGACAGGTGAGTGGTCTCTGGAATTAGAGAAAGGTGGGGTGAACTGGTGGAGGACAGGATTTTTAGGACACTGAAAACACTACTCAGGGGTGTCATGGTAGATAGATAGCATCAGACATTTTTCTAAGTCAGACATTGTAGTGCACACCTGTGTCCCAGTTACTAGGGAAGCTGAGGCAGGAGGCTGTTGCAAGTTTGAGACTAGCCTAGGCAATTTACAAAGTTCTTGTCTCAAAATTAAAAAGTGAGGAAAGACTGAGATGTAACTGTTCCCTGGGTTCCGTTCTCAGTACTGCAAATAATAGATTCATATTTGTATTTATTTTTCCAAACCTGTTTAATATATAGTACCAAGAATGAACCCTTACTGTGAGGTAAGGACTTGCAGTGATTGTGAGCCGGTGTCAGCTCTGCGAGGGTAAGGGACACTTCGCTGTGGCTAGGCCTGTTGATGGCAGGAGAAGGCTGTGCACGTGCAGCTGAGAGGTATTTGAGGAATCTCAGTGTCTTCTGTGTTTTACTCTGAATTTAACAGCACTCTGAAAAAGAAAACAAAGCCCTTAGGTCTAAGTCTAACAAAATGTGTATAACGCTTGTATGCTGAAAACCATGCAGTGTTGGTGAATGAAATCAAGGATCTGAGTAAACTGAGAGATTTATTCATAGATTGGGAAATCCAGCAGAAGAGATGTTGATTCTTTGCCAAGTTGAAATACATGTTTAATGTGATTCTGATCAAAATTATAGCAAGATTCTTTGTGGATACAGGAAAATTTAGAGTTTATATGAGGCTCAGGGATATAGCTCAGTGGCATAAGCACCTGCCTGGCAAGTGCAAGGTCCTGAGTTCAATTCCCAGTGCCTAAATAAATAAAGTCTGTATAAAAGGACAAAGGTACAAGAATAGTTAATACTGAAAATGAATGAAGTGAACGGTATGACTGTACTTACCTTTACCAGATAGTTACAGTAATGAGGATGATGTATCAGTACTGGGAAAGACAACTCATTAGACCACAGGATCAGTTCTCAACAGAGCAGTAGACCGACAGGAATTATAGTGAACTTCCTTTCTACAGAAAAGCAGAAGCACTGTAATGGCACGGAAGGTAGCTTTTCCAGCTAGTGTGCTGGAGAGGTGTACAGTGGTAGCTTTTTAAAAAACAGTACTTTGACTTCAGTCTCTTACCTTAAAAATGGGCTTCAGAGCATAGCAGATGTAAGTGTAAGCATTAGATAGAAGACATTTAGAAATAAATGTAGGAGAGAGTCTCACACGTGATCCCAAATGCTTGAACTCTAAAATGAAAACTTGATACATTGGTCTTTATCAACATAGAAATTTTACTGTGCAGAAGACCCTGTTAAAGAAAATAGAAAATAGAAATTAAAACTCCTAATTTGGAAAAAAATATTGTCAGACTGACTATCCAGCAAAATACCAGTGTTTGAATACAGAAATTTCAACTCCCCAGTTTGAAAATAGCCAATCAAATTATGAGAATGGGCAGAAGAAACCTAAACAGGTGGCAGAGAATACACTTTCACGAATGACGGTGAACCCTTTCAGTTATAACAAACAGCCAGCTGTGGCATGACCGCCATAGGTTTGTCGTCACTGCTGTATACTTTCAAGACAATGAAATGATACTCACCATCGTGTGTCATCAAGGTAATACAAACAGACCATAATGAAGCACTCCTACATACCCATCAGAATGGCCAAAGGGAAAAATAGTATACACAAAGTAGAAAAGGATGGGGAAAGAGGGAGGCCCAAAATCATTTATACATTGCTGACAGGGATGTAAAGTAATCATTGCTCTGGAAGAGTTTGTCAGTTGCTGTTAAAACAAAACACATAACTACCATGTAACTCAGCCCTTGTCTCAGAGAAGTAAAGATTTATATAAAACCAGTGAGTGTTTTTAGGTGTGTATAATAGCCAGAAACTGTGGCAGACCCAGTGTCCTCCAACAAGTGGATACAGTCTGATAACATTCTTCCTGAGAAATACTAAAAGAATAGTCTTAGAGGCAACAAGAGAGAACTGGACTGTGTGAAAAAAGTCCACTCTCAAGTGATTACATTTTGCATGATTTCATTGGTTTAGTGTTGAAATGGGAAAACCGCTCTCTGGCTCTGGGATTGGGGTGGTGGAGTGTGTGTGATGTGGGGATGATTGCAGGGCAATGTGAGGGATGCCTAGAGTGACATCGTATTCCGCAGCGTGACTGCCCCATAGGTGTGTGTCTTGGTTTGATACTCAGTTTATTTTTAGAAGATGTCACCATTGGCAGAAACTGGGGGAAAATGTTCACAGGATCTCTCACTTCTTACAAAGTAAAAATGTTATTAATAATTAGTGAATCATGCTTTCTGATGCTCTACTTATGAAAAGATACAAGTAAATACTTTCTGCTTTCTAATAAGATGAGTGTTCAGAGGAATTGAAGTGTTTCTCCTAAAATAGGTAGAGACATTAAAATGGTCTTCAGACTCACTGGTGAAGCATGGTTGGCTTTAGGTATCCACAAAGGCAAGTGACTGATTCTTTTCCTCATTTTGTTTCTCTGTTACTAGACTGCGGCAGACGTTGGGATAATAGAGAGCATTCATCTAAAAAACTTCATGTGCCATTCGATGCTGGGGCCCTTCAAGTTTGGCTCTAATGTCAACTTCGTTGTTGGAAACAATGGAAGTAAGTCCTTTGACCCTTTTCTCTGGCTTGAGGACTGAGACCTCAGTATGCGTAACTGTTAGTGCTGATAGATACTTGTTTTGGTTCTGTAACTTGTGGTTATAAATATTCTCAATGTTTATTGTCAGCTACCTTTAAAGAAAATATTAGGTCAACTTTAAGTACCTTGTTTAAGCAGTTAAGACACTTCCTGCTTCATCCTCGTGCCAACCCCTTTATAATGAATCTCACATTGCCCAAAATGGCCTTGAACTCTTGGGCTCATGTTATCCTCCTGCTTCAGTTTTCCAAGTAACTGGAACTGGGGCAGTTGTCCTTATACCCAGGAGTCTGCTACTGTTTTATACAGCACTGGTACCTTGGGCCCTAAGCCGTACACAGGGGAGCTAGCTGTCCTCAGCACAGTTGAAGCACCCAGTGTTTATCTTAACTACACATTAGAGCACACATGAATTGAATGAGAGTCCAGATACGAAAGTGACAATTCTCATGTTGTGACCAAAGAAGGTTTTATCATATCTGTGCTGGTGCTTGAGGAAAATTAGACATTTGCTATTCTCAATAGGGAAGCAGCTGCAGGCAAAGATTGCCATCCTGGCTCTGGGCAGGCAGATATGCATAAGGGTGAAGCTGACACTGGGGGATCAACAGGTCCTGCTGTTGAGGACCCTCAGTATCGTGGTAAAGATTTTGTAGTTTTAATTTAAATGTCAGTGGCTGCTGGTGAAAACGTTTGAGTAAATAGATGACGTGGCTAAGATACCTAAGACAACCTGGTCCCAGTGTAGAGAACAGGTTAGAACGGGGAAAACACAAGAGGCAGAAAGACTTTTGGTTAAGCAGCTCTTGTAATGGGCTGGCTGGGCACCAGGTATGAGTAGCTCACCAGGGGAAGCGGCTTGCCAAAGTCTACCCGTGGCGACGTTTTCGGACCAAGGGGCAGGATGTTTGTACCCTCGCAGTTAGCTCCAGTGCGCTCTCCTTTCTCTCCTTGTCATTTAGCCAGGAAGGAAGTAGTTCTCAGGTGAAGATGGAGAGAGAAAGGGCTGACACTGTAAGAACACAAGGGACAAGAAGGAAAGAGGTCTTGTGTTCTGAACTTAAGACATTTTTTTCTCTTTTTCTTTTTAACTTTTGAAGCAATGAATTATTACATTTATTAAAATTTAATAGCTGAGGAAATAGTGGATTTGGTAAAATAGAAGCTTGTTAAAAGGTGTTAAGTTAAATTGGAACTTGAAAGTCATTCTAGGAACTGAACAGAGTTAATCACTAGTGTGTTGGTTAAGTAGAGCTATATTGCAAAAGATAATGGGCTGGTAAGACTTGATTGATTGATCATAGAGTTCACAAAATGGTTAATTCTAGGTAAAGTTTGAAATTGAACCTTGTGGTGTTTTATGTCTGTTAAGGTAGAAGGAATGCTTTTCAAAGAACTAAATAGTGAATAAGATCAAAATAGGAATAATAATTGGCAGGACATGAATAAAGTAGGTAGAGAAGGTGGGTGGGGAAGGAGATGTGAAGAGAATTAAGACACATTATGTACATGTGCCAACTCTTCAGTATGAATGTCATCATTACGCATTGCAAGCATGAACTAGTAAGAATAAAAAATAAAATCATGATAAAAACATCTGCATGACTTTACTAATCTTCCCATTTCATGCACTCAAAAACTATGTCACCAGGGGTATAGCATTGAATGGAATGTATCTGTCTATGTAAAACTTAAATTCAAGAATTGTTGAAGATAGTTTTGCTGTCTGAGAGTTTAGGGGAAAAGTGGTAATTGTGGTTGGGAAAAAATACCCACCACCCCAAATGAAGGAAGGAAAGTTTTATTTCCTTCCTTACAATTTGTGGAGGTTTCCATCCATAATCAGCTGTCTCCAAGGCAGGGTGGCATGGTACTGGGGCAAGACAAAGGCAAAAGCCAGAAAAAGCAGCCAGAGCAAAAGGGGGAAAACAAGGCTCTTCTCTGTTGTGTGCAGGCCGCCCCCTGACCGCATTGCAGATGTAGGGCTCAGAAAGTCTCTATGTTCTTCTCTTACACAGTACACAGAATGAGGATATTTACAAAGTAAGAATCCTGACTCCCTGCTGAGTGGCTTATTTAAACTTCTAAACTTAAGTTGGTAACAGTGTATCCACCATAACAAATAGGATGTACCTGTCTACTAGGAGGTTAAATTCCAGAATTATTGAAGATAACAGTGATGGCTGAGAGTTTGGGGAAAAGGAGTAATTGTAATTAAACCAGAATGCAATAAAATTTCATGAGTTAACTTCATGTATATAAGCAGAAGGGTAAGTTCATGTATTGAGCTGATGGACCAAGATGATAGAGTAAGCGGGTTGGGGACATATCACACAGGTTTTTTCCACTTCCCTAAGAGTAGCAAAACTTTGGGTCTCAAAATACACTTTTTTTTTTTTGGCCTTTTTTGAGACAGGATTGCACTTTGCAGTTCAGGCTGGCCTTGAGGTCACTTTGTAGCCCAGGCTGGTCTCGAATTTGCATCCATCCTATTGCCTCAGTCTCTCAAGTGCTGGGATTACAGGCATGTGCTACCATGTCCGGCCAGTACACTAATTTTTTAAACATTGGAGCAAATTATTTCAGGGTATATACAGAGTTTTTAAAAAACTCACTGCTTTGTCACTGGACAAAAATTTAAATGTTAACATTTTTGTTTCAGAGTGAGACTTAATTCATTCCAAAATCTGTTTTCATCAAATTGTAGGAGTTAGCTTTTCGTTTTCTCTGTAACAAATGTGAATTCTTTTACATCTGTCTCTTTAGGTGGAAAGAGTGCCGTACTCACAGCTCTCATTGTTGGGCTTGGTGGAAAAGCAGTCGCTACTAACAGAGGCTCCTCTTTGAAAGGCTTTGTGAAGGATGGACAGAAGTAAGTGTTTGCTGTCTATTGTGTTTCCCTCCCTTTAGGCAGAGGCAAAGGTTACCCAGGCGTGTAGTCATGGCTGGAAATGAAGGGCCTTCCAGAACAGAGCTGTGATTTCATGTCTTTTCCTTTGTTGGCCACACAGCAGTATTTTTGAGCATTGCACCTTCCTGGCTTTTATGCAAACTGAGCATCAGCAAGGCCATGTTGATGCAGTGAGAGAGAGCTGTCAAGTACCAGCTAATGAGTCCCTGTATAGAATTTCTGAAATGTCCTGTGCTCAGATTTTGCTTTTATTCCTTTAGCTAGAGAGTTTGATTTGAAGACCCCTAGCACAGGTTTGTGGTCCGCATAACCTTGATGCATGGTTGTCCTGTCACTCTCTTCTGACTTAACACTTCCATTTCTTCTCATAGTCTGCCTTCAGTAGCGGTACATGAATTGTCTGGTTTGCACCACTGTGAAAGTTGTGTGTTTTTTTTCTTTCTTGATTACTTGGTTTTTTGTGATGGGGTCAGGATTCCGTCTTAGCACAAGGAAAGCAAGAACAGTCACTTCTCATGCCTTTGGCCTTGAAAGAGAGCTAGTGGATGAGAATTGTGTAACATAGTTTCTGTTTCTGCTTAATCTTACTTGGGTCCAATCCAGAGTCTTCTCCTGACTCTTCCCTTGCCCACAAAACAAATTTCATCTGAAACAGAAAGTTGGTTATGTTAACGTTTCTGAGTTCATGCCTGCAACTCTGCTTCTTTATACCTTAACTGTTCATTTTGTAGTTGTCCAGTCACCTCGTCTGCCAGATACCATGCTGAACTTTCAAACAAAGCTTTAGGAAGAAATTACTTTTTATGTACCTCTAAATGTTTTATTTCTCAAATACTTCAGAAGAATGTATTCCAATTTAAGAAGTATTTGCACTAAAACAGAAACTTCTTTGGAGACCCATCCTGAATACTGTTTAAAAAAGAGAAACGAGCTGGCAGTACCTTCCCCTTCCTGTCTGTTCATCCACCATCCCTTGCAGTGGCTGGGGACAGCAAGTGAGTTCTCATAGTGCACCTCTTCCCGTGGGTGCCCCGTTCATGACACGAGGTCTCCTGTTTCTTGCTTCTTAGGGTCTCTCTAAGCGTATTGGGCTTCCTCTTCCCACCATCAGACTTTCTCACACTCCCCAGTGACCTTTGGGTCTTTGCAGTAGTCCCATTTTTGACATGCACAGTGACATGAAACTCATGGAGAGACAAAAACTCATATCCCTGTTGTGTAGTCTTGATTTATCTAATTAAGGACACAGAACTCATCCTGAGGAGCTGGCCACCCAGAGAAGATGCAGACGTCGTGCTTCTACAGGAGTTTTTCCTTGTTTCTTGTTTCCATCAGCATACATGGTTGTCAGTTACCTGTCTACAGAGATAGGTTCACCTGGAGTTACAAAACCAAATTTTGGCTGTTGTATTGCTTTTTTATAGTTTTTTTTTTTTCCTCAACTTTCACTGATACTGACATAGGACTTTATGGCTCTTGATTGAAATTTAGCCTCAGCTAAGGCCACATCAGTGTAACAGAGAGGCAAAGAGCCAGTTCTGCCCGTCTCTTTTTGTAAATTTGATTTGTTGTATTTTGCAAGCAGTTATTATAAGGCTTATTTTATAATGGCAATTTTTCAAAAACTTTTCTTGGTTATTAAACTTTTCTGTCAATGAGGATTTTATTTCTTTTTAAAAATCCATTTTATTAAAGGATAAAAAGAAAAAGAAAAAAAAACTACAACAAAATTTCAAAACATGTCAGTCAGGGGCAGCAATGGTACACACATTACGCACTGTCACCCCCCAAATCATTCACCCAGAGCATAAGACATCTGCATTCAGTTGTCCAAATGGTACCAGTATAGATCTTTCATTTCAGTGAACTCAGAGAAATCAGTTAGTATAACTGTCTTAGCTATTTTTTAATATGTATACACACGGACATATGTTTTTTTTCCTTTCAGCTTGTCACACAAATCAAACAATACATTTACACATGTGTTTTATTTATTTCACTAATGAGAATGTTAAGTTGCATCGATTTACCTATAAAAGTCTTCAGTTTATCCTTCTTTATGACTCGGTATAAAAATACCACATCTTTTTATTCATTCCTCAGTTGATGGGCATTTAGTTTGTTTTCAATATCTGGCTATTACAAATTGTGCTGCCATAAACAAAGGTGCACAAATATCACTGTGATATGATGTTTTTAATTCTTTTGAGAAGATACCTAAAGGAATAGCTGGGTCAAATGGGACCTCTAGTCTTGTTTTTTGAGGAATTTCCACACTGATTTCCACAGTGGTTGCACCAGTCTGCACTCCCACCAACAGTAGAGAAGGGTTCCTTTTCCCTCACAGCCCCTCCAGCATTTGTTACTGCTTGATTTCTTGATAGTAGCCATTCTTTCTGGAGTGAGGTGGAATCTCAGTGTTGTTTTAATTTGCATCTCTTGAGTGACCAGTGATGTTGAACATTGTTTCACGTATTTGTTTACTGTTTGTATTTCTTCACCTGAGGAGAGTGTATTCATCTCAGATGCCCATTTTTGGATTGGGACTTTCAATCTGGGAAGACTGATTTGTTTGAGTCCTTTATGTTCTGGAAAGTAATCCTTTGTCTGAAGTACAGCTGGCAAACATTTTCTCCCACATTGCAGGTTGTCTCTTCACTCTGTTGGTAGTTTCTTTTCCCGTGCATAAAATTTTCCCAGAAATGAGACCCTAGTTGTTGATTCTTTGTCATAGTTCCTGTGCGGTCGGAATTTTTTCATAAAGTCTTTGCCTACACCAGTGTCTTCAAGAGTTTTACCTACTCTGTCTTCCAGCTGATTCAATGTTTCTGTTTTAATATTAAGATCTTTGATCCATTTTAATTTTAGCTTAGTATATGGTGATAGATACAGGTTCAGTTTTAATCTTTGGTCACTTTAGAACCAGTTTTTCCAGCACCATTTATTGAAGAGGCTTTCTTACAGTGAATATATTTGGTACCTTTTCAAAGATAAGGTAGCTTAGTGTGTTGGGATTTGTTTCTGCATCTTCTAATCTGTTCCATTGATCTTTGGGTCTGTTTTTTTGTTTGTTTTTTGCCAGTACCATGCCGCATTTATCACAGTAGCTTTATAATATAATTTCAAGTCAAGGATTGTGAAGGCCCCTGTCTTGTCTTTTTTGTTTAGGATACCTTCGCTATTCTAGTCTCTTCTGGTTCCAGATGAATTTTAGGATTGTTTTCTTTACTTCTGTGATACTGCAGTGAGCCTGTATAATAGTTTTGGAAATATGACCATTTCACTCTACTGTTTCTTCCTACCCAAGAGCACAGGATATCTCTCCATTTTCTAATACTCTTTTCAATCTCCTTTTTCAAGAGTACTGTAGTTTTCAATGTAGAGGTCTTTTTGTTCCTTTGTTAGATTGATTCCTAGGTATTTAATTTTTTTGGATGCTATTGTAAAAAGTATTGTTTTGCCTCATGTCTGTCGCAGTGAGTTTGTTATTTGTGTATGCGAAACATACCAGTGCTCCAAAGTTCTTACTAAAGCTAGCTCTGCTGCGGGGAGTAGTAGGAGAGAAGATAATAAACTGATGTTTGCTGGTAAGAGGCATGTTTGGTAATGTTGAGAGAGTAAATGTGGATTTAGTCCTGAGGAGTTGTAGTCATGAATGAAGTAAGTTTTTGCTACATATCTCAAGTTTTTTTTTCTCTTCACTTGTCATATAGTTAAGTAATGGTTCTGAGCTTTGGGTAGTTATGGAGTCTGGGGAAACTTCTAAAAATCCTATTAATTACAATTTTAAGGATGTTTTTTAATTAGTTGGTTTCACTGGAGGAAAAAACCCCACCAGTCTACTCAAGAAAAGGCTTGAAGTATAAAGATGCAGAAGAGTCTCACCCAAGACCAAGTGGAAGGACAGCGGTGTCTTCTGTCTCTGGGTCTTTGAGTCTGGCCTTCGGTCTCCTTCTGTGTCCGGTGCTCTGTCTCCTGCTCCCTTCTTTGGTACTGTTGTGCGACGCTTCCTCTCTTCCTTTTGCACACTTCCCTCCTGTTGGCTCTGTATCACTGTGTGCTGTCCTCCTCCTCCATGGGTGTGCAGGGGTGTGACTGTTTTGTCTCTCATTGTCTTTAAAAGACAGTGTGAGTTCTTTCTAGTCATCAAGTTAGTGTTTGCACTGTGCCTTCCTGTGTGTAATCATTTATGCCTCACTGTCTTGGAAGGAGGTGACTGTGTTCTCTGGGTCTCTGGCTCACTGCTAATACCTGTGGGTATGCAGCTTTTTATGACAGTTTGTCTAGGTGGTTTCCCAGGAGCTTGTTTCTCCTGTGCTCCTGCTTTTCTTTGTGTACTGTTTCCTATCAGAGTGTAATGCTCCAACCAAGTTCTTCAGTTGTAGACACTCCATAACTTACAGCTCTAAGGAATTACCATCTTTTGACTTAGTCATTTCTAAATTTGAGGTTAAAGAAGTGTTGTATTTGGAAGTAGTTTTAGATTTACAGAAGTGTTGCAAAGATAGTGTAGTTTCCTGTGTATTGTCCCCCAAGTCTGCCTTAACATTGGTATCTTACTGTAACTAAGATAAATTTAACAAAGCTATGCAGTTGAGTAAGCTCCAGACTTAACATTAGGATTTTACCAGTTTTTTCTAATGTGACTTTAAGGTCCAGAACAGATCCTGATTGCTCAGTTGCTAGGGAGTGATGGTTATGGTTCAGTGCACAGAGGAAGGGTGCTGATTCCTGAGGGTGCTGAGCCCTTGCTGGAGTGGGAGCCGAACTGTGTCTGCTTTCAATCAGGAATTTAGTGTGGGGTTATCTTGATGCGTGTTTCCTACATTTCCTAAGAGGGGAATTTTTGAAGTAAAGTTAATGAATTCATGACAACAGATTGTAGTGTTAGGATTTCATTTAATTGCCAGTTAAAACATTTTTATTTCAGAGGATTTGGGCAGATGATCACATGAATTAAATTATTTTTGCTTTTGTGTGTAAGGAAATAGGTGTTCATTAATAATGTCTTTTTCATTAATAGCTTTCATCAACATTTTTTCTGCCAAGTCTTATTTTAATGGAAGTTAGAGTAGCAAATGAAGATTGCTCCTCCATAGTGTCTTAAAATATGTGAAAGCATTGCCTCAAACTTTTTAAAGCTTAAAAACCATGATGAGCCTAGCAGGCAGATTTGCACTCCTAACAGTCATGTGTTTGAGTTCCAGTATAGTATAAAGCTTTTAGAAACTAATCATTTCTTTATGGAAAACATTCTCAAAATTCTTTCTTCTGGTATTTTGAAATATATGATACATCATTGTCACCTATTGTAGCCCTTACCCTGTGCAGTAGCATACCAGAACTTTTGTCTGACTGTAATCTAATGCCCATTCATTAACCTTTACTACCTTTTGCACATCCCCAGTTTATTTTTCTTGGTGGTCAGATAGTTCTTTTGTGTCAGTGTGAACATGTGTGTGTGCACGTGTGCATGCGTGAGTATGGTACCAGGGATTGAACCCAAGGCTTGTGCACTGACCTATATCTCCATACCTTTTTTTATTTTTTATTTTGAGACGTCTCACCAAGTTTCTTAGTTGCCTAGACTGGGCTCAAATTTGTGACTACTGCCTTAGTCTCCTAGAGTGGTGAGATCATTGACATATGCCACTATGCCCGGCTCATTTTTTAAATTGAGAAATTAAAATTGCCTCCCTAACTTCTAATCCTCTTAAAAATGTTATTACTTTGTCATAATTCTTAATTCATCATCCTTTAAGATCTACTGTTGGTATGGCTTACTGTGTAAATCATAGTAGTCGTGCAGTATAAGGTTGCTCACGTGATCATTACAGGAGTGTGGACTTCACATGACTTGATTATGCGGTTCTTAGAGAAAAGTGCTTACCTGTGTGACTTGAAGCAACCAGAATTGTGTATTGTTGTACAAATGTATTTTTGTTATGCATAAAGAGTTATTTTTCATGGGGGTTCTAATCTCAGCTGTTTTGGGATGTGCACAGTTCATTACTGTTCTCTGGTCAGCTGATGGTCATCAGCCTTGGGAATGAAGCCAGTTTTCAGATGGATGAGCCAGATCATTAGGGACTTCTGCGAATGTTTAAAAATCTGCTAACATCATATTGTAATTACACCTCTGTGTGACTCAGTTTCCCCTTGGCATTTTAGCTCAGCGGATATCACAGTCACACTGAGGAACAGAGGAGAGGATGCCTATAGAGCAAATGTGTATGGTGACTCCATAGTTGTGCAGCAGCACATCACCCTGGATGGAAGTCGGTCCTATAAGCTAAAAAGTCAGACAGGTTTGTTTTGATTTTCCTTTCTTTCATATGCAGTCATAACTTAGTGTTCTACTCCTTTGAAATTCCTTGAATTTGATATTTATTGCATTTTGATGCAGAAATTTTGTCCCTGTACTCTTTTATTTGTTACCACACAAACTAGAACTTAGCACAATTGCCTCGTGATTTACTACCAGAGCAATTTGGTGCTCGTTATTTTGGTGCACACTGCAGCTCCTAGAGCCATTTAATACCAAGTACCAAGTTAGTGAATACTCTAGAGTTAAGTGATTGTGCTGGCATCTACTGTAAAGGTGCGTCTTCCCTGTCTCTCGAAACCTCTTTCATGCAGCAGGGTCATTCGCATGTGGTACATATACACATGTAGATCCCTGCATGCAGTGCTGTCTGTGGTGGCAACACCATGATTGGAAGACTTCGGGCAGTTTGAGGTAGACACACTCCTCCTTTCACCTCTGTAGTATCTGTAGCTTATAGAAAGCAATAACAAAAGATAGGAAAAGACATAAAGGAGGAGAAAAGTGTTTAGAGTTATTGAAAAGAGACGAGTGAGGAGCAAAGAAAAATAGCTGTGGTTGAAGGTGTGCACTGTGATGCTGCATACCTGGCTTCTCTCTTTCTTTGAGCCCTGGGCCGTGGTTGGAATGGCACCCTTGTTCATTCAGGCTTAAGAGTGTTTAGCGGTGATTTTTTTGTAGTATACAATGAATGATAACTAATTAATTGTGTTTTATAGGTTATTTAACATTTTTTGTTATTGTCCTAAAGCAGTATGGTCATTTTTTATGTTTCTCCATGCTCAGCACCATGGTTTCCGCTAGGAAAAAAGAACTGATTGCAGTGCCTGAGCATAATTAATGTTTGTAGTTTATAAGTAATTGGGCTTTTTTTTTTTTTTTGTATTATTGCCCTGGAAATAATCTGGTCATTTTATGTGTTCTCCTCACTAGGCACTGTGGTTTCTACTAGGAAAGAAGAGCTGGTTGCAATTCTTGATCATTTTAACATCCAGGTAATTAGTAAATATGCAGTTGGTGGTTTTTTGGTGTGGTTTCACTTGTGGAATGTATATAAATAAAATATCCCAATGTGAGTAAATTGACCGCTGGAAGACTATATACTATTCCGTTGTCAAGTTCCTTAAAAATTACCAATTTTTTGAGAAACTGGGAGTTACAAAAAGTAAATTTATACTATGATTTGTCTAGATGTGGTTATTGGTGGAGTCCAGATTGGAATCCAGTTATCCCTAATTGTAGTATTTTATGCTTTGTGCTCAGGATTAAGAATACCAAACCTAGGCATCAAAAAAAAAGGACAGGGTGGAGTTTGCATCTCTTTCCCGATTGAGGTAGAAGAAGCTAGCCAGAAGGAAGTGGTCAGCATGTGCTGGTCTGTGCTGTGTGTGGGTAGCTGCGAGCCACTGCCTCCTTAGCACCTGAGTGTATAACTCAGAAGCTTTACTTCATTTCACTGGGGAGCAAGTGGGTTTCAGTACTTATTAAACTCTGGAGAGAAGCAGATAATAGGAAATCTGTTTTGGACTAGCTTACAGGACACTTTCTGGCAGAATAAGAAAAACCAAAAGTTAAGTTTTTGGAGCTGTGAGCATTAGAAGAGTTTGACTGTCATCTCAGTGAAGCTGCACGCTCCACGCCCTGTTAGTCTTCACCAGCTGTCCTGCAGGGAAGGCCTGAAGGAATACTGGTGGGAAGATGAAGTGCATAAGGGTTCTTACCTGTCTAGTGGGCAGCTGTATTTATTAGACAGTTCTCACTTTCTAGAAAGTTGAGGAAAGCTTGTTTGTCTAAGCTCCTGCTTCCTTGGAGAATATAAAACTATTTTGTCTTGGAATATTTGAAGATTGCTACCAACACTGTTAGTCGTCTTGTATGTTTAATTCATTTATAACTAAAGGTTCAGGATCATTGGTCAAAATACAGGTAGTGCAGAGCTATGCTGTCCATGCGGTAGCCACTGTCTGCATAGACACTGAGCCCTCGAATTTGTCTCTGTTTGAGACCCACTGTGATACTAGACACGTGCCAGGTTTTGAAGACTTAATAAAAAAGGCATACCTCAGTTTCTAAATATGGATTTTAAGTTAAGGAATAATATTTTGAATATTAACTATATTATTGGGTAAAACATATTGTTAAAATTAATTTTACCTTTTTATTTTTATTATGGCTCCAAAAGAATTTAATGGTTTATTATGGCTTGCATTGTCTTTCCGTTAGCTGGGATGGGTGTAAGGTAACCAGGAGGAGAGCATGTTATGCCATGGGTACCTGGTTACATTTGCTGCCTGTGCCTCTCTTTCTTACCCTTTCTCTGGGGTTTTCCTTTGTGGGTTCAGGGTCCCAACAGGTAAAGCTGCAAGGGACCAGGAACCCTGTTTCAGAAATAATCAGAAGAGTAATGTGGTAGAGCAAAGAGCATATTGATCCAGAGTCGGTGCCTGTGTGTCCTGCTGAAAGCTCGTATGTGCGCTTTTCTAAGCAGCAAGTTCCATGTGGAGTTAAGGTGGAGGAGGCACATAAAAAATGTAGCAGTCGGAGTCTAGTCAGGGTATAAAATTTTAAGACGCATAATTATAAAGATTTCTTTATAATTGATGTGTTTTTTATTATCTTAGAAGAGATGACCCAGCATTTTAAAGAAAAAGTTTTAACCATGGTTTATTAACAGATTGTATAGTTGTTACTTTGTGGATGGTAAAATAAAAGGTTCTAAAGCCATTTTCTTCTATGCATACTGACCCCAGATGGTCTGTAACTATGAAAAAGTTATTTTTATCATGTAAATTTCTCTGTTATTGGTAGCAAAGATGCAATTGAATATTAACCCTGAATTTTTTGAAATAAGTTCTTTTTTTATTTACTTTTCCAGCTGTAGTACTTTGATGGTTTAATTCAAGCAATGGCTTATTTAAAATGAATCTTCCTCCAAAAAATATTTAATTATGCCCATTTGTTTTACTGTATCTTTGTGGAGGAATAAAGAAAGACACTTGGAAAATCTTAAAGCACTGCTGTGAGAAAATCAGTGATACTTGCTAATGAATTCTGATTAGAAATAACTGAACTGGACTTTTCAGGTATGGTTGGAAAAGCTTGATAACAAGCTCAAAGTAGTAGGAGGTCAGGGGCAGAGTTCACCAGAGCTCAGGACAGGACAGTGGGATGCGGACTTTGCCCTCTGGGAGTGACTTCTGCTGAAACAGGAGAGTGGAAAACCACCACCAAGTCTGGCACTTCACGGGCCAGGAATGTAGCTCAGCAACACAGGTGCCGCCTGGCAAGCATAGGGTCCTAAGTTCAGCTTGTGGTACAAAAAAAGTATCGGTACTTCAGATTGTGTTTCTGCTTGTGCCCTCTTGTAATGTTAAATATTGGAATTTAACCAGACTGTTTATTTGGTACAATATCAATATTTTGAGGCATTTAAAAATCTAACATTTTCTCTCTGTGTTTTACCCTATGTTACAACCTTGGGCTGGTGCTTAGTCTTCTCAGTGGTACCACTGTGTCCGCAGTGTAGACCTCAGTTATTCACCTTTAAGGCATGAAAGTGAAATAGTAAAGCTGATGTTTTGTTTCAGGTAGATAATCCTGTTTCTGTTCTAACACAAGAAATGAGCAAGCAGTTCTTACAGTCTAAAAATGAGGGAGACAAATACAAAGTAAGTGTTGCCAGAGACGGTAAGTACAGACCCACCCCTGGTCCATCCAGATGCATCCCACATGGTGTTCTTGCTTATGTAATAGAGACTAGGATGTGTCCCTCCAACCCAGCCACTTCATGTGGTACACCTGTGCAGGACTAGTTAGAAAAGTGTTAAGTTGATGGTGAATATAGTTTTCCTGGTAATACACCAAGTCCCGACTATCGGCCTTCGAGCTGTGAACTTTCACAGGTGTGCTGTGTATGACTCATTCCTGGGTTTAGGAACCAGTCTCACTCACGAGCCTTCTCCCTGGAAGAAACTTGCTTGTTTAAGTTGGAGACTTTCTGTAATGTTTTTAGTTGACTTCAGTGCTGAAAAAAAATGGCTTGTCTTCTAAAATTAAGCTTTAAAGAAATACGAGGCAATGTTGTCTTATACATAAATAATGACTTATGAGCTGGAGATTTAGCTCAATGGTATAAGCACCTGCCTGGCAAGTGTGAGGTTGTGAGCTCAGTCTCCAGTACCACCAAAAACAAAACAAAACAAAAGGTGAACATGGTGGCACACACCTGTAATCTCAGCACTTCGGAGGTTGAGGCAGGAGAATTGTTGCAAGTTCGAGACCAACCTAGGCTACAAAGTGAGCCCAAGGCCAACCTGAACTGTATAATGAGACCCTGTCTCAAAAAGACAGAAAATACATTAATAAATAATGACTTGTAAACTTTAAATTATTTAAAGCTTAAAAAACTAACAGACTACTACTAAAACTTACTCTGTATCTTTTAGAATGAATTTTAGTATTTCCTATTTTAAACAATAAAATCAAAATGTTTCCTGTAATTTTTGCATGAAAAAAATGAAAGAATTGATAAAAGCAAACCTTGGTAACTGTGTTACTCTGACACCCAAAGATGTTCTGAATGCATAAAATAAGTATAGGACATTCAGTAAGTTTGCATCTGAAGTACGAAGTGTTTCTTTAAGAATGTGCACGTGTGCTTTTAATGCTTTTTTACATGCTTGACCTAAGAGTTCTCACAGCATGAATTCTTCTTTCAAATTTTCTTTGCACAGTTCTGTGTAATTTTATAGGTTTCTAACTTTTTATTGTTGATAGTTTTTCATGAAAGCAACTCAACTTGAACAGATGAAGGAAGACTACTCATACATTATGGAGACAAAAGAAAGAACAAAGGAGCAGATAAATCAAGGTGAAGAGGTTGGTAAATAGTTAGCATTCATCTTTTTGAAATGAGTCAAGTTTCTGTAGTACATACAGTAAGTTGCACTGTAAAATTACATTTCTATGTACTGGTATATCTGTATAAGGATAATGAATGCATTTTTGTAGCAATCTATGAAATGTGGTTTTTATATGCCGGATATTTGTTAGGCCCTACTTTTCATTTTGTAATAGTGGATAGGAATGTGTCTTACTTTCTCTACTAGAAGAGATGAAAATACTTATTCATACCCCTGGTTACGTGACTTTTTGGTTCCACTATAAGTCATGCTCCTACTATATAAATGGTTGAAAACTACAGCATTTATTTTGCTGAGATAGTAAACACAAACCTCAAACTGGTATTAAATATAATGTGCTTTAAACTCACAGACAGTGAGTGACCCATCACATTAGTGGCCTTCTTTAAGCAGCTGAGCACTGTAGCAGCTGTCACCTGAATACTCATCAACTTGGCACCCACTCATGTTGCTTGCGTCTTAAATCATTCACCCTGTGACTCACTTCAGTTCCAGCTGATTTTAATGTTTTTCAGATTCCTGAGCCTTCAACTCCTCCCATCAGATAATCAGAGAACACGCCTCATAGCTATCCATCTAGCACTCAGTTTTAGCAGTGTTACATAATTTTATAGCTTAGCTTTCATTTAAAAGCCAGCTGAGTCTTCAGCAGCTTCCAGCTTGTTCTTTTGAGATAGAATCCTACTGCATATTGATTAAAGTTGAATTCTTTACATGTTATCGTGGCCTTTTTCTTCAGATTTTGAAAAATACAGATTTAGACTTAAGATTGTACGACAGCATTGAATCAGGGACTGGCCTGGGGTTAGTGCACAGGGAAAGAAGTGATGAGTGGGATGAGAAGTGCAGGATGAATAATAGCAAGCAAAAGGATTCCAAGAAATAGCATGTTGGAATTTCAGGGCCAAGAAGGTATGTGCTGCTCTAAAGACTTCAGAGAATTCTAGATTGGCTAGTGGTTTGGGTTTTTTTGGTACCGGGGACTGAACTCATGACCTTGTGCTTGCTAGACAGGTGCTTATGGCCGCTGAGCCCGGCCCCAATGGCTAGTTTCTGATTGGCTACTTTTGTAGGCATTGAAGAACACAAGAGTGAAAAGTGAGATGCCAGATTGGGTAAAGCCTCCTAAGACTTCAGTGTGGTAGAAGACATTAATGTGCAAGACTTGATTGAGTGTCTGTTTCAACAGGTTGTAGGAGACAGTGGGAAGGCACAGATGTAGAGAGATCAGTATGATAAAGTGATTTTACCATTGGTGTCCGTGAAAGCGGTAGTGGATTTACATAATCCTACAGAAAGGAAAAATGAGTTGGGTAGGAAAACAATAAAATGTTAAGGCTCTGGCTGAATATGAAAGATAGAAAGGGAGAGACTGAACCCAAATGTACAAGCCCCACTTGCATGTGCTGTTCTAAGCACATGACTCTTAATAGTTGATGTTTTATCACTTTTTGAAAGAGCCTAGATGTGAAAATTTATATCATTTGACCTGGAATCAATTCCTTCTGACCCTTTTATTATCTTTGGAATGGATGCTTGTTATATACTCTATAAAAGGCAGTCTACCTTTCAGAAACAGAAGAGAAAAATGGGAAAGTGAGTTTGGGGACTTGTGTTTAATTCCTTTGCTCTTCATCTGAAGAGTGTTTTGGCCATTTTTAGAGTATAGAAATTAGCAAAATTATTGCCCCTAGCAAAAGTATAATACAGAACCAAATATTTTCACTTCAGTTGAATTCTTATAAACCTGGGTGGAGTACTTTTGTAGCCATAAAAAAGAAATGCATTTGCAAAGTGTTTCTCTTTCCCCTCAGTACTAATAAATGTATCTTTCTTTTTTTCTTTTAAGCGACTTACTGAACTAAAGCGCCAGTGTTTGGAGAAAGAGGAACGTTTTCAAAGTATTGCTGGTTTAAGCACAATGAAGACTAATTTAGAGTATTTGAAACATGAAATGGCCTGGGCAGTGGTAATTTTTACCTGATTATTTTGTAATTTAAAGAATGTACACGTTCTTTTGTAATATAAAGAATGTGTTTGGTGATTATTAATCTTAATGAATTGTTACATGATTTTTTTAGGTCAATGAAATTGAGAAACAGTTGAATGCTATCAGAGATAATATCAAGATTGGAGAAGATCGTGCTGCTAGGCTTGAAAGGAAAATGGAAGAGCAGCAGGTAGAGTAGGTGAAATTGCTGACATTAGCCTTTATAACCACCTGGAGGTTTCAGTTTGAAATTGTGTCCGTATTTGACTTGTTACTCAGCTGAAGCAGACCTGTACTTCCCAAGGACTGTTGTGGCAGTTGTCTTTTGAGAAAGGTACTGAGTTTGATTGCGATAAGAATGGGCAAGTGCTGCTGAGTTGTTGGACGTGGTTACTAACTAGAGCCCTGGAATGTAAGGAGGTGATACCCTGAAGACCCCAAAAATGGAGGTGCTGGGATAACGGGAGGCACAGTGCTCAGTGCTGAGTGTTAAGTCCTAGAACCCAGAATCTCTGTGAGAGAATTTTGTGTGGATGGAACAGATGAGGTAGCCTGTTAGGTTCATTGAGATTAACCTGAACCTGAGATTAAAAAAGTACCGTAACGTCCAGGAAGGTCACCTGAGTCTCCCTCTCGGCCCTGAGCTGGAGTGGCCCTCGAGGTGTGTTCCCACATGAGCGTTGCTCCTGTGCACGTGTGTGCTCGCCGACGCGCTCACCTGTCCTTTCTGCTCTCTAGCACCTTTGTGGCGGTGCCACGCATGCACCATTTAAAATGTCTCACTCCCGGGTTTCCGGCCATTGCCAGGTGGGGCAGCCCCGGCGGTGGAGCCCCACGTGCTGTCCCCGTGGAAGGAGACCACCTGCCCGTTTCCCTGCAGACGCCCTCCCGGGGCACGGGGTGTGTGTGGGTGCCGAGCCCCCGTGAGCCAAGTCTCTGTCACAACTACTGAACACCACAATTGCTCTGCGTGGCTTAGGGACTGTGGCTCCCGGCCTGACTGTGGCCAAGGGCGTGATCCTCCCTGCTGCTGCTTCCCACCTTCTTTCCAGATAAGCAGGTTGTGACCCCAGTCCATGCAGTAACCAGTGACTGTGTAAGCGTACTAGGAACGGTGTAGATAGCGCGTTTCCTTCTTGGTCTTTGGCCTGGATCTCTTACCTGCTTTAGGTAGTAAGTGAAAGTCCGGTCCTCCCTCCTTGGGTCTGAGACTCTTTCTGTGAGCGTGTCCTGGAAGCTTCTGCACTGTTTCTCTTGGTTCAGCTGGTTGGGGGAGGCCCTAAGCACTTGCCCTCTCAGACATGTCCCAGTCTGAACCCCGAACTAGTCTGGCTGATAGGTGCTTCCCTCTTTTCACACGGTGGTGTTTTAGTTCTGTGGGTCTTTGTCCCACCTACCATTTGAGCACTCTGTAATAGATGCAGATTACTGGAAGATGTATAAGAACTGTCTTACTTTGCATTTTTATTCTGTCTACTGTCTTCTCCTGTGAGAAGCCTGTCACAAAGTATATATTTTGTTACTGCTTGTAGAATGACTATTAAATAGATGTTTCTGAAGAAATAGTATTTAGCCTGACTGTAAGGTTTGTGGACCTTATTTAAAACAGAGTGATAATATGATGCTTTATGTTTAATTTGTGTGATACACCTGGATCTAACTTCAGTTTCTATGGAGAAAATGATTTTTTAGCATGTTGACCTTCATGCTTTGTGCTTTCATCCAACAATTGTGGTGTTCAGTAGTTGTGACAGAGACTGGCTCACAGTGCTTGAAGCTTGCACTGTCTGGGGCTCTCTAGAGAAAAAGTGTGCCGACCTCAGAGCTAAGCACTTCTCCTGTGTCTTTTCTCAGCCTTGCCTGTGAGTCAGTGTCTTGTTTTGGTCCCTTAAGACTGGTTAGACGATGCTGTATTAACTTCCTGAAGCCTTTCCTTGTAGTGTTTCTCCTCTTTGCCTTCTGAGTGTTTCCAGGGACCTGACTTGGGAGGTGGAATATGTTTTGTCCGTCTGCAGTGCAGATGGTGGTTCAAAGCTACTTTAGCCTGTTGGCTCTGGGATGGAGACCTTCCACCCGCCATCTCTTCTCCCGCCGTTGCCCTCCCCGTGGATGCCATGGTAGCCAGCAGACCCTCCCGCAGCAGTGCTCTACCACCGCTTTGTCTGTTTCCCTGCTAAACTGTGTCTGTCTTCCTTTCATTGTCTTCCTTGAATGTAATTGTTGTATCTTTGCATCTCTAGAGGATTAGTGCATCTGTTGGATGACCATAGGTTAAAGTGAAATTATACTTAATATTATTTTAGCTATGCTTGTTACATTAATACATGAAATTAAATTTATTGCATGTGGACTAGTTTAAATTTTACTTGTCTTTATTGGAGAAAAGTAAAATATACTCAATGTTATTATCTTAAAGGTCAAACTTAATGAAGCAGAAAAAAAATACGCTGATATTCAGGATAAACTAGAAAAGATTAGTCAAGAGACAAATGCACGAGCCCCCGAGTGTATGGCACTGAAGGCAGATGTCATTGCTAAGAAAAGGGACTACAATGAAGCTGAGGTGAGCGAAACTTCACACCTGGAGAGTTAAGGACTGCAGAGTGAATTTGTGCAGAGCACTCCTCTGTTACTGCAAGTGGTGACTTTACACTGGCTTGCACTTGGCCCAGCTTACAAAAAATGTGCTGAACTCCCAGTAGTCACGCTCATCCTCTGATGTGAAAATTTACAAAGGTGAACTTGAATGGGGTAATTCTTTTTTCCTTTTACTGAAGTTATATCTAATTTTTTGTTAGGTTTTATATAATCATTCCCTAAATGAATATAAAGCGTTAAAGAAAGATGATGAGCAGCTTTGTAAAAGAATTGAGGAACTTAAAAAAAGGTAGGATAATTACTTCAAATTTTTCATTATTCATTTTGTATTAAAGGAATCCAGGTGTATGTGGAATATATTGGTTTATGCTCTTTAAATGTTAGCTTTTTAAATTTAACGTTTTTAAAAATTTATATTTACTGTTAGTGCTGATCAGTTTTTGGAAACTGAACGGTTGGAAAGACAAAAAAAAATATGGTGGTTAAAGGAGAGATTAAAGGCTTTTCAAGACCAGGAAAATTCAATCAATCAAGAGATGGAGCAGTTTCAGCAGGCTATAGAAAAGGGCAGAGCAGAACACGACAGGATTAGGTAAGCTGCAGCATCCTCTAGATTTTTCTCAATTACTGTTTGAACTTGCATGTCATTTTGCTCTGTACATAAAGAGAAAGCATGGTTTGTTTCTTCTACAAGTAAGGAATCTGTTAAAATCATGTTCAGTACTTGTCTTATGCTTGTGTGTTTGGATGATTTCTGGAATTTCCTGTTCACCATTTTCAAACTGAGGTTAGAGGACTACTAATTTATTTTTGTCTGATAACAGTTATTTTTAGATAAAGATTCAGTCTTAGGTTTTAGGGTAGCTGGGTCACTCATTGGTATGTGGGTATTATGGATATACTGAAGCATATTTCTACATAATTAGCACTGTTTTTCTACTTGTATTTTTTTAGGAGAGAAGAATTAGATGTGAAGCATGCACTGAACTATAGTCAGAGGCAACTGAAAGAATTAAAAGATAGTAAAACCGATCGACTGAAACGATTTGGTCCTCATGTTCCAGCTCTTCTGGAAGCAATCGATGATGCTTACCGACGGGGATATTTTACCCATAAACCTGTCGGCCCTTTAGGTATTTGTCATGGTTTAGTGAGGGTAAAGTAAACATTAGGGATACATTTTATTTTCAGGAAAGAGTATGCTGAATCTAGTTACAGTAATACACGTGGTCTTTAATTGTACGTGCTTTTAAAAATAATGATAAATTCATTTTAACTTTGTAGTTTTCATTATGAATTTATGAAGTACAAAACACCCTAAAGAAAAGGAATTGTAGAGTTAAATCACCTGACTCTTACTTTTCTCAAGAATGAGTAAGTAAATTAATTTAAATATGATTGATTAATGAGACAGTCAAATGGCATCAAGATACAGTGATGAGAACACTGACCTGAATTTTGTTTTTTTCCTGAGACACAGGGTATCACTTTGTAGTCAGGCTGGCCTGGATTCACGTGTACCCAGAGTTCTCAGCAGTCCTTCTGCTTCAACCTCCTGAGTGCTGGAATTATAGGCGTGTACCACCACACCTGATTCACTAATCTGAGTTTTATGTAGCCTCTGTAAAATGACCTTTGAATGTTAGATTTTGTGTAGATTGCAAAGCATGGTTTCTGGGTCATCCTTCAACTGTAAAATCTGTGGTTATTGAATTATGTTCATATACACATGAGATTTTTTTTTTTTGCAGTTTTTAGTTAAGTTCTCCTGGGGAGTTATCTCTAATTCTGTACATCATTAGGTGATAATGATGCTATTAGTAAGTTGCGTTGAACAGTGGCCTTCATTTAATCCATTCACAGATGGGGCTGTAATTTGTATGTGCTGCTGCTGGTGGCCCACATGTGACTTGCACCTCCGATAGGACAGTACTTCAGGATGGTGGGAGGGTGTTAAATAATAAATATCTGGATACTGGGGTCGATTTGAGTGAGTGAATTTTTTTTTTCATTTTTACATCTAAAATCCCAATTATTAATTGGTTTTCTGGAAAATAGTAATCTGTAAATCTTTTGACCTGATCTCACAATATGAATGAGAAGCTCAGATGGTATATACTTACATAGCAGAGCTACTGTTGATGTACATTAGAGTGGAATAGTGTTTTTCATAGAATTTTGTGGCTACTTTCCCGTGTGTGTCCAGTGGATATGTGGGAATTTTCAGCTCAGGGAAAATAAGGTCTATAACATCTAAGCTGCTTTACATGAAAACGTTGTTGTTGCTTATGAACTGTTATAAAAAGGAATAAATGTTCCCAAAAAATACTTGGTAACTTTCTGTCACTTTCAGGAGCCTGCATTCACCTACGGGACCCTGAACTCGCCTTAGCAATCGAATCTTGCTTGAAAGGACTTCTGCAAGCCTATTGCTGCCATAATCACGCCGACGAAAGAGTACTTCAGGCGTTAATGAAAAGGTTTTATTCTCCTGGAACCTCACGGCCACAGATAATAGTTTCAGAATTCCAGAATGAAATGTATGATGTAAGACACAGGTAATCAAATTAAAACACTACTTTTGGTTTTGATTAATCATGTGCAAGGTTGGAAAGTTAAAACTTTTTGTTCACTGTGTCTTTAGTACTGTAAAATTTCAGTGAGCCACTTTGTTTTCAGTCTGAGCCTTAGTTATGGCATGGAAGAAATGTAAGAGAGGTTCTTTAAGAATTGTGAGGTTTTTGAGATCTGTTAGGGGAAGACTGTTCAAAGAACCAGACACGCTCTAGCATGGAAATTGCATTGATAAGGTGCCAGCCTGGCCAAGTGAGGACAGAGGTCATACGGAAGAACTGTGGCACTCACTGTCTGAATTAAACTCTCAGAATATTTCCCACCTTAAAGAAAAGAATTTGTTTTCTCTCTTTCTCTGTTGATAATAAATTTTTCTCTGGTTTTTCTTGCTTAGTTATTCAAAATACATTTTATTTAACTTTTACGTTTATGACTACAGTGTGACATTTAAGGAAATTGTAACTCTAATGTATAAATAAGCTCATTGGGGCTGAGAATTTAGCTCCTTGGCCTGTGTGCTGCCTGGCAAGTGTGAGGTCATGAGTTTGATTCTCCGGTACCACCAAAAATAAATAAATAAATAAATAAGCTTGTTACATATTTTGAATGTATCAGATACTTTATATTGTTTTTTCTACTTATTAAAATATATACAAACAACTTTCGTGTATATATACATTTACATATCTGTATAGTTAAAGTTTGTTAAGTTAAGCCTTTGCTTTCTTTCATCTCCTAGAACTGTTCATCATCCAGAGTTTCCAACAGTTTTGACAGCACTAGAAATAGACAATGCAGTTGTTGCCAATAGCCTGATTGACATGAGGAACATAGAGACCGTGCTGCTAATCAAAGTAAGACTGCATGCTTGCTGAAAATACATTATTTTTAGATGTTCAAAACAAGATGGTTTTACAGAGTCCTATTCCTTTTTTAGCATAAAGCTATTGTACTTTACTTCATAGAAAAATCTGTAGGATAATACAGAGCTGGCTAGTTTGTGTTTTGTTTCCCAAAGGACTTTATAGCTTTGGGCTACTCTTTGTAAAGTAATTGTACAAATAGATATTATTCTTCTGGTGCATACTGTTTAAAAAATTTTTTTGATTCATTCTTGATTAGTTGCCAAATCCCTTTTTTATTTGTCCTTACTGATTTACATACTGTCTTAGTTACTTTTCTCATTCCTGAGTCAAAATACTTGACACCAATGTCAAGAAGGAAAGGTTTATTTGGCTCGCAGTTTCAGTCCATAGTTGGCTGGGTCCAAGTCAGGGTGGCATAGCTGAAGGGCATCTCAGAAGAGAACCAGTTCATAGCCAGACAGGGCCGGCAGGAGGCGGCCAACAGTCAGGTAGCAAGCAGCAAGCCACACGGTGGCAGCTGTTTCTGTCCCTTGTATTCTATCCAGGCTGAGTACCCTTAGGGCACCAAACCAATCAGTGGACTAATTCAGTAATCACCACACTTAATCCTGGCATCACACTCTCTAGATCCAGCCATCTCTGGACAGCCCCATCTATGACTGCGTGAGGCTGTGGGGGAATGTCTAGACACAGCCATAACAATTATACCTTTTAAGTAAAAAACTTTTGTGAATACTTTTTTTCTTATATCTTTGTACTCTGTAAAATAAGTCTTTACTCTCAATCAGTGTGTGTATTTTTATATGCTTTTTAGATTAGATTACCCTATTCTGTTTGATCTTTTAGCATAAATTCATTGCATAGCATACAAAAAGACCCAAAATAAGTGTAGAATCTAGACAGCATAAGAAGGTCTGTTTTTCTTATTAAGGGAAACTGAAAAGTAGAGGTGTTTGTAACACAAATGTGTGTATGCAAGGTCATACTGTAATTATGTGTGAATGTGGCTCTTGTGCTTCAGGAGGATGCTAGGAAGTGAATAATGTTGTGATGGTCAGAAGGGCGACTAGGCCTTGACTAACTAAGCCACTTTTTACTTTCTCCGTTTCTTGGTTATTTCCTGCGTTCTCTGCAAATTTGATAAATGGACCTTTAATTGGGATTTGCTGGCCACTCATCTTTTCCATGGTATAAAAATCATATAGAAAAAGTAATATGTGGGTGAATGTGTCTAAAGTAAACATTTATATGAAAAATAACTTAAAATAATTTTTGAATTTTAGTGGATAATGTTAAAATTTAAAAATAAGACAATAGTTTGCTAAGAAGCATTGTACACTAAGTTGTTTTAAAGAATAGCTTAAAGTCTTTGAATTTTGGAGCTTTAAAAAAATTTTTATATTTAACTTAATGGAATGATCTTACTTGAATATTTAAGAATACTTAACATTATCTTAAATAATGACAGTTAATATTTCAAAATTATGTCCATCAGAAATGCTTTGGCATTGTTTTTAAAAATGTATTTTCGTCTCTTTTCTTCTAGAATAATTCTGTAGCTCGTGCAGTAATGCAGTCCCAGAAGCCACCCAAAAATTGTAGAGAAGCTTTTACTGCTGATGGTGATCAGGTTTTTGCAGGACGTTACTATTCATCAGAAAATACAAGGCCTAAGTTCCTAAGTAGAGATGTGGATTCTGAAATAAGGTTGGAGTCATGTCTAGCTTTACTGTATTCCTGGTGCTTCCTTTGGGGTTCTGTCTCATTTGCATCAATCAGTGGTTATTTCAGTGAACTACTGTAAATAATTTATCATTTAGCTGAGTTTGGAATTAGAGGTCATATGGACTTCCTTCTGTCCCTTTGCCAGCAGCATTCAGGTCTGAGAATAGAAAGTGTGTTCCCTTGACCAGCTCATCTACATTAATAGCTGTCTACAAGGAAAAGGAGCCAGTTGAGAATGTGAGTGGGCTGTGTCTGCATGTTCCTCACTGAGCTGAGGTGTTTTTCTCTGAGGATCTGGGCTGCTGCTAGTTTACAGCTCAAGTTCCTCGTCTTGTCTTTGACAAGTTTTTGAGTTGCACTGTTCAGAAAGATCAGTCAGCACCACTGGAACGTACGCCTAGGAAAACATAGCTGCTAGTAAAAGAGACATTGGGAAATCAAACAAAAAACTAGTAATGAGCTGGGCGTGGTGGCACATCCCTATAATCTAGACACTCTGGAGGCTGAGGCGGGAGAATTATTGCAAATTTGAGACCAAAGACCAGCCTGGACTGCAAAGTGAGCTGAAGCCCGGCCTGAACTGCATAGCGAGACCCTGTCTCAAAAAGACCAAACAAAAAACCTAGTAATGAATTTAATATTCAAAAGAATACAAGAAGAATGTCTGGTATCATAAAACACAGAATTTCTCAGCTAAATGTGAATTGATGAATGGACCTAATTTAATGTCTTAAAAGATCTTAACCAAAACATGGAACTTCAATATAAGAAATATCTAAGAAAATGAAGCAAAAAAAACATGTTCTAAATGACTTGCGTAGATATGTACAGGAAATGAGAATTTTGTTAAAATAGGTTTCTTATTTTCAAGTAATATTGGTCATTTTTATGTGATTTATCAGTGCAGTATGAAGTAACTGTAATAGATACTGGAAAGGCGAGTGAATTTGCTTTAAAAGCAACAGAAAAAAAGTTGAATGATGAGCATTTGGGGTTGTGGCTCTTGATTCTGTTTGTTCATCCCAGTGCAGTTTATGGCTATGAGCAGACACAAGATGTGTAAGCAAGCTCTCAGAGTATTTCTATAGGTCATAAAATAGTTACCTGCACACTTTTGAATTGTCAAAAAAAACCTTAACATTTTACATACTTCTGTAAAATGTGTTTTTCAAATTTTATACTGTCATTGACTCCCTGACGCCACAAGAATTCAGTGTTTATCTGAAGTGCTGAGCACTGACATGGCACAGTGGGAAACATAGTGCCATTTCTCCTGGAGCTCAGTTTGAGGAGGAGGGAGAAGTGGACTCTGGGTGGACAGCAGGTCAGACTCAGCCAGGGCTGCGGAGACGGACAGAGCATGGGGTGGGGCGGGGCAGAGGAGTGGCACTCTGGGACTGTTCCACTCAAGCCCTTAGCTCAGACTTGGTCTTCCCTCCGTGACCAGTGTTCTTTCCCCTTTAGCAAGTGACAAGTCATCGTAGCAAGCAAAATGATGTTGTCAAATTGTAATTCTGTGGATGGGGTGTTTTGGTTGGTTGCGTATATTCTGAATGTTCAGAAAATCATGTAATAGTTCTATTGCCTTTGATCATTTTGTTGGTTTTTATTTTTGATTTAGGCTAATTTCCTTATTTGTTTACTTAGTAAATCTTGTTTTTAATGATAGTACTGTTTGTTAGTGAAGATACAGATTTATATATGATAAGTATTTCATATTAAGTTTGGAAATTATTTACATTTTGCATCTGGGTCCAATTTTTGTCTGAAATGGTGCAGTTATTCTTTTTCCAATTGTATCATTATCCAGCTAATACTTATTGAGATTTTTTTAAATTTGAAAATTCCAACAAATTAGCACTGTTGTTTTATCGACCAGTATGTATTTTATGTACTAATAAAAGGGGCAAAATGCTAACCTTGATCTGTGGCCTAGAGAATGGTTTCAGATCCTAGAGATGTTACAGTGTGATGGATTGCTTTGCTTGCCCCGCTCTTTGTATTAGTGCATATTGGCTATACATCTAGACAGTCCAGTTTTGGCACATTCACAAATGCATGTAACACAGTTAATGGTTTTCCCCTCTCGTTAACGCCGAGCTCCTCCTCCCCCATAGTTCCACACTGAGGGTCTGAGCCCAGGGGTTCATGCATTCATGACACCGTTTGTTTCCGTGTTGTGAGACAGGCACTCGCTACATAGTTCATGCTGGCCTTGGACACGGTGTGTGATCCAGCTGGCCTTGGCCTTCATAGTCATCGTTCCAGCCTAGCCTCCCACATGCTGGGATTACAGACATGTGCCACCACACCGGGCTAACACATGGCGCATTTTGGTTGTAGCCTACCCTGTTGACCCAGAAAAAGTTGCTCACTGCAGAGGTGGTTCCAAGCATGCAGTTTTGGAAGACCAGGACATGATTGGTGAGGCAGGAAAGGATTGCTGTAGAGGCAGGAAAGGCTGCTACTCAGACAGCCTTTACAGAGCGACTGTCTCCTGTGTTTTCTGTGTTCTCCTTGTTCTCCTCTTTCTCTTCACACCATGTATTCTTGGCATTTTCTTCTTTAAGAGACGCTGAGTCACTGTTACACCTGTCTCCACCTTACCGCCTCTCTGTTCTTTTGTCATCTGGCCCACTAGGCCCAGCAGATGCAAACCCAGAGAGTGCAGTGCAGTGGTCTCGTCTCAGCCTCACGTTTGTGTTCCCAGAGTTCTGTGGTCCTGCGGCATTATGTCCTGTCCAGTTTATTCTCTGATTTTCTTCTTTTTGAGAAGTTGTATCCGAGTTTTTCTGTGCACCATCCATGAAAAATGTCTGACACATAGAGATCACGTTATAAACACTTGTTAGGAAAGTTACGTAAAACTTGACTGCATCTTAGAAGACAATTTTTGAAATTTTTGTAACAGAGTTTCCTATTAATAACTTGGTAGGATAATAAACTGGTGTAACAGATTAGGAATTTCTAAATAAGGTGTTACAGATATTTGTAATGTTGAGAAATATGTTTAAAGTATTTCTTGGTCCACTTTTGTCCTTAAGCAACTTGGAGAATGAAGTTGAAAATAAGAAAGCCCAAATAGTAAATCTTCAGCAACATTTGTCTGCCCGTGAAAAGGATATTAAACAAAATGAAGAACTTCTTAAAAGGTGCCAGCTACATTATAAAGAGTTAAAGGTAAAAACAAATTCTCTTTTTGTCAACTTACTTCAAAATTTTAAAAATATTGTCATACACTTCAAGCAACAGTTCTCAGACACATGGGCCTCAACCCTTTTTTATCATCTCAAACAAGCTTTCATTTATTTGTGTTGTATCTACCATTTATATTTTTAAAATTAAAACAAATTTTTTTTGCTTCTTGGTCTTCGGCTAAGATCAAGTCTTAAACAAAATAGAAGAATATTTACTAATTTAAAAATAATATAAAAATGTTTTTCAAAACCGAAAAGATTTAGTGAGAAGATGGGCACTTTTTAATTTTTGTAGTCTCTAATGTCTTGTTTAGTGAAATTCAGTCTGTTGTAATATTACACATTATCTAGTTAGAGACTACTTGCACACAGGTAAGAAAAGTGCTAGCAAAGTGTAAGCAATGCACTAATGATATATGGATCGTTTTTGACCATCTGGATTTCCTGAAGAGCTCTTCAGGGCCTCTAAGAGTGACTTGGCTCTTACTTTGAGACTCACTGTGTTAGAGAATTTCGATGACTTGAGACTTGGAATATTTCCAAAAGTATTTTCTCTGTTGACTCACAATGTGTTCACTGTAAATGCCTACATCCTTTTTCATGGGAATGGATTAGCAGCAAGGGTGATGCAGATGGCAGAACTTTTAGCCTTCATTTAATTCATTTAATGCTAAAGTACTCCTTTCAGAAAGCATAGTAGAGCCTTACAGTTTAACATATTTTCTAAAGTTTTTTTTCTTATTTATTTTTAATGTTATTAAATTCTGAATACTTTTCTTTCAGATGAAAATAAGAAAAAGTAGTTCTGAAATTCGGGAACTTGAAAATATAGAAGAACACAAATCTGTAGATATTGCAACCTTGGTAAATATGCTTTTCTTCAATTAAAGTGCTTTTAAAAATTCTTTTAATTAAAGTTTCTCTTAGTAACTTTAGTGATCAGAAATTTAATAATTATAAACCCGTAGTTTAATAAACAGACAGTAATAGATTATAGCTCCAGTAATCATAGATTGCTTGTCTCCATTCGTAAAGTAGAAGGAGTCACCTAATGCATAGTTTCAGGTTTCTTAATGTTCTCTGTGTGTGTGTGTGTGTATGTATATGTATGTATGTGTATATATATATATATATATGTTGTATGCATAATTTTTATCTTGCACCTGAAAGAACTCTGTAACAAAACTTAATTGTGCTTTTAACAGTGACTTATCAAACATGACATTTTTCACATAGGCACTCTCAGAGTTAAAGCAGAGGCAGTGTGAGTGTACAGAGATGTTAGGGCTGCCCTTTGGCCAGTTGTAATTGGTCTATTTCCACTGTTTTCTGTTTTTCTAAGTTAATGGCTTTCGTTTTAATTTTCCACACATTTGTTAATCTGCATTTTCTTTGTACCTATCATTCAGGCTTAGCTTTTACCAAAGTGCAGTAAGCAGTGATGTAAAATATGAGGCTTGGTAAAATGACTGATGTTTACTGAGTGTCCATGCCATCAGGCAGCACGTTAAGTACTGGGGAATAAACAGTGAACCAAATGGGAAAATTCTCTGCTGATAAAGCTTTGTTTTAGTGGGAAATGTCATGGTTTTTACTGGTGGTCTTGTTTCTGCTTTTCATTTAACTGCTTTAATTCCTTCTGTTGATAACTTTGTGTCTGACACATTGTCGTGCACAAGATGTTTACATACAGCTCCGAGTATGTAAGGAGAGGTGAGCACACAGAATCAGAGCTACTCCGTTCAGCCATCATGTCAAGGAGGGTGTTGTTTAACTTGCCTGCCAAATGTCATCCCTTCTGACTTGTTTTCTAATTTACTATCATGAGTGTGAAAATATTTTAGTCTTTTGTGTTTATCTTTTATCTAATTTGGCAATAGTCTGTTGTTTCTATCAGAATTGCTTTTTTCTTTTGGTGACTTGAATATATTAACTGTGAATTCTGTAAATATTATCAGGAAGATGAAGCTCATGACAATAAAATGAAAATGAAAATGACTGAGAAGCAGATGGAGCAACAAAAAAAAAATTTGGAGCATTTTAAAAGTCTGAAAATAGAAGCAGAAAACAAGTATGACACAATTAAATTGAAAATTAATCAACTGTCAGAGCTAGCAGACCCACTTAAGGTATATGTCTGTCATTGTTTCTGTTTTCTGTGTATTTCATGGAGTAGCTAAAACTCCTGGTTATGACCCTAAAAGATTTACTGGCTAGCTGTAAATGTGTCCACATCACGTAGAATGTAAGGAATGAGTGGTAGAAACCAAATTTTCATCGTTATATCAATTAGTACTAAACACCTCTGCTCGATTGTAGGAGACTAAGCTGCTGGCTTTCTGTTTTTCCCAAAAGAGTATACCTTCTATGGCTTCTAACTTTATGGTAATTTTCCCACTGGAACCAGAAGCCGGGACATTTTGTAATGTACACGGTTCAGTGCTTGCCTATTAGGTGGTATCACTGTCTAGCGGTAGCTCCTGGACTGACCAGTTCGTGAAACCCCCTTGGAATGCAGTGCTGCCTACCTACCGCCTGTTGAGTCAGCATATCGACATATTCTAGGCTGAACTTAGTGGACTTTTTGAGATTAAATTTAGAGAGATAAATTGTTTAACTATTTAATTATGTAGATTTCTCATCTTACTAATTACTTTGTACCTTACTGTCATTTTTATGAATATCTCAGTTATTTTCAGGACCTCAAATTTTATTTATAGGACACAAGATAGTATATTTTAAGAGGAGAGAGGTATGTTGATATCACTCTAATTTTCAGGGAAGTTGCTTCCTTCAAATAAAAATGCAGCTAGGTATTTTACAAATTTGAAAGAATTTGCAGCATATAAACTTCACTTGTCTTCATTGAAAGCTCTAGCAGTAGTGTTCAGAGACTCTGGAGAGTGCAGCACAAGTCAAGGAGGAGTTGCACGGGAGCAGCCTGCCCTGTCCGCAGTGGTGCTTTCTCTGTGCTTGCCTTCTATCTGGCTAGGTCTCCTAGACCAAGGGGACTTGATTGTATTACTTTTGGGGGTAAAAAGAATAAAAAACGAGAAAGTAAGTTGATAAATTAGCTGATTAATACAAAGTTGAAAGAAGGAAAAACATTAAAGATTGTTGAAAAAATAAATGAGAAAATATTACATTAGACATTAAGAATTTAAAGATAGAAATTCCAAGCATAAAAAATGAGATAAATTAGTTTTTGTTTTTATCTGTACGGGGATCGACCTCACAACAGTGCACTTGCAAAGCAGGCGCTTATGCCACTGAGCTAAATCCCCAGCCCCTAATAAATTAGTTTTTAAAAGAAAACAAAGAACGAAGTAAATGTTAAAAATTTCAAGAGGAAGACTGGGTGTGGTAGCTCACACCTGCAGTCCCAGCAGTGGGGAGGTGAGGCAGTAGGATCCCCACGAGTGCAAAGCCAGCCTGGGAGACATGAGTGAATTCAAGGCCAGCCTGAGCTGCATAGTGAATCTTGTCTTAAAAGTGTTCTTTTCAAATACAAAAAGTAGAATTTAGGACTTCGTAATTAAAAATAGTGAAATTAGAAGCCAGGACATGGCTCGGCAGTATAGCAACTGCCTGGCGAGGTCCTGAGTTGGCACGCGGGTATGCACATGCACACCCCCCCCAATAGTGAAATTAGAATAAAGGTAAAATGTTTACAAATGTGTAAGGAAAGGATTGAACAAGATTGTTTTAAGGCAGAACGATAAAATGCACTAAAACAATAAAGAAAACGATTAGCATGTAAATTAGCATTAAATTCTGGAGCTCCAGCCAGAACCTCAAGATAGTAACAATTTTTGACATTAGTGCGTGGCTTTGGCTGTGTTTACTTGCAGGTATGGAGTGAGTCGTTCAGTAACCTGCGAGTCGCGACCCAAGAGGCTCCTCCTCTTCCTGCGGTGTCACTGACTGTTGGTCACAGCAGGACCAGGAGGACTTAGGGGACAGAGAATCTGTTTGCCCCCTACTTGTGTTTGGTTGTGCTGGAGAAGTGATGAGAGTGTGGTGTTCTGCTTACATATGTCGCCCTCGAAATTGGCATAGGAGGTTTTTTCACTTTAAAAACATTATTTTGATTTACACTGGGAAACTGATCACTTTTGTTGATTAGGAAATGACAAGTATGTGAAGCCTGCAAAAATAGATGGTTTTCTGTACTAGGAGAACCAGTTCTGATGTGCATAGTCATTTTTCTTTTCTGGATATCTGTAAATACTCTCTTTCATGATACTGTTTGGTTTCTTTCTGTGGGACTCTGACTCTTAGCAGGGAACATCCCAATTATAATATAATTAACTGGTGCCCGGTTCAGAAAACAGATGAGCAACCCGAGTAAAAGCTCAATTTGGTTTTTAAAGCAGGAGCCTTAAGCAGTTTGAGGTAATTGAAGGACAGTAAATACACATACACATGGGTGTACTTTGATAAGTTTTGACATTTATATCCCCATAATCAGACAAGGAAACAGTCCTTCATGCCTTTAAGTTTCTTCATGTTCCTTTCTGATCTCTCCCTGTCTTTAGGAACCCAGGATTCCATTTCTTATTACTGCGGTTTATCCATTCACCCACACCTCACTGTCTGTACTTTTAGGAACCCATGATCAGCTGCTCTCCGAAAATACTACTCTTTCAAACGAGTGACCTTATTCATATACTTACCACACCATATTTCTAAAATTATTATTTTCAGTTGTTAATTTCTTATTGTGTCTAATTTGTAAGTTAAACTTTATCATAGGTATGTAATATAGAGAGCGAAAAACAAACTATTAGTGATTCAGAATTCTTCAGATATTCAGCTATATTCAACACTTGAGCTATTGTAAATTTTTTAAAGCTAAATGGATTCCCCCAGAATTACCTCTTTTGTCAAAATAAATCGAAGTTCCATACTATTTTGGGAATTTGTATAAGAATTTGAATATAATATGATTTCTTAATTTGAAGACATGCCTTCTATTCAGATACTTGATGACTTTTTAAGCAACATAATTGTACTCTGTTCAAGTGTTAATTATCTAGGTTGGAAAGTTTTTTTCTTTAATCTTTTCTGTGTAGATGATTTTGGCTTTATTCAAACAGGATGAATTAAACCTTGCTGACTCTGAAGTGGATAACCAGAAGCGAGGAAAGCGGCATTATGAAGATAAACAGAAAGAACACTTGGATACTTTAAATAAAAAAAAGCGGGAACTGGACATGAAAGAAAGAGAGCTTGAGGTTATCACCTGCTTTTTCGTTTCCAGGCCGTTTTGTGTACTGCCATAGTCCTCTTTGGGTTTTTGGCAGTATGGAGGCTTGAGCCCCCAGAATCTTAGCATTCAGCTATGTTCCCAGTCTGTTCTTTTTTTAAATTGAATTTAATACATTCTAATTTAGTATTTTTTGGAGATAGGGTCTCCCTGAATCCCTGAGACTGGGCTCCAACTTGCTGTCCTCCTGCCTCAGCGTCCCAGAGTATGAGGGAAATAGGTGTGTACTACCACTCCTAGCTCTTACTCCTAAAGTATATTTGCCTTCATGTCATGTTTGCACAATGCAGGCGGTGATCTGAACTTGTTCCCTGTAGAATCTGGAGTGTTTGAGTAAATCCACACACAGGTATCGGGACCTTTGAGCACAGGGATTTTGGGAGGTGAGGCCCTAGAAGTCCAGGGTCTCCCAGGTGATAGGACAGTGCTGCTGTCTGTCTCAGCATCACAGCTCCTTCAGCCCAGCGTTAGCCACAGGCGCCCTCTAGCTGATTGACGGCTAAACAGTGGCCCTGATTTTAGGGGATAAATTTGAAAGCAGCCTTGTAACTAGAAGACGATTTCATTTTACTTTGTTGTATATAAGGAAAATGATTTAAACCCTGTAATTTACTTCTTTAATATTATAATATAGAGGATTGTGAATATAAAGTAAGTACTGTGTTGTAAAAAAGTACTTTGCATTTTTTTGGTTTTAAGTGAAACAAGAAAAAAAACCCTAAGTATCTGTTTTCTAGGAGAAAATGTCACAAGCAAGACAGATCTGTCCAGAACGAATAGAAGTAAAAAAGTCTGCATCAATGCTAGATAAAGAAATTAACCGATTGAGACAAAAGATACAGGCAGAGCATGCTAGTCATGGAGATCGAGAGGAAATAATGCGGTAAGCAGCCAGCAGCTTTTAAGCTCACCGTACCATCCCTGTGTGTTGTGAAGACATTAAAACAGTTTGGTGCGTGTGACCCAGCAGTCCTATGACCCAGCGCTCTGGGAGATGGGGGCAGGAGGATCAAAAGGTCAAGCCCAGCCTGGCCAAATTTGCCAGGCTCTGTCTCAAAATAAATACAAAATTAAAAGGACAGGGATGACCTCAGTCCAAAGGCCTGAGTCCCTAATACTGCAAAAGAAAATGGGAAAGACATAAATGTGTAATTCTTTAGTTTAAATGAAGTCTTGCTATGGTAGTTAGAGCTGAACTAATTTTTTTAGGTATGTGCTACTTAAGCCATTAACTTTTTCTCTTCTGAATTACGTTACAGAATGACATTTTAATGTAAATGTATTTTTATGTCTATAAAATTCTTATAGATAGGAAAATAATCAACTTTGTAAGTAACCAAGCAATGTAAATTTTAAAAATTGGAAACCATTTTTCAAGCATGGCCAGAGGGCTTAGAAAGTGGGCCTTCTGTGTTCCTAGCTGGGGATGTGGCTCAGCTGGGCAGTGTCTACCTGGCAGGCACAGTGCCAGTCTCATCTCCAGTGCCACACACAGGCAGCAGAAAAGTCCGATATAATTGCTGCACAGGTGCTGAAGAAAGAGCATCTCTGTTGCAGTTCTGCTTCCTGTGAGTGTGACTTTTTCTCAAATAAGCAAACAAAATACACTTCAAGCTTTCATTACCATAACTAATATTCTAATATTAGTTAAAATTTCATTGGGTCAAGTGAGTTTGTTGCTGAAACAAAAAAGAAAAAGTGTTACACTAAGAATTGTGTTTGGCAGCATTACAGGTAAGCCACAAAGGCACGGGCAGCTGTTGGGAATGGTTAGGTGACGGTAAGAAGCCACGGCTCTCACTCTGCGAGGGCTGCACTTGGAGGAAGGAAAGGGGTGTATAAGGAGAATTAGGGTGTATTGTACGCAGGTACCAGCTCCCCGTGTGATGGGATCGCTGTGTCCTGCACATATGGACAAATGTGCTCTCTGCTGTGTATTTTAAAACATGGGCAAATAAAAAGAAGAACATCAGAATAGTGATATAAGAGCCTTTTGTTGGTGGTGGTGTTTTTTGGTTTTGGGGGGTTTTTTAGCATGGGGATGGAACTCATGACCTCATACTTGCCAGGCAGGTGCTGTGCCGCTGAGCTGTATTCCTGGCCCAATAAGGGCCTTTTAAAAATAGGTGATTTATATTTGAAATTTAAAATGTATTAATATTTTGGCTAACCACATGCACACCACAGTGTGGTGTTCCTATTATATGTAATGAGTGCAGCATGAGTAAATGGAATTGCACAGTGTAAAAAATCAGTTGGTGGGAAGCTTTGCTTCCTGTGTTTATCACCCAGTGACTTGTCTTTCCTCACGTTCCTCAAACTCACTTGGGAATGTGGGCTATTACCTTTAGTCTTCACGGACGTGCATAGTAGCACATTGCCTGAAGTGCCTGTAGGCGGTTCTCTCTGATGGCGTACTCTCACACTCATGCGTAGGTGTTACTCACTTTTGACTTCATGGATGGTTAAGGTTTAATCTAAGCTTTACTCTATCCTAAGTGTTGGGACCTACTAGGTAATGGAACATGAGTCATTTTTATGTGAACTTGATGCTTTTAAATAGGTAAGTAAGATAAACTTCCTGCTTCTAGAAATTGTGCTTAACTTGTATTTTCATCAGCATCATTTAGAGTACTTCTTTCCCCAGAGTCTAAACAGTGTGTGGTCAGAGTATTTTTTAATAGTTTGTAGGACTCTTAACTGCAGAAATTTTATATAGTCAGTGTTTTTCATTTGTATGACTAATAGCTTCTAAAAGTTACCAAGGTGTCTACCCTTCCTAAGTTGTGAAAGAATTTACTTATTTTTTCTCACTGTATTTTAATATTTTATACTCAATTCATAATGTATTTTCGTAGATTTATACAGACATATGTATCATTTATGGACTGGTGGTACAGTTTTTACATTGTGATGTGATAGATTCACATAGAGTTGTTCCAAAAGCATACCATTTTATAATTAATGCAGCTTTATTATGTTTCTCCAATTTTTATAATTACTTAGCATCATGAGTAATCTGAGCAAAACCTGCATTTGTGTTTTCTGTGCAAAAACATTGCCATGCTCTGCTGATTACACAGATAATACGTTTCTCTTCCAATCAATTATTAAATATAAATAATTATAATAATTTAAGGTGGGCATGGTGACACATGTGTAATCTTAGTATTTGGTGAAACCAAGATGGAGGGTTACAAATTTAAAGCCAGTCAGGGCAACTTAACTTAGCTAAACGTACCTTAAAATAAAACATTCAGTAAAGGGGTGCGGATATAATTCAGTGTAGAAGTCCTGCGTTCAGCCCCCAATGCTGCAAGATAATAATAACAGTAATAAGAAGTGGCCAAACCCCAAACAAAATTTTTACCCTAGTAAATTCTCCCATCTGATACTAATAAATGTATTGACTAGAAAACTTACCTAGATTAAATTGACATGAGCATGCATTGCTTAAAGGCTATAGTGTATCCATCAGTACGTAGTACATAGTGGGTTTAAAGCTGTCTCTGTACCACTTGAGAACAGTTAGCACTCAGTGCACCAGCATACAGTTTCTAGAAACGAGACTGTCTACACTCCTACTGACCTCATGTGACACATAGGGAATTGACGTCGATTGCAGTGCATTCAGCATTGTCAGCTGTCATCTTTCTTGCTCTTTCCCTGCTGTATGAAGTAGAGTCTAACGTGTGTCATACGCTGGCCAGGGTGTTTTGCAGAATGCCCTGTGGGGTTCCCCTAACACGGTCACGTGTCGGGTTCATGTTGTGTGTTCTTGGCCAGCCCAGTATTTAGGGGACCATGTGTGCTTCTCTGTGGGTGCAGGCATGCGATGCCCCCTCGTCCTACTGCTCAGGTCGGTTGTGACCGCTCAGAGAAGGTGCAGTTTGGTTTCTCCCTTGTGTTTCACTCCCTTGGCCTCGCCAGTCTGGCGCCTTCCTGTCTCGGCCCCAGGTGCACTGCCTGCAGGTCTGTGTTGCCTCCGGGTGTGCCCTGCTGCGCAGTGGGCATTTCATGGCACTCACTCCTCACGTTCAGCAGTCCTTTGCCTCCTGTCTGTGTGCTCACTCCCTTGCTCACTGCCTGGGAGCCCTAGGGTTTGTGAGTTCCTCAAGTTCCTCGTCCACCATTGAGCTACACTCATTTGTAGTCCTGGTTTATTTTAGTGTTTGAGTGTTTGATCTTTGGTCAGGTGGAACCTCTTAAAGCTGGTTCCTGTCTCCTTTTTAACCTCTCTATTATTCCTTTTCCTTTTCCTTTTTGCTTTTAGCATTTCTTTAATTTCGATGACACTCTTCAGTTTTTTTCTTTGCATCAGTGTGCGTTCACAGTGCAGAGTGGCTGCACCTGTCTCGGGGTGTGGGCCCGTGGGCACAGCATATTCTGATTATTTGTTTTCACCCTCTACCCTTCTCTTTCCCTACTTCTAGTTCTGGGTTGCCTTCCCATTTGTAGAAGTTCTGTTTTTGTAAGTTTTTTCTTTAAGTTCTTTTTTTCCTACCTTTCCCTCTCCTCTTCGATCTCTTGTTCCTCCATTCATTTGGTAAATACATGTTTCTCATATAAGACAAACTATGCACTATTTCCACTTGTGGGTCCAGCTGACTTCACCTAACATTATGTTCTCCTGTTGGCTCTTTAGTTACCTGCTCTGGTGGAGCATTGGAGTCGTTTCCCTGAAAGCCCTGGTTCCTTTCAGTGGAGAATGGTATCTAAAGATAAAGTTCAGATCCTGACTCCTACTGGGGTGGCATTACTTGGAGTGCCCTTGAGTGGACACAGCTGATGCACAGGTGCAGCAGCGGTGTCTGGGGCTGTCTGTCTGGTGCCCAGGGTCATCTCCACCTACCGGGGCCATGTTCTGCTTCTTCCACGGAAAAGGCGTGAGTTCTTAGAGGTCACGCCACATTATGCATCAACAAAACAAATCTAAAACACGTTTGAGATGTGCTTGCAAATTTTTTCCCTCCGGTATTTAGGGGAACAATGTATTCTAGAGTTTTTTGGACTGATGTTTTATCTCTTTGATACAGTCCATAAGATATATTTCCAGTGATTCTTACTTGGCTTCAGTGTTAGATTCTACCCATCTTTGTTGATGTAATTTCATTTTGGGAAGAATATATAAAAACACTTCTCCAGAAATCAAAGCTGTAAACGAAATTATACTTACAAGCTTTTCCTGCCTTACTCATTCCTTCTACCTATTTCCTCTCCATTTTCCAGATGCCGGTTCTGTTTTATTTCTGGTTTTGTAGTTTTATTTCCTTGTAGAAATATGCATGTCCTAGTGTTCCTTGGTCTCCGACTTTCACAAGACTCAGCCAGCTAGGACTCCCCACCCCATCCGGCCTGCTGCGTCCTGGCAGCCTCCATGCCGTGGTGGTGGGGCTGCTGTGGCCAGCTGTGAGCGGAGGGTCAGCAGGTGTGTGTGTCGTTGGGTGTCCGTCCTCACCATGCATTTCCTGAAGGACCTAGCCAGACTGGAGCGTGAGGCTGACTGTTGTGTTACATTTTGCTGAGTCTTCCCCACAGCTGGTGTCACAGCTTGCCTCTGTACCGCCCTTGCTAAGGCAGTAAGGTCAAGTTTTAAAATTTCTTGTCAGTGTGATGGGTGAAAGATTGTGTATTTACGTAGTTTTAATTACATTCTGTCAATATGACTAAAAGGATTATGGCTAAAATTGAAAGCTTCATATATTTTAAAGTCTTGAATTATCTATTCATATTTTTACATTCTTCTATAGTACTTTTGATCTAAAGGTTTAGTTTTTATATATATAAAATATATTTAAAATACTCATCTCAATTTATTATCCCTTCTCAGGATTTTTAATAATGGTTTTGCTGCAAAGGAATTACTTAGTTGGTGGCTTTTGAGTCACACTGTAGTAGCCTTTCTGGGTCCTGGCAGGTTCAGCTGTGCTGCACTGCTTTACTGTTCTGGGTGCTGCAGTTGGCTCTGTGTGTGGGGTGAGGAATGGCTGTCACCCTTTCCAAACTGTCACATAGCCACTTGAGAAATTGTTCACCCTCTTTTCTCAAGAACGGCTCGTGGGAGTGTTTTCTGTTCTTGCGATTCATAAGTACTCTTTCCCTCGGCCTCACCTTTGCGGGGGTACTGCAGCCAGCACGCGTTCTGGGCTCAGACCTGTGCTCTGCTGGAGCGCCGGGCTCCTCGTGGCCCTTGTTGGGAAGTCCTGGGACCTAACCCTGCTGGCAGATTCTACACACTGTTGTGCCTTGTGCCTTTTCAATATGTAGATTTAGGTATTCAGTTCTTCAGTGTTTTCTTGCACCTTCTAAATATTTTCTGTTTTGAGGTTTTCAGTTATACGCATTTTAGGTGTTTTATTACCTCTTCGTCATTTTGCCACACTGTTGTGTATGTTGGGTTTGCCTTCTCAGTTCTGTTCTTTTCATTGACATGTTTTCACACTTCTGGTCGCCCCTGCACAGCTGTGTTTTGTCTCCATGTGTGTGGGGTTTTCCTTTTTGGTCCAACCTTTCACATTTCTCAGGCTAGGCTCTCTGACTCTTGCTTTCATCCTCCTGTCATAGCACTTGCTGTTTTTAGCTGTTCTTGGGGTGTTTTATTTCTTTGAAATATTCCTTCCTCGTAGCACTTACCTCATGTTGTCTTTTTATAGTGTTGAGTTACAGTTTTTTCTTTGTGACAGTATTAATTGGTCGTACCTCTCTCTTAATCTTTTTCCATAAATATCTTCTTTTTTTTTTTTTTCCGGTACCAGGGATGGAACTCAGGACTACATGCTTGCAAGGCAGGAGCTTATGCCGCTGAGCTAAATCTCCAGCCCCCATAAATATCTTCATATGGTTGCTATACTATGTTTCTGCAATTCTCATATTTTAATTATTTGGAGTTTCTTGGACTGGCTGTTTGAAGGAGAATGGGAAGGAGAGCTCAGGGCCTGGACCAGGGTTGCTGTCCACTCTCAAGATGGTTTTCTGCCTCCTCTAGTACCAGCGACTGCCTTCTGCAAGGGTGCCCTGGATGGCCTGTGTTCTCTGCCTCTTTGACTCGTCTTGTTTAGGATGGAGGAGTCTCACATGCTGCCATCCTCTTGTGTTCTGCCATCCTTGGCTTCTGTCACTGAGGAAGCCTCCTTCCAGTGTGGCCCTTCCTCTGTGGGTGCGTCTTTGGCCGTGCTGGCTGCGGACCGCGGCTTCCACCCCAGCCCCGCCCGCAGCCTCGTGCTGGCAGACTTCCCTGGTCTGCTTTGCAGCTGGAATTTTGTTCGCGCTCTGTAGTGTGGCAGTCTCATGGGTAGCATTCTTCACTCCAGGAATGCATTTGAACTGTCAGGCTTCTCTGCCCGCATTGCTCTCCCTGTATTTATTGTTTGTTTTGTTCTGTTTGTGCAGCATTTATTTACATAGCATTTTTTTTAATGAAATAGGCAGTACCAGGAAGCAAGAGAAACCTATCTTGACCTGGATAGTAAAGTAAGGACTTTAAAAAAGTTTATTAAGTTACTAGAAGAAATAATGACCCACAGATACAAAACGTATCAGCAATTTAGAAGGTAAGTACATTAAAATACTACTATATATTATGCATTTTTGTGTTTTTGTTTTCACATTATTGTTTATAGATAATGAAATTAAGACCTTTACAAGTTTCAGTCAACAGAAACTATAGATGTTTGCTTTATCATTTAGTATGTAGGATTCTGTAATGTAATCAAAGAATTCTAATTTGAAGAACCTTTGTAACAAGTTTATCTACCTTTTCCATTCTTAAGTTAAAGTAGCTCCGAGAGAGCCATTCATTCTGTCACCAGATCCTTCCAGCGAGAACTCACTGGTTCTGCACATATTTATTTACTTACTTTCTTTCTTCCTTTCTTTTTGAGACAAGTTCTCACTGTGCAGTTGAGGCTGGCCTTGGACTCACAGCAGTCCTGCTGCCTCAACCTTCCAGCGCAGGGTCCCCCACACCTGACCTGGGCTTTCCTGCCCAGGCATGCAGGCGTCTGGTAACTCTGTTGAGGTACTGTCTCACTTACTGCCATCGACTGGAATGGCTTCGCTGCGTGAATGCAGAAACTATTCTCTGTACTGCTGTGTCTGTAGTGAGCCTGAATTGTAGTAGGCTTTTTGTACACAGTGGCTGAATACATGAGTGCAGGCCAGGGAGACTGGGTATTAATTACCTAGGCTGAGAAGCACAGATTTTCCGAGGTGAAGCAGCCCCAAATCAGAATCAGAAGAACAGAAGGCAGAGGGCAGCCATGGGGAGTGCTTTCCGTACACTTAAGTCCGAGGCAGTCTCGGCCCTTCCCCTTGCCTGTTCACTGCAGTGGCATTCACTCACTGTCACGCTGCTAGGATGACCTGAATATCCTTGTACCCACGATTCTACAGCCTTTAGACCAGAGGGGAGTAAAATACAGCCAAGTGTAGCATACTTGGTAAAATCTAGCTAAAGCTGTGAGGTAAAATGTGTTTGATGGTTCTCTTTAACTAAATTATATGTTTGTCTTGAAATGCATGTTGTTATTGTTTTTAAAATATATTTTAAATTTTTATTTGACACATGGTAGTTGTGTGTTTTCAGGGGTGCAATGTGACATTTCAGCACGTGGTTATGACCTGTAATGATCAATCAGGTCAGGGTATTTGGTGTTTCTTTGTGTGGGGAACATTCTGAATTGTTTTTCAGTATTATAGGTATATTATTAAAACTTGAGTGGGATTCATTTCGTGAATGCGGCTGTTTTTAAGCTTTGGTAGGTGGGAGTGTCGCAGTGTTTAAATGTGGATAATTTTAGCTCACTTCTGAGGCTGCACTCTGAGAACCCGGCCAGTGCCTTGAGGGGTGTGGCCTTTTTGATCTGGCCAGTGGTAATGTGAGCTGTGTGGCTCTGGGGAGCTTCTGGGGAGCTCGTGCTTTGGGCATGTCTCTGCCCAGGGTGGGGCAGTGTTTTTGCACATGCGCTGAGGAGCGCTGAACTGGGGTGGGGGAGCACCCTGGCAGATCTTGCGAGCTCCCACTGTGCTGTCTGCCCCCGAGACCCAGACAGAGCGGCTCCCTGGAGGCGTGCACCCCCAGCTTTGCTGACTGGGGGCAAAGGCTGCACTCAGTCCATTTGTTTCTGCCATGGAGAGCAACCTGACGGGAGCCGCCTGTGCCGATGCCCAGAGTCTACAAGTCTCATTCCCTGTATTTTACTTAGCTTCTTAATTTGAAGTAGAAAAGAAACTAATCCCTATCACTACATACATTTTCCAGATCTAGCCGTCTTCATGTCATGCCTAGAAATTGGCATTTAGCAGACTTTTTGGTAAAAGTATTGCCCTGATGGTTTACTGCGTTGATACAGTACATCACCGCTGACGCGCTTTACTTTGATTACCCAGTTGTAGAAAGAGAATAAAATAACCAAGTCTTTAAAATGATTTCCCCTCTGTGCTCTGGGAATTTTCTCGTTTCATGACAGCTGTACTTCTTGCTGCTTCTTAAGGCTGTTTATGTCTCAAAAAAAAAATATATGTGTGTATATGTATGTATATACAGACACACACATATACATATGTATATATTAGTGAAAGAACAGTGAATAGGGAGTTTTGAAAACTAGCTTGGAGTGCTAGCCATGGCAGCAAAAGAAAACTCAGTTTATCATTTTCTAGTGTGGTGAGTTGATGAAAATTAGGGAGATAAATAGGAAAAAGAATACAGTCATAGTTACTCTAAAGTTAGGATCCATGCATTCATGAAAGAATAATGACTTTAGCACTCAGGAGGCTGAGGCAGGAGAATAGTTGGAAGTTTGAGACCAGCCTGGGCTACAAAGTGAGCTCAAGGCCAGCCTGAACTGCACAGTGAGACCTGTATCAAAAAGAAAGCCCCCCCCCCCAAAAAAAAGGGAATAATGACTTTAAGTAGCCAGTTACTTGCCAGTTGGACCTTACTTGCTAAATACCAACAGCACCCCTATCCCGGGTGGCAGATTCTAACCTAGCAGGGAAGGTGTAGGAGGGCAGAGCCTCTTTAACAAGGGGGCATGGGAGAAAGTGCCAAAGAAAGAAGGAAGGGGAGGAGGAGAAAGAGGCAAGAAGAGAAGAGCGGGGCTGGGGGACCAGCTTGACCTCCCTTGAGGGAGGTGTTCACTGGCAAGATGTGGGGTCGTTTGAGGGTTGCTGTCTGTCTGTCTGTCTGTCTAAATCAGAGTGGACCCAGAGAGTAAAATGAAGTCTCTTCACTGAGTCTGTGTAAATGGAAAGGTAGGTAAGTGTGTAAAGATGAAGAGGGGAGAGCTCCGTCCAGTGCAGTGTTGTCTGATAGGCGGAAGAGGAGGGGCAGCTTTGAGTTTGGGAGAAAACAGGCAAATGAATAGGCGGTTTATCATCTTAATGGATCTGGAGTTTGCTTAATCATTTTAAAGACAAGATTTATGACTTAGCTGAGTAGGGTAGTACATATCTGCAATCCCAGCACTTAGGAGGCTGAGGTGTGAGGATTGTCACAAGTTCAAGGCCAGTCTGGGCAATATAGTAAGTTCAAGACCATCTTGAATTACAGAATGAGGCCCTGTTTCAAAAAAAATTGTCTTATTTATTAGAGGAGTAATGTTTTATGCAAATTAATTGAGTGATTGATACATTTGTATAGACTGATTGGTATGTGGAGCATATTAAATTTGTGATTACTCCTTTGTTCATTTCACTCCTTTGTTCATGTTTATCATAAAAGTGAATAAGTCAGTTAAATGTGGCATGCAAACAAATACAAAATACAGGGGAAAAGCAGTCACACTGACCTGTGCTCATGTTCATGTTTTGCCATTGTTTGTACTTAGATCATGCTGAATGTACAATTCTGTATCTTTTTCCTACTTTTAATGTGCCAAATTTATTTCAAGGTGTTTGACATTACGATGCAAACTGTACTTTGACAACTTACTATCGCAGCGGGCCTACTGTGGAAAAATGAATTTTGACCATAAGAACGAAACTCTTGCTATATCAGTAAGTATCTTAGCTCTTTGCATCTTAATCACTTTGAAAATTATCTGCTCCTTTTTTTTTTGATGTAATGTTGGTAGGCATTACTCTGTGTCTTTGGAAAACAGAATTTATTTCCAAGTTAATGACAGTCTTTGCTAATGTATGGAAAATTAAGCTTATTCTACTGAATTCTCACTGTGTAAAGCTGCTAGCTTAGCTCCTGTCCCCAGCAGCGTTATTTTCTTAAATTGACAAGTAGGAATTTTATTTTCTGTGGCAAGTGATTATCTTGTGCTTCTGTTCCACTGGGGCCACTGGTTTTAAAGCCTCATGTAGCAATTGGAATTACGTGAGACATTATGGAGAATCCACTGTCTGTCATTACATGGCAGGAAGCCGAGAAGGTCTGCTCCACAGGCTTGCTTTGCACTGTTTGCTTCTGAAGTTACCCTGAGCTCTGCTCTCCTCACTTACTTACTTTTTTAGTCTCTCTTAATAAGCAAGGCTACCACATTCTGTTTTGTGGTTACTTGACTGTGGGCTCTTTCACAGTCACATCCCTGAAAGGTAAGATGTGAAGATACAGCTTTAAACAGTGTGTAGTCAAGTCTAAAGCAAGTAGTCACTTCAGTCTGGGGAATGTTTTCCAGTTAACGGCTACTTTAGGGCCATAAATTGTATTGTTTCATTTTAATACTTAGAACAAAAGTTAGATGGTCATAGCAGCTCTGTTGTTTGGAACCTTTGCATTTTAACCAAATAAAGAAGTTAAGTTTTATCCTTTCTGTGTTTAAATTTCTACCAGTGAATCATTAGTAGCTTCTCATCCACCTGTTCATTTTTAAGAGGCCAGTCATTAAAGATGCAGTAGGGAAGGTAATGGGAGGAGTTATGCTCCAGGGCAGGAAGGTATTTTGTCGTAGTGGCCTGTTGTTTTAGCTGCAGAATATAAGAAAGATGTTGGAGCCTGCAGAAAGGACAGTGACTAGGTGAATTAGAATTCCAAGGGATGGGAACACAGTCCAAAGCAAGTTGAAAACTGCAGGATATTTTCTTTCCTGGAGGCATTTGTGGATTCTGGAAGTTCGGAGAGTGTAGAGGACTGCCAAGACAGAAGAAACGTAGGAGAGCTAAAAATGTGACTGGTACTTCACTTAGTAGATTCTTGGGTGCTGGTGGTTGGCACGCTGGCCCAGGGAACACGGATGAAGAAAAGCCTTTCTGAAACTGCACCTCCAACCTGGGGTTCTCCAGGGTTGACCGTCAGCCTTACCATGCCTCTGCCCTAATAGGACAAGTGTCCCCCTTTCATGGAATATTGTATATATCTCTCATAAGGAAAAGAAGACTGGGTGCTCTCCATTTCTGTTCACCAGTGGACTAGAAGTTCTAACCAGTGCATAAAGTCAAGAAAAGGAACTGCAAGGCATGCACTGGAAGGGAAGAAGCCAGCTTCTCATTGTTCACAAATAACAAGGTCATCTATGCTGTCTACAAAAAGAGCTACTAGAACTAGTCAATGCAATTAGCAAGGTTGCAGGCACAGCAGTATGCAAAAAAATGAGTAACACTTCTATGTACTAGCAACGAATGATCCAAAATAAAAAACTTAGGGTTTTTTTTTTTTTTTTTGTCTTTTTCTTTTTTTTTTTCATCCGTACTGGGGATTGAACTCACGACTGCCTGCTTGCAAGGCAGGCCCTTATGCCACTGATGCTAAATCCCCTTATGCCCTTATGCCACTGAGCTAAATCCCCAGCCCTAAATAAAAAATTTAAACCTGAACTCAAGACCTTGCACTTGCCAGGTAGGTGCTGTGCCTCTGATCTATATTCCTGGACCAAAAATACCCTTTACAGTAGCATCAAAATATAAAACAAATCGGACAAGCATTGTGTAAGACCAGTAAACTGAAAACTGAAATACCGAGAAGTTAAAGATGACCTAATTAAATAGATATATGCTGTTACTAGATCAAAATATTCAGTATTTTATTAAGTTTCTTTTTTGTAGAAATTACAAGCTGATTCTAAAATTTATGTGGAGATATAAAGGATCTAAAATAGCCAACACAGCTTTGAAAGGGGAGAACAAAATTGGAAGACTTATATGAACTGATTGGGGGAGTTTCTGCAAAGCCACAGTCATAAGAATGATGGACTGTTGGTTTAAAGACATCCAGATGAATGAATGGAACAGGATGCTGTTACAGAGGTGCTTACGGAAACATTTGGAAACTTGATTAATGTAGTCTTCATCTCAAATTGTGGTTTTGTAGAATACAGTTAAACTTAATCACATCATGCATTTAAATATATGAATTGTATTCTATTTATTTTAGCCTTCAAAGCTGTGAAAGTTACTAGCAGAAGCATGGAAATGCAACAGGTAGTAAAAAGAAAAAACAGAAAAAAAGAACCAAATTCACAGATGATAGAAGAGCTATCACACTAATATCCTAACCATGGTTAACATGTTCAGGATGTTAGCCATAAACAAAATGAAGGAGATGCAGAGTTTCAGCTAGAACAATAAGTAAGTATTCTATAGCTGAAAATTTCAGTATGTAAATTGAATGGTTAGTAGCCAGCTGAACCTAAAAGAAAAGATACAGTAAGCAGAACTCAAAGCAGGTGGAAAGGAAATACCTATTTAAAGTGAAGAGTATAGGAACAGAAGACAAAACACTGGACAGAGCTTAAGAGCAATGACCGTAATCTGTTTTAACATGAATATAGTTGGAGTCTCTCCAGGGTAGAATAAAGACGAACAAAGAACATTTGAAACATCACTGAAATAAAGCAGTCGAGATTCACAGGAATGCCTGTAAACCTCAAACATGTGCACACCACAGAACAAATCAAGTAGGTAAAAACCAGAAGCAGAGATACTAAAAGTAACAAGAGAAGAAGTAAATGTCACTTTCTACAGAGCAAAACAAAAAAACCAAAGCAGACTTTTTAACAGAAATTGTAGAAGGGAAAAGTCATTGGAAAGACTTTAAGGTGCTAAAGGATTAAGAACAGAGACCCCTGCAAAAGGTAAACATATGGAAGGTGTAAGGTAACTTTTGCTATATAAAACAACACTGCTGTGCTAGTGTATTGTGAGAGTGTGAGTTGTAAAATCAAATATATAAATGGTGCAACAAAGGGAAAAATTGGAGCTGAAGTATTACAAAGGTCTTGCACATTTTGGGAAGCATTACAAATACTCATTGAAGACAGACTACTCATGAGAAATGTAATGTGAGTCTCTAAAACAACCACTGGAATATTTTAAAATAAGATACAGTGGAGACCAAATAAAAGAAATAGAAAAGAAGAAACTCCAAAGAAGGCAAAAAAAAAAAAAAAAAAAAAAACTGATAAAAAATAAATGAGATTAACAAAATACATAGATAAAATGGCTTAAATCTAGATTTGCCAGTAATTACATTTAAGTGTACATCGAATAAATAATTGGACTAAAAATGAAAGATTGTCAGTCTGAATTAAATATAAGAACCAACTTACTATATTTTAAAAAGTGCTTATTAATATAATGACAGAGATCCCAAGTAAAATACAGAGAAATAAGTGTAATGCAAACAGTAGCCAAAACAAAGCTGGAGTAGTTGTCAGTTTTTCTTGGCTGGAACACCATACCCTAACCCTATGACTTAAAGATTTAAATAAGTTCATATCTTCAGGGGCTTCTGCCCATGGTGGGCTGGTGGGCTGGTTCCAAGGCAGCAGCATGGTGTCCTGGCTTGGCAGAGCAAAGCTCCTTACTCCCAGTAGGTGGGAAGAAGAGCAAGGAAGTGTCACAGACCGCACATAGGTAGCCAGAGAGCGACCCCATGACCAACCCAGACATTCCCAGAAGTGTGCCTCACAGCGCAGCAGCAGACAAAACAGAATTTACACAAGTAGTGCATTCCCAAAAGTGTCACTATTTCATAGTGACATTTCAAAGGATATCTTAATCTGCTTGTACCTAATAAGAGAGCTTAAGAATACTTAACGATTGAGAGAATCAGAAGGCAAAGGAGGCACTGACAAGTGAAACAATAAGATTAGAGGTTCGTAAGCATATATGCTAGTGGAAAAGGAAGGCCAAACATTCATGACCTAAGTTTTATCTTTGGAAACTAAAAAACAAAAGCCATTTGTAAATTCAAGTAGAAAGATGGGTATATGAAGAGAGAATAGAAGTTGGAGGTTAGAAAGCAAAAAATACTGTCACAAGGAAATAATCCAGGGCTGACTATACAGTGAATTTGGTCACCCAATTAAAGACAGTGACTCCTGGGCAGCCTGTAAGGAAGGCTAACCATCTCAGGAGTGGTATTGGGTTCAAAGTGTTGCATCTGCTTTTCTTCAAATAGATAGCAAACCTTGACCCAGTCCCTTGTATCAAGAACAGATAGTGATTAAAAATTGATGCTAGACCCACATGTAAAATGTAAAACAGTAAGGCTTCTATTCTTAAAGAAGAGCGTGTTCTTTCTCCACATTCTCACCAGTCTTTGCTTTCTTTTTAATAAAAGCCATGCGGCTTGGGACGAGATGATACCTCCCTGTAATTTTTGATTTACAGTTTCCTAATTAAAAAAAAGACCACTTTTTCCTTTGTCTGCTGGCCATTTGTATATCTTCTCTCAGACCTTTCCCGAGTGAATTACTTGTTTTTTGTTGTCTTTACTGAACTAAAGACTTGCATAACACACAATCCACAAACTTAAAATGCAGGTTCAGTAGATTCCAGCATACCAGCAGAGGGGTACATAATCACACTTAGGTCATTAATTATCCCAGATCCAGGCACTGCACCACTAACCATCACCTGGCGGCCTCCCCTGGGCCCCCGAATCTAGGCAACCACTTAGTTCTTCTCCATCGCCACAGAATTTCCCATGCTAGGTATGTATTTCCTTTTTTTCTCTTTTAAAATAGACCATGCTTGTAACAACAACAAAGACCCTAATACATCCACATTAAGAGTGAAACCAGAGACTAACAACACTTAGAATACACACT